TATATATATATATTAAAGAAGGGTACGAAGCGCTGTTGCTTTATGTGTAAAACCAAACGGGACATATAGTTAAGCTATACCCTAAGAATACTAGAACAACGACCTCAACGACAAGTGACACTACTATTTTACCAATGACTTAAAACACCTTACCAGCCAAATAATTTGTTGGAACTTAAAAGCATTATCGCTAAAATCAGAACTTTAATGTGTGAGAAATTCCGGCTCACCAAAAATGCTGGAAAAAATCGGAATCGTGGATTCTCCGGCTTCAAATTCCTAAGGAAAGATCGACTACGCAAATAAGGCGAAGGAATCGTCGCGTTCATTAAATTTAATACCGTATACTTTGAACTTTATAACTTACGAACTCGTGATCACGCCTTTGAATTACAAGCCTTCAAGCTTACAAATATCACTCGAGATATCGTTATCCACGTGTATTGCAGAGCCCTTGGTCTCATTCGACCGGCTATCACTCGTGAAAAATATCGCATTGCGTTGACTAGTAGCTTGTGTAAAGAAGCTTCCACTTTCACTGCTGAATGTTTAGCAATAAATGAGGCGACCAAGCTCACTCTTCTCTGCTCAACTCAAGCTCAGTCGGGAATTCAGGGTAATGAAGTTGCTGACCGGCTAGCCCAGCGCGCATTCACACTAGACGCATTAAATGTCTAGTGTCGCGAAAAGTTATATTAAAAATAAAAGGGGGATCAATCAGAGGAATCAATTACTCCGCTAATTTTTAATGTCCGTGCTAAACCGTGATTTTCCAGGTGTGTAAATCTGGCCACGACGACTTAAAATGTTCACTCGAAAAAATTTGGCTACGTAATAATACAATTTGTGAATGAGGTTATATTCTACAAGATCTCGCTCACATTCTATGTCAATGTCTCTTGTACGATAAACGAAACCTAGAATTCATTCAGTGTCTTAGACGCCGCAAGATTTTTATATGTATTTTCCATCTTCTAATACTGTTATATTAGCTAATGCTAATTTCCAAGTTGTTAAGGCCTTAAGTAGTTATCTAAACAACTGTGACGTCGCCATTTAGCTCTCCGTGACAATTACTGTTCAGTGCGAAAATCTGTTGTACTTCAAGTTGGTGTGCTAAGTCTTTAGCAAAATAACCCGATATTGGGTTAAACTTGCTTGAATAAAAAATAAAGGAAATGAAATGGTCAGGCACAGCTGTCTGTTCTATTTATTTGGAAAGAAAAAAGAAAAACTAATGTAGTGCGCTATTCATTACTTATATAGCTAAGCACCTAAAAATCTGTTACATAGATTTGAAATGATTGCTAAATCGGCGGACATCAATGTAATTGAATTTTTATTTAATAATTAATATCGATATATGGTGAACGTTTCAAAGCATAGAATTGTTTTAGATTTTTTTTATTTCGCCTGTGATTATTTAGGTTTGATTCAAGCACGAAACTGAATATTACTGAATGTAAATACGAGATGAATGCGAGGAGCGCGCTTGACGATACTAGTATCTGAAAAATTATAAAATTCTTCAAAAAGTCCATATTCGATTTGATGAAAAAATTACACCGGATAGACAACTGCAAAATTTAATCAGCAATCTCTATCTCTAATTTTGCAGAGCCTATAGAAAAATGCCAAATAACGATTTTGTTGTTGTTGAGTAAATGTAATTCGAGCAACTACGGCAGAAAATTATCTGAATGTCCGTGAAAGCAATCGACCACACAGCGATTGGCTGTATAAGCTGCTTGAAAAATAAAACGGATAAAGGGAGAGGGAGAGCTTCAAGTGTCATTAAACAATTAACGGCGCATCCTCATCCACCTAACGTAAAGTCGTCCCTCGCGTTGGAAGCACTCGGGGCAAAAAGTGCCTCCTTCTAGCGGCTCGTTCACATATGCATTTCGTGGGGAGCGCGTGGCTTCACGTTTGCACTGCACGGTACGCGCCGTGCGCGATAAGATACGGAAACACATTCGGGAGTGCAGTTGGGTCGCGATCGTTCAACGACCACGTGCCCACGAGTCAATGCACTTGACGATCGGCGCTCTACCGAAGTTTCTTCTCTTGTTCTTCGCGTCGCTTCGCGGTTTGATATTCGAGGAGTGAGGTGGCTGCCAACGACGCGCTGTCTGCTCGGCGCACACTCGCGCACTCCGCGTCGCTCGGTCGATTAGATTATCGGCATCGCTCGGCTGCCTATTCTCGGCTCGGTTTATTATTAAACTTGGCCGAAGCGAGCGAGCGAGCGAGCGAGCCTGTTCGCACTGTCAGGGCTCGCGCGACCCTCTCAACGCGAGCGCGTCGCATTGTCTTTCGCCAACGTCGTCTTGGCGGCCGGCCGGGCGCGCCTTCCGCTCGTTCCGATCGCACTTGTCGCCGGCGATGGCCTTTCTCCCGCGCCTCGGCTCGCCGCCGCAAATCAGTCGCGCCGACCGTTCGGCGCTCGTAAAAGGCGAAGGTTTAATGGCGGAACGGCGCGTCAACCGTCTCCCTCTGAAAATAAAGCGACGCGCCCGCTTCTCCGCACACGCGCACGTAGCGGCGATACGAGCCAAGGGACTTGGTGCATTCGACGGGCCAGTTGCGCAACGGCCCGCGCAATTTATTTGTTTTTTTCGTCCGCGCCGGGGCCGCCCTCTCGACGATAAAGCGCCATGTGCTGGTGCTTTTTTCCTTTTTCACCGGGCTTTTTTACTCGCTCGGGCACACGTGCGCGCGTATTTATGACGCTCGCGCGCTCGGTCCGCAGTCCGCAGCGACCGAATTACCGCGCCCGCATCGGACCGGAGACGCGCGATCGCGGCTGCTTCTCGGCCGGCAAGACGCTCTTCGTTCGTCTCGTCTCACCTCCGCTACGTTCCTGATCTGCTTGCGGCTTAATTGGCAATTACTCGTTCTCACGCCATTGGCGGGCCAAGCAGTTTGCTGCTAGTTCTCTCGTTGAGTAAACGATAACGTTTCGCTTGAGACCCATTGCGCCCAAGATTGCGCGTGACGCCGATGGATTTTGAACAAGTCATTAATTAGAGGGAAAGATGTCGAAAGAAACTCAGGCGGCGCACTCCGCGCAAATGTTTCAAGTGAGAATCGCGAAGCTCAATTTGCAATTAAAAGCAAGTTTAACGAACCTCGCGCCTCGCGGGTACGAATGTACGAATAAACTTGACGTTAATGACATTGACAGGAAAAAAATAATAATTGGAGAGTGTTATTGGAGTGAACGACTTAATTGGCGGTAATTGCATTTTTCTTACAACACAGCTAACCTTACTGCCTCGAGTATCTTGAACCGCTTCGTTAAAATAAATACGTTATTTTAAATTCTATTCTTTCCATTATTCGATCGAAGGCTAATTCCTTCGCCAACATTGAAAGTCTGCAAAGTGTACAGCTCCGCAAGAATGTCGATGATTCACCAGTTCTATCTCTAAATTCAAATTTTTATCAACGCTATAACCAGTTTCTTGACGCGAAGCAGCGCTCACTTTTTTCTTCCACTTGTTCAATTCAAAGGAGAGAAAAGAATCAAGTTCCGACTAGAACGTTTCAATCTACGCGAAATATCAACCGAGAGGTTCACACCTTGACCGCTTCCGGACGCGAAATACGTGCGCGACCTTGACCTACTATGAACGTTCGCTCGTGTGTCTATCAATCGCATTACGTTAGCCTCGTTTGACTGAAATTTTATCGTTCCACGCGCACGTCACTTATCAACTGGCACCTGAGCGAAACGTCTCATTTCGCGCTAGCATCTATGAAAATTATTCACGACGACTCGTCGAACGTCGTCGAACGCAAACGTGGTGACATTCGAAGGGTAACGTATTCAATTGGATACTGTCCGGCACGTAACATTTACGTAACGACATTCGTCGCGCTCCCAGTTGCACGCGTATAGATTCTTTATTTTGTTTTTCTCAGCGACGTTTCGCGTTTGCTCTTGTCAAAAATTGTCAATCAGCCGAGACAGACAAGCAGCTCGACACCCATGCACGCGTCGTGCATTTTAGAGCAAACGAAAGCGAGGCGAACCTACAAAAGCTAGTCGAACTGAAATCCAGGCCGAGACCTGCAGCGACGTCGATGCTTGTTTTTCTTTTTGTTCTTTGCTCACATTTCTCCAAGTTGGTCGGTGGAAAGCCACTGGCGAATACGATTTTCCTCAAATGCTCACTTCTGCTCTCATCATCGTTATCAATCAATAGCCCGATCGTAATGCGATCCGCAAGCAAGCGCAGCAGCCGCGATCTCGCGATGTTTACACGGCTGTGGCCAACGAAGAAAATGACGCATCGATCGGCAATCGAGCAGTGAATCCCCGATGCTCCAAGCGGAGCGGTTGCCTGCTTCGCGGCGCATCCTTCCTGCGAACGGGAGAGAGTAGCTGGCGGCGACCTGGCGTGCAATCGAGTCGGTCGATTCGCGCGAGTTCCCGCGGGAAGTCGGCCCTCGAGTCGCGTGCACCAGGCTCGTTCCGATTATGAAAAAACAGTATGTATCGCGCGCGCCAGACTTTCGATGCTCAATTAAGCGGCTGTCTTCGCGGATCGTAACGAGAGAAAGCCTCGGGCATCAGCTAGATCGCAAACGCGGCTCGACTTGCGGTGGGCGTTCGCGCGGAACGCTCGCGGTCGGCCGAGGTAACGAGGAGCGCGTATACGTCTGGATGGCTTGATATTGACGCAGCATCCGCGAAAGAGATCCCCCGGATGAAAGCGCTCGCGGCTGCATCGCTGCCTCGCGCCGAAGTAGGTCGCCGGAGTGGCGCGTGCACGCAGAACCTCGTCGGAAACGAGGGCTGCGAGCTCGAGGTTTCATTGGCGTCGGGCGCGACTGAAAACGGTCGTGCGAGAGAGTAATAAGACTAAAACTCGGGTGTATGTCTTGTCAGTCTCGTTTATTTAAATGCTCCTTTTGACTAGATTCATGCACGCTTTAACATGGTTTTACAATTGTAGAGCGAATGCGATTGGGCGCTTCGCGCCAATGCCTTCCAGGTGATCGTCACTGCTGCTCGCACGTTCTGACGATCCAGTTCGATCGACAATTCACAGCCTCGTCGAGTACCAATGTCCGGCAACGCGCTTTTCCGAGTTCGCTGCGTCGAACAGCCAACGGCGCACGGCGCACGGCGCACGGCGTTGTTCTCACTTTTTGCCTCTGTTCGTTCGTTTGGCTATACGTCCATCGGGCGCGCTACTTGTCGCGCACGCACAGGTCCAAGTGGATATGCACGTTGCTCGATCCGACGATCTTGGTGCGCATGTCGCCTCGGCTGCTCGCGTGGGCCGCGGCCGCCGTCTCCTTGGCTTGGCTGCTCTTGGCCACGCGCTTCCTCTTGCCGGCGAAGTCGATCAGGCCGCCGTCGCCTTTGTAAACCACTCGATCGCTGCAGTCCTGCGTCGACTCGGGCCCGAGTATGATGTGGCCGCCGTCGCCGTTGTACTCCACGCTGCCGAGGTTGCAGCCGATGTACACGCGGCAGCCGTCGCCGCTGACGCGCAGTCTGCCGCTGTTGGTCGCCAAGGTTATGCGACAGCCGTCGCCCTTGATCCACAGGCTGTCCTTGTTGAGGCTCTTCTTCAGCCTCAAGCCGTCGCCGGTCAGCCGGTCGAACTCGTCCGGCGCCTTACCCGTGGCACGTTCCGACAGTCTCGGTGCTCTCGTCGGTCCGATCATCCTTGCGCTCCGAAAGCGAGAGGCAGCGGGAGGTCGCAGTGGTGGTCCGTAGCGCGCGGCCGACCGTTAGTGGCCACCAAAGTGGCCCCGCGCGAAGCGAGCCGGCCGAGGATCGAGCGCCGACCACGCGCACACACCTCTGGCTTCCCTCCTTTTCGCCGTGGATCGCGTCACTCGGCCCGGCGAAAGCTCGACTTCGCTCCGTACTGGCGAGGCGGAACGCGCGACGTGCCGCTGGTTTGCCGAACGGCGACGCACAAAGTCGAGCCTGCGTCAAGTGGCGTGAGTTTAAAGCCAGCCAGAGCGAGCTATCGCGGCCCGCCAATCGACGACGAGGCTGCTCGCGGTGCTTCCCCTTGCGAACTCGTCGCTCTTGTCGGCGCTCTGCTCGCCTGCTCTTGTCTCTTTTTTTTTCCTTTTTCCTTTTTTCTCGGACTAGAGGCATTGGCAACAGTAATTTTCCGAGTGACGTTTCTTTCGCGACCAAAGCGGGGATTCGTGAGATTACGGTTACGGCAGGCAACGCTCGTTTGGCGATTCGTCGATTCCGACGCGTTACTATCGACCGCGTCACTCCTGCTTGTACATCGTCTCAGAGAATGGAGGAGAAGAAGGGAAGGCCTCCGACAAAGGTTAATTTTCGGTTTGTTATTGCGCTCATCGAGTACAGATAGCAAAACTCGGGCGAACGAGTCACCTGCCTAGGTAAACATTCAATGGCTGCAGATAGGAAAACTTCTTTTTTTCCTGTTGTGCCAAACGGACGTCGCGAGACGTAGGCTTTCGATTGGAAATCTGCACGAGTTGGCCCAGTACAAGCGAAAAGCGGCGAGGTTGAAAATTAGTTTGAAAGCGGAAAGTTCCCGCGAGAGATTAAGAAATCGTCTCTCTCGCGAGCTCCCACTTTTCATTACCGGTGTCATGCTAATGACGTTGCACGCGAAATTTTCATCCGTTGATCTTATCTGGCGACGATTAAGTTGGTTTAGATAAGCTCGCTCGAGTATCGATCTCGAACCGATGTATTGATACTCGTCGAATAATAATCTATGCGAGCTCTTAACTATTTTGCATTTTCTACTAGCGGAAATAACAGCTGTCGGTTCGCAGACTCACTGTTAATCTCTCTATATTAAGTATTCGATGATTCGTCGTTGCCTATCGCGACAACGGCAATCAGACTCGCATATCGATTATGACATAACCATAGCAATTGTAAGTTCGTTTGGCGGCACGATAACGATTTACAGTTACACGTTTATTTTTATCTGCCAACGAGGTGTTCACGTGCACTTGGGGGATTTTTTTTCATTACTATAATCGCACGCTCGAGAGATAACTCAAGTTGTCCTTTTTTCAATCGAATTAGAGGTTGTTCGGGGCGAAAATTCGTTCAAGGGATAACGCACGATACACGATTCACGAATGATGCATAAATCTTACTCGCATCATCGGTATCCACAGATTTATGTAGCCTTAGCTGTGGATTTTAAAGATTTCCGGGTGAAATTACTTGTTTGCTTTGTGCACATGTTCGGGAAAGTATTGATGATTGCAATTAACGTAAAATCTCCGCAACGCGATGTTTTCCCGAAATTCACTGAAATTTGCTGCTTGCATTGGGGTCCCGAGCAAAAGAATTTTTAACCCTTCGAATGGTTGCTGCTTGAACGCCAGATATCGATGTTTGTGAGTTACTTTTTTCTCGTTTAAGTTGTAGCTAAGAACGTTTTTCTTATAAGCGTCAAATTTGTTACGCTCGACTCGTGCGAAGTAAAATTTTTGCTGGATTGCCATCGCCAACAATACACCGCATCCGATGACTGCAACGAGAAAATTGCATCTGTGAAACTTTCTCTAAACTTATTGAAATAAACCGTACACTACAAAATGGTTCCCTGATTTTTCCGTATTTCAAAAGAAAACTATTTTCGGGTATTTCTAACGGTGATTTTATCTTTCTTCGATGATGAAAAACAATCTAAATTAATCTGTTTTGGTTGACTTGCAGAACGAAAACGAGAGTGAGCGCCGCTTTTAACGGCAGAATGCCTACAGCAACCACAAGCTATCAAAGACATTGTCATTGTCGAGATTAAGATCGGGGATATAACATGACCAGCACCATGTCGGCCATGGAGTTGTTGGCCAAAGAACACAATGAAAAGGTAATCACCTTCTTCTTTTTTTTAATGGCAATAATCGTTTTCTTCATTTCGATTACGAAACAGAACTTCTATTCCTCTAATTACCGTGTTCCGTACGCTTCGTTACGTTTCGAATTTTCGTTTTATGTCGCTACATTTTCATCTACTAGCTTGAGTTAATTCATTTTGATATAATTTTTTAACGAAAAGCTATTTGTAGTTCATGATAATTACTGTCTATTGGGTGTGTGACATGTAGTTGGGGAATCGCTAGAACAAATATTAGCAATGATGACTGCAGTCTTCGCCCAATCGCTCAATTAACAATTATTTAATTATTTAATCACTCGAAGTGAGCCCGCCAGGTAACAATAATTTTTGAATGAAAGATAATTCGCTGATCCTCAGCACAGAAAAATGTATTAACGTATAATTCACTAAAAGTCCCTGCATTTTCAACTATCTTATCTAACAGTTAATAAAGCCTTTGCAGTGAAAGATTTGAACGCGAACTTTGTCCGACTGTTTATAACGTATAATACACCTCTACGCTATTTGTTTCACTCTTTTGTTCTCTGATGTAAAGGACTAGCAGACCGTGTTTTAAAGTAAATAAACAAGGCAATAACAATCCTGGCGAAGTCGTAAGGATCGAGAATGTTTTGTTTCGAATCTGTGTTGCGTTGCCCTCGCAAAGTCGTAAAAAGAGAAAACTGAAAATCCATTGCAGGCAGCGATGCAGAACAGCGTGTCGCGTCAAGACTCAGGAATGCCAGGTGACGAGGAGCTGTGCTCGCCCATCGATTGTCTCGCTGAGAGCGCTAACGTAACGCTGAACATTAGCGAATCCGTGAGCAGCACTATCAACGACTCCAACACAACTCTCGACAGCGAGTGCAACATCACGGTCATTCACGTGCCACCGGCAAACGACAAATCGATCGACAAGTCGGTGCTGATCACGGGGAACGGGGACGAGGGAACACCCGTGGCCGAGAACGACAAGAAGGACGAGGGCAAGGACAGCAAGGATGGCAGCGATAGCGGTGTCGAAGGTTGCGCGGTGGAAATCCCGAGGGTACGTTGCTCTTGCAGGTCCAGAGTCGCGATGAGCGAGCAAACCTTTCGTGACCGCGTTTGTCCTCGTCAACAGGAGCAGAGACGAAACAGCGCGGATTACGAGAGCAGCTGTAACGGCGAGGCATCGTGCGACTCGAGCCTGGCGAGCTGCTGCTCGGTGTACGAGGACCCTTGTGCCACGCTACCCGACGACATCCGCTTGAACATCGAGCCTGCGAACGACAGTTACGTGGTCGTCGTTGCCCCCGTTGCTAATGGAAGTGGCGGAGGCGGCGGTGGCGGCAGCGGCGGCGGCGGCGAGGGGACCAGTGAAGCCGGTAGCGAGAGCTCATCTCTCGCCGGCAGCATTTCCGCCCGGGTGCAGACCAGGCGAGATAATGCCAACGGGGGACCTATAAAGAAGAGGATTACCACGCAGTATGTATATTTCCTCTTGTTGTTTGCGCTGGACTCTAACTTATGTTTTTCTTTTTGCAAAATGACTGCGCATTCTCAGTCATTAAGACGAGATTTCTTTTTTGCGATCTTTAGTTGCGATCGCAAGAATGGATTTTTTTAGTCTAGATTAGTAATTAAATGCCAGGAGGCTGTTCAATGAACGCTCATTTATGTCTTCTCGGATGATGCATGGGTTCAACATAAGACCTTATTTCGACGCTAATAAGTAAAATAACAATGACATTTTTATTTTTAGTGGCTCGTTTGATTCGCAAAAGAGCCAACGACCGAGTAGACCATCGATGAGTAGCATTGTTAACGGGACAACGGCAACGGGAGCTCGTGCCAAGCCAAAGACAACCACGCAACGAAATACCCTCGGCAAATCACAGAGTCTCAGCAGCAAAGATCGAGGACGTTCGCGTGAGAAATCCGTCATTACGCCGAGCAAAGAAATAATAGAATGTAAAACGAGGGACAGCTCGTTGTCTGGTGTACGAGGATCATCGGTGACGAGAAGTGCCAACTCGTGTATGGCTAGCACCGCGGCTTCGAGATCCAGAGCTAGACCGGACTCATTACCGTCGGCACTCATGACCGAGATCAATAAAGATCTTGCCCAACGTGGACGAGGAGTTGGTAAGTATCGTTTTTATTTTCTTACTGTTTTTCTTACTTGCGACTTGTATCGACATTCAAATAACGATTTGTTTTATGTGCCATCAGCAGCGACGCGGCCTAGAGGAGGATCAACGACACGAACGAGCACAATGAGTACACGAACTCCAAGCTCCACACCTTCGGAAGATGGTCGCAAGTCTTTGTCGTCGGCCCATCGTAGCACGAGTTTATATGCTGGCCGATTGGATTTGAAATCAGCTCGAATATTTGACAAAATGACATCGAGTGTGGATGGTGTCAAAGCTCTTGATACGTATGGTACATTGCCACGATCAGCCAGGCAGGGTAAATTTTCAATCCCGAAAACCAGTGATAAGCCACCGGTAAGCAGTCGCAGTCGATCGGGTAGCCGTGACGCCAGTCTCAACAGGCTTCTTGGCCGAAAAGCTGTGAACAACTCGAAGGAAAAAGGATTACCGCCTTATCCTAAGTTAGCTGAAAAAACGAAAATTTATCACGAAACATGCTCCCAAACTGGACTGACGGGTAAGGATATTGATAATTGTTTGGCTGGTGTGGTGACGATTATTCCAAATCCCGAGAGTGTCGACACTTTGGAGGGAGAAAGCCAGACTGAAGGTAGTTGGGAGGACATAAAACGACTCAAAGAGGAACTCAAAACGACGACCGAGGAAAAAAATACGATGAATTTGGAGAACGAAAAAATGAAAGCCGAATTGGAGGACTTACGAAAAAAATTGGTAGAAGAGAAGGCCGATCATGCATTCGCCAGACAGGAGCTCGACAAAAATGCGCAACGAGTGCTTGCTATGTTGGGAACACCGCAATCGGAACACACTGGTGGAAGTGATAGCTTCTTAGAGCTAGAATCTCATATACAATCGTCGGGTCAAGTCGTCGCTAGTCAGCAAGTTGAAATAGCTGATCTGCAATCGCTTTGTAGAATGCTAAGCAGAGTAAGTTGTTTAACATTATGTTTGTACTTTTCACATGATTCGGTATATGATTAATAAAACTTTGATCGTTAACTTTCAGGATTTAGAGAAAAGTTTGGCGGCGCAAAAAGCATTACTCCAGCAACAGCAAGAACTTGAGGCTGAGTCAATCGAGATGCAAGACTTTTTGCAAGAGGAAAAAGCAACACTGGAGACAGCACTGAAGGAGGCTGAAATAGAATCGAAAAAGAAAGACGAGAAAGTCAAGCAACTGACATCGGAGCTCGAGCAACAAACGGAGGAGTGTAAGCATCTTGTGAGGATCAGCGAGCAAAGAAGACAAGAAAATCTGTCACTCAGTATGAAATTAAGTGCCGTTGAAAGACGAAGCAAAGAACTCCTACTCGCTCAGGGAGCGGCTGCTTCCGGCGCTTCAGTGGCTCTTTCTGGCTTGGGTAGCCGATTAGAGGCTCTCGTCGATCAGCTTATTATGTCCTACAATATTTCTCAAAAGGATCTTGAAGTAATTAATTCAATTACTCTATTTTAACACTTAATTAGTATTAATTAGGGTTAGTGGTTGCGTTATGTGATAACTTCACTTTCCAATCTATCATTATCTTTCCAGCTTATTCGCAAAATAGAAACAATGTTATCTTTAAAAATGAATTATTGAAGAACATTTTAATGATTAATATTTTATTGTGCTCGACAGGATGTTATTTTCCATAACGAAGCATTTAGTCGAAGCAACAGCAGTGTTGAGTCGAGCCCCGTTAGTTCCAAACATAGCTTAAAAGACTGTACACCGAGCCCAAAAAGAAATTCTTTCGTTTCTGCCGTTATAGGCGCAATAAAAAATGCAGCCACGCATCCGTTTGCGACAAAACAAACTAACGATAAGAAATCTGCGGATTCTTCCAAAGCAATACAAAAAGGTTTGTTTCCATTCAAACTATATATTAATGGAAAAATGATAATCATAGTTAACACAGAATGGATTGTCTGTTTTAGACTTGAGTTTAGAATCTTCGTCCGACATATTAGACTTTGAGACAGAGCCTTGTCTCATGATGGAAAGCGTTTTAGAAGATGTTCCTTTACCAGACACTTATTCGCATAATATGGTATCTAGTTGTGATTCACTTAGACGAGTAATAAGTGTTCCTGAGGCTGTAGATGAGAGTAATCTTAGAAAGACTAAAATGCACGGTGAATCTAGTAGCTTAACTAATTTATCACAAGCTATACTTAATCGACGCAAGGTACGTCGGAAAAAGATGGATGTTTTTTAATATTAATAATACTCGAATAACTGTTTTAGGTTGAAGACGAAGAGGAAGATATTTGCGAGTCAGTGAGTGAATCAGAAATCGGACCGTCCGAATGTCCACTACCACTGACTGATTACTGTCCAACCACTAGTCTAGTTGATCAAGTTATCGACGTTGACAATCTCGTAACGAAGCTTTTGAAAGTTTTACGTATTATACAGCTTGACAATGACACGTGTATTCAAGAATTGAAAGATGAAAAGTAAGAATCACTTGTTTTTCTCGTTCAAATATTGATACAAAAATTTGGCAATGTATTAAATCTATTGCTTTCATTCGCAGAGCTGAGTTAGAAATGAGACTAGAAATTTATCTGGCTGAGAGAAAGGCTGTAGAAAGTGGACAAGATTACGATAAGGAGAATATGAGTTATGGCATTAATGATCAAACAGTTGTAATCGAGAACTGTAAACATGTGATAAGCGAGGTAAATTTTTGAGATAATTTTAACGAGTAGTAAGAATAATTTTTATAAGTTGATGAGATGATTTTTTTAGCTAACTAACACAAAGGAATTGATTGACGACGGCCAAATGGAAAAAAGTATGTATATTTCAGAAGAGTCGAGAAATGAAAGTCAAAATGCAAATCCGACAATTCTTCTTTCATCAAGTGCGTGCTCTTAAACTATAGAAATTTAAGAAAACTCTATTTTTATCCATTGATGAGTCAATTTCCTTCTTCTGATCAATAATTTATCAAATATACTCTGCAATTAAATAGTCTATTATTACCAGTAAAAGAAAAACCTAACAGAAAAAGTATCGAAAGTATAATAATATATTTAATTGATTGTAAAATAGTATATAACAAAAATTATATTCATTCTATTAATTTTTTTCAACAATTTCTGTGAAATTATAGGAGTACAAAAGCGACATATTAATGAACTTAAGAAGAAAGATTGCAATGTGATTGTTTCCGCTAAGTATAAACAAAATGCCAGTGATCAAATGGGTAGTTGTATATAACGAAATGTTAGGGATTTTACTATGTAAGCTGACTAAAAAAGTTTAGAGAGACGTTGAAGCAAGATGATGTTATTTATGATGGCTTACGAAAAAATGTTATTAAAAAAGCAATTTCTTCATTCATTTATTGATGAAAATTAAAAAAAGTAAAACGAGCTTCCCTGCTGATTCTTCTGTGAAACTTTGCTAGTATCGCTTCATCTAATATATGTAGCAAACGTTTTTATCGAACTAACTTTGGACGTTTTTCGCTTGTTTCGTACGCTTTAGCTGTACAGAGAACTGAATGTTTCATTTATAGCAGCGTTATGACGACACACCTGTTCGCACAGGCTAAAAGTCACTTTATGTAGCGTCCGACGAGCTTTCATTGTTGTACAGCTGAATTATATCATTATAGAATATATTATATCATTTTTATACAAGTTGCATATACCATGTCAGCGTACTAAAAAGAAAAAAACAAAAGAAATAAATAAGGTTGTACCAAATCGACAAAGTCGGCTGGTGATCGATTGATATGTAACTATTAATTTTTAAAAAAGAAATACATTTTTTTTCCATATAAAAAGCCTACTTTATTATTATTCTTTTGTTATTGACGCTTTAGATATGTATATCTAGTATCACTTAAACAAATTCTTAAACTATTTTATCACGTTTAAATGAAATTCTAGTACATTGAATAAGGCGCTTGTTGGAGTCTATGATGGATGATTAAAAGGATAAAAGTGTATTGTTTTACGAAACTATTTTTGCTGTTGATGTGCGACATGCTGCTGCGCGTGACGGAATCTCTTCAGGAAGGGTGCCAACAAGTGTGAAATACGGAGACCAGGTCTGAAATTGAAACCGTTCTTCTGTTAACCGGAAAATACGTATAAACAACTTTTAATAGTCGATGTTCCACTTACTTATGGGTTTCATGTGCAACATCCTGATTACTTTTAAATGAAAATATCTTTTCGGCGTCCGCTTTTGGCTTGTCCTCATCTTTGTCTGGCTTCGGCATGGGCTTGTGGCTGTCGGCGAAAAATGTCGTTAAATTTGGTTCAAGTGCGGCGCCGGCCAATAGAAGTGTCTCCGCGGGTGCCATAATAAACACTAGACCGTCGACTGAAAAGTTAATTGAAACAATTTTTCGTTAAAATGGTCAACCAATATTAAAAAGAAATGTTCGCGTAATTATTTACTGCAACTCCAATCATAAAAGAATAACATTTGGAACAAATGACCTTTAAGTCTGAAGTTCTCGGTGCCATTCTGTCGTTGGTCGTAATGAGTGGTGAACACCGGTTTGTCTTTAGGTTCGTTAGCTGATTGCAGGTCGTTGAGCTCAGGCTTGGAATCGCGCATATGAACCAGCAAAGGATTCGTCTCTGCGCCGATGACCAATAAGGCAAACGCGAGTAGGATAGCTTTCATGGCAACCGTCTGCTTTTTAATTTATCTGATAGAGAAATGACTACGTCTAAATGTACATTATGGTGAATGGAGACAAATAACGATGAATTCTTGTTTTCGGTCGAGCTAGTTTACTATAGTAAGACTGAGCGTGAAACTCTAATCTGAGAGAACATCTACTGAAGCAGTTATGTGGCTTTTGAGATCCGTTGAGTTGTGCAGCAGTTTATTTTCCAAGAGCCGTAAGACGATGCGTGAGAGAATGCCGAATATAATTATACAGGTACGCGAGATATTTTGAAGTATCTTTTCTTTCGAAATTTATGAGATCTATCGGCTGATAATACAATTTTACGTAGTAATATTTTTTTAGTGTTTCGTTAGAATGTTCGTTGTGTAAATTGACCGATACTGCAGTTTCTACTTATAAACGGCGACGTTTCCAAAAGTAAGTGTGAAGAATTTTGCATAATTTTAAAGCAAAAGCAGAGACTAAATGCAACTAGATGAAGTTTTCAAAATACCTGAGATGCCTTCAAAATATAAATCCTGGTAAGGATGATGTTGGCAGCTTGATTCCCTTTGGCGCTTTGCGCTCGAGCTCGTAGCGGAACGCTGCGTCTACCTCCCCACTATGTGAACCCCTGCACATGTGTGCGCGTATTTCTGTGTGAGCGTTATATCCAGGAGTAAAATCTTGTTCTCACTGCTTGGTCAAGTTCAAGGACCTCAATAATCTTGGTCTTCTGCAGCGCTCTGATAGTTGGAAATGGTTGGGATATCCAAAGTACGACGATCGATCGAGCGGAGCAGAGGTCTCGTGTGAGTGCGGATCACTGGAACCCCGTTATACGTGCTGGTCGTGTAGGATCTTCAAGCTGAAACGCTCATGACGTGAACCAACGACGATCGTTTTCTGGACAACAATTTTATCGATGAGCGACGTAATCTGCAATTAATTATCCTGACAACGTCGGCTCTTTTCATAAACGCAAGTATCGAGCCAAGCTTTTAATTGGCGATCCCAATGGCTGTCCTACAGATCGGCGTGGATAAAACGAAGTGACGAACGAACGTTGATTGGCAATACCCACGAGAAATTGGCGCGGACCAATCGAATTCTCGGAATGAGCGCCAGGCCGCTTTTAGGACGGTAAAGGACGAGCGATTCTCTCGGCGAGCACGTATGCGCAACGTAGCTATCGTCCACGGGCAGGCGAAAGCCAAGGGGCCAACGTCGGACGTTGGCCTCGTCCGCGCGCGATCCCCCTTTCCCCCCGCGCGCTCGTAGGCCGCCACTTTTTGCTCCCGTCGCGCTTCTCCTCCGAAAGTTCTTCCGCGATGCCGAGCTTTACGGGGGAATTTTGGCGCTGTTCGTCCTCTCGGCGCGTGCGACGCCATTACGGCTCTCGTACCATTCATCCGCGCTCGGCCCCGGCTCGGCTACAATCAAACTTTAGACGGCCGTGCAGTCGGCAACGAACATTCGATTCATCGGGAACAACGGTAATGAGCAAGGACGGATCGTGTGTTTGGAAAATCCATTTATTACTCAAACAAATTACATATGCGCATACAAACGTAGTCGTGGAGTACACCTTACGAACGAAAAATTCATTTGGTGGTATCTGCATAAGTATAAGAGAAGAGATATCTGCTGTTCGCATCAGCACGCCATTCGTATGAAGGAGGAAGCGGAGACGTCGCGCTAATGCGAATCGGATACGTATATAAACTTATGAGACTACTCACGTGTCGCCGTCGACAAGTTGTGCAATTCGCTCTCTTTCTTGTTCCCGGCTGATTTAAATTTTTGCAGACAGACGTGCAATTTTGACGCGAGAGCGCGTACAGTAATGTCGCGACGTCAGTGGATTGATTCACCTTTTCGGACTACAACGATATCTGCTTTGCGTCTAATATATTCCACATTTTACCCGACCCATCTCATGGCTTTCTTTGCCTCGAGGTTCTATTCACTCACTGTATTTCGATAATATCTGCAATATACGTTACACTATTCATATCAAAATATTTATCTATGCTTTTTGCGAGCTTCTCATGTGTATATTATTACATTTGATAATACATGCAGTATGTTGTACAGTAGTATCACTTATTTCTTTAATAATTATACGTGACGTAATGAATAAAAAGAAGTAATGCTATAATGCACGTTGACAATTTTGACGACGTAATCTCATCAGCGGGTAACCGATTTTTCGTTCTCTTGCGAACGAAACGAGTAGCAGCTAAATATAAAAATGCAAGTGTGAAAGAGCGAACAAAAGTGCGTGCATGGTTGTGACTTACAACTAAAGAATGGCCTTAATCCTGCTTGCAGACGCCGAACCGATCGCGGCTTCGGCCAGGCCCACAAGCCTCAATCGCATCCCCGATGAGCTTGAGGCTTTGCGGGTCGTGAACCGAGTCAACGAACTTGTACTTGCTCGACAGGAAAGACTTGCTCTTCTCGGCAGCGTGCGAGGCGGCTTCCCTGGGCCTGAGATTCCTCAGTGTCCTGGCGACTTGGCCGACGTCCCTCGTCGCCTCGTCGCTCTTGCTCTCGCCGTCCGCGTGGCTCTGGATCAGCACGACCACGGCCTCGTCGCCGGCGCTCTTCGCGGGTCGCTCGCCGAGGGAAACGTCGTCCAGGCCCTTGCTGCCATTAGCGTCGGCCGCGGCGTTCGCCTCCGAGTCGGCCTCCGCGTGCACGGGCACTCGGTTGCTCTTGGTGTCGGCGAGCAACGAGGCCACCGAGCCGAGAAGGTCGAAGCCCGACGACGACGACGACGGCCTTGCGAGCACGATCACGAAGTTGTCGAGGTCGACCTTCACGTTGAGATCGCCTTCCTGACGTTGATCGTAGCTCGCGAGCGGCGGTGCCGCCGAGCTCGAGCCCAGCAGCGACAGCAAGCCCACCAGCAGGAGCTTCATGGCGAGTTGGCGGGCGTTGACGATGCGTCGGGCGCGCTGGCTCTGCCGCGACTGCACACCTCGATGCGGTAATAGCGTACGCTCTCGCGACGAGCGACGGGCAGGGGAAGCGCCTCTCTCTCTCTCTCTCTCTCTCTCTCTCTCTCTCACTGCGGAGGGAGACCGATGCCCCGTGCGGCTTCTGGATGATTACGCTGGCTTCGGCTTCAATTGTCTCAGATCGAAACGTCATTTGCGTACCGTGCCAGGGGTTTTCGAACCTTCCAAACGAGTTCGGAGGAGTTTGCTCTTCTTAATTAGCGAGGGCTACTTTTTTTGTTTGGTTAACGGGGACGAAGTTCAGCTTTCAAGGATGTCAGATGTTGCGAAACAGACGGCTTCTCCGAGGTGCGCGATTTATGGACTCGCGATTCAAACCATACTCTACCCAAAGTACATCGAATCTATACACAAGCGAGTGCGAATGAAAGAAAAGCTCGGTCAACATTTTATTATTTATTGTCGTGAATTTCATATAAAACTTAAATCTAAACGCAGAAGGGGAAAGAAGTGTGGCGCGAGGCAGAGCAATGTAAAAAAAATTAGACAAATCGAAGACTTAGGCTGAGGAGTAATCTCGACGAGCGTGACATAGGAACGTGGATGTGGAGTATCGCCCTCATCTCTCTCTCTTTCTCTCTCTCTCTCTTTCGACACAATTAGATTACGCGTCAGCACCGTTCATCGAGCGTCCGCCGAAGAGCTGCGATTTTCCCAGCAGAGCTGGCGCCAATCGCATCAGCGCTGCTCTTGGCCTGCAACGATCGATAAACGTGAGGAGCAAGGCTTGAAAAGTGCGCGCGGGCAACGTCGAAGTGGACGTGGGCGCGACGCAGCAACCTACGAAATGAAGGAATGCCGTCGCTTGAAGCACCTGCCCGAGCGCATTTGGAAGCCCGTAGGGCAGCGCTTCCTCGACTCCGCCGTGCCTAGTGTCGGCCGTCTGGTCGTGCTCGCGGTGGTGGCGGCGGCGGCGGCCGTCGTCGTGGTCGGTTCCGCCGAGCTGTCGGCCTCGATCGGGGGCCGCTCGGTCGAGCCGACAACGCCTGGAGCGGGCTCGCCGCTCGTACTCGAGGGCTCGGGGGTCGTCGTCGTCGTCGTCGTCCTCTTGGTGCTCGGCTTCACTGTGAAGTCCGCGTCGTCGTACAGCGGATAGTCGTAGCTCTGTAACGGGCAGCGAAGTCGAGAGAAGAAAAAAGAGACGTGGGACGTCGGCCTGTGGGTGGTCAGGTCGCCGACGAAGCAAAGGAAAGAGAATTAGAGCGCGGCAGCCAACTTACGTAGTCGCCGAGAAAGTCCGAGTCGACGATCGCGACGATCTGCAAGTCCTTGACGTCGACCTGCACGTTAATTTTACCCTCCTGCCTCTGGTCGTAGCTGGCAGGCTGGCCGACGACGAGCGCAGCGATCGGGCCGAGTAGCCAAGCGAGGCCTGATAACCCAGTGCGAGTCATTGTAGGTTGTAGCGCGCGTTGTAGATTCGACGGGAGCCAGGCTAAAAATGAGAAGAGGAGCGTGCCACGGGGGAGCGCGAGGCGCCGAGAGAGCGAGACCGGGAGAAAGAAGAGAAAGAGAACCGGTATGGTGGGTACGAAACGCGTGCGTGTAGAGCGCTGTAGACAGGGACGTTGGCCTCTCGAGGTGCAAGGTCAAGGGCGTGATTGATCGGCACTTGCCTGCGGTAACAGCGAGGCGGCCTCCCCGATCGTCGTACGCGCGTTCGTCTTCTTACGCGCGAGGCTCGCCTTAATAATAGATGCAGCTCTTGAGCGCACTTCTGCGGGCGTGCGGCTCGTTCCGCCGATTATAGCTTGCGGACAAGGACGATGGTTTTAAACGAATCCGGAGAGATGTTATTCGCAGCGATTGGGGTTGCGTTTCGGACAACGGACTGCTGCTCCTGTTCGCGTCCTATCGATTTCAGTGTTGATCCAAGCCTCGAGTATAGCTCGCAATTTGCCGTGGGTACGCGTAAAAAACAAGCAAAACTTTCATAACGGATTAAAACGAGTTCAACGGCTGCGACTTTCGCGCGCCAACTTTGATACCCTTCCACGGGCTTTTTTGCGCGAAATCGCCGAGTTGATACACGAAAACCGGTTTCATACAAGCGGAGGCACATATTTCCAGGATTCGCTGTAGATCTTTCGACGCGCCGACGAATTTTTAACGAGTACTATTATCGGTAATCTTAACAGTCACGCCGCGATCAACGATAAGTGTCTAGCATTTCATGGACATCGCGTAGTAGAATATCATACCAGCCAAGCAACTGACAATGTACGCATGTACGAATAAACTAGTTTGTTGAGTTGTGTTCGAGATGTACAAGCTAATATTTTATATACTTCTTTGTACAAATCGCTAATCGTTGTTTTTGTTTTGCACTTTTCACAATATTGTTAAATATCAAAAACAAACTCCCAACTATCTTTCGGTGTACGTTGTTTTACTTGTGTGATATCTACATCTACATATGTACATAAATATGTACAATAGGATAAACAAGTTTGTACTAAATATTATAATTCAAAAATTCGTCATTTATTCCACACGCAGGCTATCTAAAAACATTCTCCAATAGACAGAGAGACAGGCAGAGTTGCTCGGCAGCTTCATTTTATACGTATTCGATTCCAAATGTTTTTTAAAGAAATGACAACCGCACTCCCATGGATCCTTTATACGTTACATTTGTTGCAAAAATGTGCATTCGTAAAATACTTACCCCTAGTCTAAAGCATTAAACATGTTTTCGTCACTATACGCTGGCTCTGAATGCACTGCAATGCTTTATGTATATTACTCAAACAACGTTTCAAGTGAAACTGATTATACTGACATCTTACAATTAGTTTGAAATTAAAAATACATGTACTAACTTATCTTAGCAGGTATAACGGTAACCTACACTTTACAACAACGATTAGATTATAACACTTCGTCATACTGCCATTTATTTACATAAAACTGAGTGGTTGTAGGGAAAAAATACAATCTGTCTCGAATATTTGCTATTAAATATTATTTAAAAAATTAGAAATAATAAACATTCATATTTTCGTTTGCGCGATACTACAATTTTCTTTTCTAATTTACGCTTTTAACAAAAATTACGAATAAATTACTGTAATTGTAAGCATTATAAGCTTATTTTGCAGTTTTATCACATCCGCCTCTTATTATAGTCAATAATACAAGTATTTAAAGACGATTCTTGTAAATATCAAGTAGGAATAATTCGATCTGCTTCTGCCGATTTTCTTTGTTTCAATCTAATCGTTCAAACAGTAAAAAATTGTACTCTTTTTGTATGTTCCATCTTAAAAAATGTATCTTGTTCACATTAAAATGTAACTGTCACAGCGATTTCGTTCTTGCCAATTATCAATTTTTACTTAACAATTTTATTTTCTTAATTCTACAAAAAAAATTCTACAGGGACTCGGCTTTGCGCATACTCAAGGAATCGTGAAAATGCTTACAATCTCGTCCCACGCACATCGTATCGAACAATAAAGTTAGATACATACGCGAGAAAGTAATTTCAGCCTCGTGTGGCCTCTTCACGTGGCAAACGTCCACACGAGGCTGAAATTGTTTTTTCGCACTAGTACCCAAATGTACTGTACCTATCATTCGTATTTGTCACCATTTTTCCATGATATGCTCAATATAAGCACCTATCAGGCTCATCAAAGCTAATAATTCGCATAAGGCTTCCGCGCAACAATTCAAACAGTTTCGCGCTCGGTCGAACATACATCGCGCGCTCTCTCGCATCAACGCTCCACGTACCAGTCACCACTACTACTAACGCGCGATTCATAACACACCCACGACTTTCTCGCGCATCCTCTATCTTTCTCGCGTACTATAGCATAATGTGCGTCCAATGCATGACACTTTGACATCGCGAAAGGCTACCGCGTAGATTCTCACTCTTTCGCTCTTGCTCACAAATATTTATCTCAATCCTCAGCTGTGCGGAACGTACCTCAGTGTGTCGGTGTCAAGTTGTAAGCAGTTACAAGAGTGTTACGGAACAAAGCTCCCAGGGACGCGCAAGCGAAAAGGCTTCCAATTAATCGTTGTTGACGTTGTTATTGTCATGCTTGATGCATTGTTTTATTAAGTTTTGAGATCATATATTTATCTGTTGTACACCTGTGTGTGGCGAAGATGTCATTTAGGACAAAGATCTACGTTTGTCGCTGCTGAAGATAGTTGTGTCTGATCATTAATAGAAATAACATCCGCCTCGCAGAGTCTACGATGATTCGCCGTTTGCCACCACACGATGTTACAGTTCTTTAGGAAAGCCGGTAATTATAATCCTATCAGTTAAATTTGCTTCACAAATTGATTGGTTCAGCCTGTCGAGTGTTCATTCTGCGGGTTTCATTGACGACACTTCCTCTTTCTCTCTCTCTCTCTCTCTCTTTTTCAAGCCAGTACGTCGGGAGCAGGAGTTATTCATCGTTTATTTAACTATTAATTCCGTTTATATTTGAATAGTTTGAGCTTGATTGATAGTTAAACTGCTTTGCTCTTGTACGAGATTTGAATGAATCATTACAGCTTTGCAATTTTATATTTGTTATTGCCACGAGCGATGCCTAACATAACCTTATTATCAAAACAATGTGCAAGTTTGTCTGATACAGAGTTATGGAAATATCACCAGATAAAGTTATCTCTTTCGAATTCAATGAAACAACGATATACATTGAAATTTTCACGTAAAGCTCGAACGGTTTCTACTCGTTGACATATCGCGTGGATTCCGTGCTTTCGTTTCATATTTTAACTATTCATTTATTAACTTAAGTCCATAAATTTTTCAAGATATCTAATTTCACTTGTGTAAGAACAGTTGTATGTTACAATAAAATTATTGCTAAAATAGTCATATTATTCAGGACATAAGGATAAAACCAAGTCTTCACACAGTTCCCCCACAAAGTCTCATACAAGTCGAGAAGAGCTAATTGGAGATGGATTTGCAGCTGCTTCCAATGTGGCATCACCAAGCTCATTATGCAGCTTCGAGGAGGAAGAGGAAGATGATGTGCTTGAAGATGCCAAACATCAATTTAACAACTTTCGTTCACAGCTCTCAAAAACATTACCTGAAATCCTTGCAGATAAAGGTGCATTGGGATATTTTATTCAGTTTATGGAGTGGAGGAAAGAGACAGCATTGATTAAGTTTTGGTTGGAATTGGAATGTCTTTGTGGTGCTTATACAACTATAGGAGCTTTAAATATTAAGGATGAAAGTTCTAAAAATTCCAGGGAGCTTATTAATTCTAAACTCAATACAGAAGGTATTGATAATTGTGCCTGTAGCATAATATCCAATAGCATTAATGATCTTGAACTTGATACTTCGTCATTAGATTGTAATGTAAATAGTTCTGTACACAGTTTGGTAAGCATAAATGTAGTAATAAATTAGTAAATTCTTTTCTTTACCTTTTTAACTATGAAGCCTAATAAAAACATGTTATTTTACCGCCAGCCATCTTTAAGTACTGTCAACAAAAACAAATCAAATTCTAACCCACCAAAGAATAGCTCAATAATAAATAGTGAATACAAAAGAAATTGCAAATTCAGAGAATACAAAGATTCATCATTATTACAGCAAGATGCAATTCGTATATATAAGAAATATTTGGCAAAAGATACTCTTGGTACCAATCGCATTATAGAAGAATTAAAACAAAATATAAAGAAATCTGCAATGACTGAAGATACCGAAATAACACTGAAATATCTAACAGAAGCCCAAAAAATAGTATATGATATTTTGGAAAAAGAGTAGGTATTGATTAATATGAATTATAATAATAAAGTATACTAATTTCGATATAATTCATTTTTTGATAGATATATCAACGATTTTTTGAGAAGTGATTTTCACTGTAAACATCAAATTGATGTTTTGACCAGTGGTAATGTACAGATGGCAGATATATTATATAATGAAACTGCCTTCTTTTACTTTATGGAGGTAATTAAAATTTATTTGTCCAATCTTTTATAGATCACCTGATATTAATTCAATAATTATTTTTTAGTTTATGGAAATAGAAAATAAACGCGAACTTTTGGACTTTTGGATGACTGCGATGAATTACAAACAAATTTTACTAGAAAAAGGAGCTATGGCTGATCAAACAGATGCTCAAACTGATGCTCTCATAATCTATGACAAGTTGGTATTTGAGACAGATATATCACTTTTCTTTGTAAGTATAAATAATAACATTTTTCTCTTTCTAGATATTTCAGTTTACAAGCGACGATGCCTTTAGGATTTACGGATAAAATTCGATTCCAAGTTGAACAAAATATTTGTCGGGAGGATGGAAAAGCTCCTCAACCAGATTGTTTTGATCAACCATGTTATATCGTCTATAATTTCCTAGATAAGCATTACCTTCCATCATTTTTACAATCTCAATTGTTTTATAAATATTTGTCAGAATTGATAAATACTGTTCAAAATAGTAATTATCCCGTTTATCACCCGTCACTTCGGAGAGCAGGTACTTTTTTCAGGCTTTATTTAATCATAACTATTAAGTCACTGAAATAGTTAAAATTCCATTATTATTTAAGGGTCTGATTGCAGTAGTGAAATGAGCTCTATTAGTAATGTCACAAGCCCCATATTAACAAAAAGTGAAGAAAAAAAGCAATCAAGGTACAATTCATTCAATGGAGGAATGAATATTGACACTAAACAGCTTTACGATCCTGACTCTTTATGGAAAAGAAACAAATCAAGGTATAGTAACCATCGAATCAAAAATCTTTGCAAATTTCCATATTTTATACCCTAAATTTCAATTTTACGTTTTAGCCTGAGCGTTGGTTACGTTGACAGTATGGGAAGATTTGTAACTGAAATTGAACCCGATCCATATCGTAAAAATGATAGAGAATCACGATTATCACGAGCTGTTAAAAGACTGGTACACATCGAACAAAACGAGGTAAATACTGATAATGTTTTCTTTTTAATTTAACGATTCATAATAAATATATTGAATTCTATTATTCAATGTGTATTTACATTTATTTATTAATTCTAGACGAAAGAAGAATCTGCGTGGAAAATAGCCGAAATGATAGTTCGCGATGTTACATCGTTGACACTTGGAGCAACTGATCTTCCATCTTAATAGGACTGATTTTGAGCTGCTCAACAAGCAACATTTAAGGACATGTTTACAATTAATTATTAATTTTTGAAAAAAATAGATTTGTGTTCGAATTCAATCAATGCTCAACGAAAACAAGCAGTGCTTCTGATAATTTTTTTTATAAAATTTTAACAAGTAGAAATTTTTTAAATCATTGTTACAATGTACAAGGAGTTTTTTTAGTTATTTACGTTTAATAGCACAAAATAATTTCTTGTATCAAGAAGCGCTTATTTCCGTCTTGGTAATTTTCCTGTGATCATGAAATTTTATACTTTTTAAAACTTTTTGAAACCGATGGGTTCGATGAATTTGTCGATCTTTTTGAATCGACAAGAGACCTTCCATGATGATGAGATTATTATGAAGTATTTTATTATTATTTACAAAAGTTATTAGATTAAAAAAAAATAAATTTTGTTGTAAAGTTGAAGTTCAAGAAGAGCATAGCATGACCTATCAATCACTATGTGTATTTTGTGATATGCACTTGTAATGCATCAAAATAGTATGTTACATGTCACCTAATTAATAATGAAGTTTCATCGCCTGAGTAATATTATTATTCTTTTAATGAGTAAACGTTGATTATTAGATTGATTAAATTATTTAAAAATGTTCTATAAGCCTTAATAATCATTAGTAATTATTCAAAAGTTTCCACCAGAAACTATAAACTAAATTATTAATGACCTAAAAAGAAAGAGAGGACTATTAGAGAGGAATAAAAATATTTCATGATATCAGAGAATAATTTATTTGCATAAAAAAAAAAAAGAAAAACAAAGCAAGAATAAAAATTAAGATGACCTATATTTTCTTAAAATACATTTTTACACGGTGCTAAAACTATTAAATGGACGGCGATGGTGAGTCGTATAATCATTTGTAAAAAACATAAGTTATATGTAAATAAATACGCTCGTTTCGATACTTTCACACTGTACGAATACATAGTATATAAATAATTTTTAATGTAAATTATCATAGATAAAGAGCATAGTTACGATTATGATTTGCATATGATCTAAAAAAAGAAAATCATAGTTACATCGCCTGTGTATATATATATATATAAACTAATTAACTTGTAAAATATAGCGATCCTATTTGGTTCCGGGTGAATAAAACTATACATTCAATAAAGAGAAAACATACTTCTTCTTAAAAAAAGTCCCACAGTCTCTATTTCATAAATTTTTCGATTTGACGAATCTTATTATTAGCATTAGTATATGTACACGCGTTTATTTTGTTCGGGTTATTGGCTTATTCGTTAGTTGAGTCTCACTTAAAGCTACAAGAGAGTTAGAAAAAGCTTATCGATGGAGCTTACGTCAAATAACATATCACAGTCATTATTACAACGACGACGAGCCGTTGATGCTAGTGTGCGGTGTACACCTGTACTGTGGGTTGAGTAAAGGAGATGACTCTGTTATGTCGGAACTGGCGTCGGTGTGCCCGAAGTAATTGGTTCTCAGTCTCTTCAATTTGTAACACCACTCCAAACGAAACTTTTCCTTTCGGCCCCATCTCTTGTAGACTAGCGCGTTGAAAAACGCTTGCAGCGGATTCGTCACTGCCTGTCGATTGGAAACGCTCGTGAGGTTTTTATATAGACGAGGCTAATAGTAGCATGAAACTCGATTCTTTAGTATAAGAAAGTAGAGTCATCTATCGCATGTAGATTTTCTCGAAGCGTTGCAAAGTAGTTTAGTTGCAAATTAGTAAAGCTCACCATAATGTACCACAAAGTGATGATAACTCTGACGGGCAGTTTGAACCACAGTGTCCACAAGAGGATGCCATTGAGTAAATTTGGTATCCAGCAAACGTAGTAAGCGAGATTTGTCATGGCGAACTTCAGTCTGATCGTTTGCACCAGCTTCCGCTCTCTGCCGGTCATTTGTGCCATACTACAAGCCACCACGTTCTTCAAATCTCTCGACGACGAGATGTACAGCACAGGGTTGACGATCATGACGATTGCGAGAAGAACGTAGGTGGCAAGGTAATTCGGGAGAACTCGTAGAATTGCCGATGGTAGTGTCGTCACGTTATGACAACTGTTTCGAAAAGTTTAATTAACTTTCACGTTATCATGAAAGAACCAAGTGGTGGAATACTCACTTTGCATCGGGAACGTATAAAATGGACAGACCGATCAGTGTGAGTGCAGCTGGGCATATCCAGGCGAACAAGTGATACAAGAGTGGTCGTCCGACCCGTTCGCCCAGCAGTAACTTCATGTCGATGGCGTAGCAAAGCGTCCAAATCCACGTTGCCATATAAAAATACTGTGTCCATGCCTGCAAATCAATCTTCATTAATTGCAAATTCTTCAGATAATTCTTCTTCGGACAACATACATACCGATGAAATGGCACAGAAAATAACACTCGAAGTGTCGTCCTCCATCGGCATTATAGATTTGAAATTCATCCACAGAGCCGACCTAATGAACACACCTGCAAGGCCGAAAGGGAAGCTCGTTATTGTTACAAAAAAAGGAGTTCGACAAAGTAGTGCGTATGATTAATACCTGACGATGCGAACAGATCGGCTACAGCAAGCCATCCAATGATGTCCCTACTCCTCGCTGCTGAGAAGCCTTGCCACCTAAGTTGCATATTCGACTCTTGCCGAGGTAATACCTGCAATTCCGTCGCGAGACTTTAGAAAAAGCAAGAAAGGGACGTCCACGCTATAGCTTGTATAACGTGAAAAAAGGAAAAAAGGAAGCTCGTTGATTGCTTCGGAAATGGCAGCATTATTCGGCAATGATTTGATCGCGAGAAGGAACCAAGTGAACCAACCTGATAAATAGCTCCCATAATTCCAAGCGACGACGACACCATGCAGACGGTATTGTAAGCGTCGGTGTTGAATTCGTTCATGATGCTTGTGGCCATGTCGGTGCGATTGTTGTGGTGGCAGCAGAACGTTTGTATAGTCGGGTCAGCCATGGTTGCCGAACTCCCCGCCACGAGTGACGGACGTTGGGATGCGACAAGTCTCGGACTGGCGGCTCGTACCCAGGCGTAGCTCGATTCCTTATCCGCGAGGTTCGGGATCGGCGCCCATCACGCTGCTCCTTTGCCTGCGAATACGGGGAAAAGTATGAGCGCTGACTCCTCGCGCGAGCAAACGTCGTCGGCGCTGGGCGTGTACAAGCGGCGGCCGAGATTCTTTGGCGACTGATAACGCACGAGTGCATTTTCATCGGTCGACTGTCTTGTTTCTGCCTCGTGACGGCGATACGGAGGAGCGGGGCGCGTCCACGTAGCGAGAATGCGACTCGGATTTCAAACTGAATCGGAGGCAGCGGCGATCCGGACACCGAGGGCGCTCTTTCCCAGTGATAAGACAGAGCGCTGGCCAGCCGAACGAGCCGGCGATCGGCATTTTAGAAGGAGCTTTCGGCAGCACAGTCTCTCGGATTGCGCAAACGCGGACGATGGCATATTACGAAAGGAGCCGATTACGGCGCTCGCGCGTATGCTAATGTTGGCTAATGTTGGCTAATGTTGGCTAATGTTGGCTAATGTTGGCGCGATCGCGGCGAATGCCCTTCGGGGAACGCCGCTGCATTTGCAATTAGCACTAAGGAGAAGCGCTGTTTTCTCTGCACTCGTGTGCTTATGTAATTGCGATTGACGACACGAGCGCGAGCCAACGACGAGAGCTTACGGACACAGCTGCGGGCATCGACGCCCGATCGAATTACGTTCCTGTATATCCGATTCGCTGCTCTGTCAATGCACTCTCTTGTGGCGCGGGTCGACCGGTCGCGCGTCACTTGCGTCGTGGTCTTCGTCGAGCCGAAAAATCGTGGACCACCCCGTCTGCCGAAGGACGCGAGAGAAGGAAAACGCAGGAGCCCTTACGTAAGCGCGAGTCGCGTAAAAGTCCAAGCGACGCGCGCGCACTGCGCTCGAGCGTCTCGCGCGTTGCCCGCTCCAGCGAGCACTGCACCGTGGCGGCGCGATCCGGAGCGACGCCGCGGGAGGACGGGGACGAGGGACGGCTGGGCAGAGGCCCAATGAAATCCGATAAGAGCCTCCCTCTGACTTGGGCTGCATCGCGCGTCCCGTCTCTGCCGGACGACGAAGCCGTACGCCCGTTCTATTGGCGCCAGCGCGCGCTGCCTTACGCAACTGCCGAGTGCTCTGCCGCTCGCCCTACTGTCGATTTCGTCTGCTTTCCGAGTCTCGACGCTCCTGCCAAACTGCGACCCTTCCGACGTCTTCGTTCGACGATACTGCATCCTTCGCAGAGCGTCAAATCTTACGGTTTCGAGTGATCTTCGACCCTTTCACGCTTCTGATACGACGATCGCGCAAAGGACGTTCGTCAGTCGAGGATTTTCGTTTATAGCCATTGACAAAACCTTCGTTATTCAAAACGACTAACCATGGCACAATTTGTTGGGCTACTTCTTTTTTCCTTCTCTTTCGCATGCACGCATCACGAAGCTGTACGGTGGAATCATAAGAATTATAGTGGCCGCTTGCTTTATGTAACTATTTATCACCACGATCAATTACGTTTTTCGCATAACAACCTAAACGCTGCTAAGTGAATGGTGTCATTTTATATACATCGATTATAATACATAATTATGCGAGCAATTTTTATCCAAGACCTAGACCTATTAAATATATTTAACCAATAAGCAATTTTTAACCAAGACCTACTCCGAGTGTTTGGCTACGCAACTGTATTCGCAATGAAGTTGGAATTTTTCATGTACATGCTGGCAAATAGCAAACGTTATTAGAATTACCTAAATAACCCAAGTTCACGTTCATTGAAAGACCATTGAAACGTTTGCCGTTGCTATGCTTTCTCCGCCATGCCAAGACATTTTAATCATATATTGCTAAAGGCATTTTATTACGCCTACTTGCCACGTATGAAAAAGTTTTCCGTTATATAAGAAAGATACGATAGCTCGATGCTACCTTGTGGAAAATGCATGCTGCCCACGTGGAAAGCGGCTGAAGACTAGAAGAAGGTTTGAGGAATAACAGACTCGCTGTGAAAAGCAAATGAGTCTGCCTTGGATATTTTATTCGAGTACATAATATTCAACGAGTTTTTTTTATAAGTTCATTACGTCTGTTTAATGTGCGCATGCAATCTCAAAAAACTATCTCAAATAATAACCGATAGAACATAAGTCTCGAGACTTATGTTCAAGTTTGTGGTATCGTAAGAATGGATGGGGTGCGTGAAAATATAAATTGAACGCAAAAAGAGATTAAAGGGACAGACAAGATTTTTGGTGCACTGGCCCCCCATATTGCCTATACGCGGATCCGAACGGTCAGGCAACAAGACAACCAAAAAGCAAGCTTACCGCACAACTTACGCAACGATCGCACAGCGTGCGGGAAGGAAAGTACACTCAGGGCAACGCAACGTCGACGTTCCGGTCTCGCTCGCACCACTTCGCAAACGACGTGCCGTACGAATCTGGTGCTGGAAGCGCGCGATGAGACCCGCACAGCACGCTTTGCCGAGAGAAACTGCCCATACAGCATCGACTGTTCGTTCGGAAGACAAGAGAGGGGAGACACGCTCATCCCTTAGAGCATGCCTCTGGTCCAATGCGCTCAATTCCGGATCGGCCCACGCGGGCTAATGGCTTTTGACCTGCGGTCAGCTACGCACTTTCTCTATTCATCCTAATTATGTTCTATTCTGCTAGCGTCTAAAGTTAACTATATGTATGTAGTTTGAACTGTGCCTGTTTAAAATATGTCCTCCGACTCTCTCCATTGGAGCTCACAGGCTTCAAGAGTATTCTTTTCATAAGTGCAGGTGCTCAACCTTTCTTTTCTTAACAGAAATAGATAGTTCCCACCTTTTCCAAATAAAACAATAAATTATTTTACTTGGAAAAGGTGGAAACTGTCAAAATAAGTCATTCAAATTTCAAGCGATAATTATGATCCGTCGTCAAAATTTTATCATTACAATGGAATTTGTTGCTTCAATTAAGTTATAGCCCTCTTGGTTTTCCATAATTATTTATTAGTCTATTAATTAGAAATTCAATAGAATATTATTATTTGTTTGTTTAATTCACTCTTACCGGGGGAGTACTTAAACAAAATAAAAATTACTATAGGAATACAAACTGTGAAATATTGAACAATATACTTTCTTTTAACACTGGCTATCAAATTTTTAATGCAAATAATACTAAGTTCAATAAATTCCAAGAAAGAAGGCAAATTAACCAGAAATTGAAATAAATACTTATTGATTTTACTTGATTGCTCTCACTGAATGATGCCGCAGCAATGATTGAACTCGTTACAGCCAACTTTCTAGTTTGTTCTCTATTCAATACATAGACAACCCTTTTATGTTTTCATCTATTTCGTTCTTTAATTTCAACGAAAAATTATTTTACTTGTCAAACGATTAATGTATAATGAATCTTTTATCAAACACAGCAGCTGAATACATATGTATACACATATTGTACATAATACATAAAGAGGAAAATAAGTCTAACGAAAAAAAGATGTGTGAAGTAACTGAAAAGATAGGTCTCCACTATAATATCTTCCTACGGCATACATGTCACAGCTCGTCGTTTTATAACCTTTCTAATTTTATGTTGAATTTTTATTATTAATTAGTATAATATACAAAAAAAGATAAAGATAGAATTTAAAAGAATGCATACTTAAACGAGTCTTTATTTTTACAATCATGAGAAGTTGTGATCTAAATAAAATTCGTAGTTTTTGATACATAAACGTTGGTAAATTGTTGCTCTGCCGTATGCAGATGTGTATAATAGCATCGATCAATTTGTAGTAACATTCCGATGAATTTATTTATTCCAGGTTTCTGAAACAAAGAAAATAATTACGTTCTACTTTCATCGTGATTCGATCGAGAATATAAGCGGAATAACAGGTTAGATTTCATTTCAGAAGTTTGATTTCATTCAAACAAGGAACAGGCGTTCAAATGTTACATGAAAAAAGAAATAGGATATTTCAGCATGAAAAAAATTAATTCAAAGAAAGAATTAAGTGAGTTTAAAAAATAACATACTATTTTGATAAACTTATGTAAATGTATAAATGTGCAGAAGATACAAACAGTTAACCTCGTACGTTTTTTGACAATGAATGCACGAAGTTTGTGATGAAAAAATGGCTTTTCATTCTTTATTCAGTTGTAAAAATTTTCGATGTGACAATCATACCGTGCTGCCTAATTTTCTGTTTCTTTTCCTTGTTTTTTTTCTTTTTATTATTATAAGGTTTTAATTTGTGTTATACGCTGACAAACTGTCGAAACTTGGAGTCACTCAATTATTACTGAAAATGTCTTGTACCTATGTACAATTAACTATTCAGTTTTTTGCATCACATAGGCATTGTACGTTGAGTCATTCGGACGAGGCGCGTGACATTGATTTATCTTCTTTCAATCAACTCCACATTTGCCGTAATCGATGGGGGGATCACATTTCTTCAGGCACACGCGCGAAGTTTCCTTTACTTTAATTGCACTTCTTATCAGCCGTTTTAATTATAGACACGATACAAGTGCAATCGCGTAGAAAATTGTTCACGAGCGTTTATCTAAATTTTTCATTGAACGGAATGTGTCGCTGACATTGACGACCTCTAACCATTTGGAAGCACCTACATACGCACAAACTGTTGGCCATTCGATAGAAAAACTTTTCTGTAAAGTTCTATATTATACCTTTATGGCTGACAATCGATGACTTTGCGGCATTTGCCTCGTGAATCTTTTTTGTAACATGGCCTACAACCAGGATCTATGACACTCGTAGGAGTAGGCATGGACTGATGATTGAATTTTTTTAGAGCCAAGAGCAACTTAGGATCTTCAAACTAGAATCATATCAATAAAATGCTGCATTTATGAACCGCTTATATCAATAACCAAATATTTACGGAAGTAGGAGCAACGAACCTGTTCATATTTTTCAGCGTTAGTTTCTGACAAAATGAGGCACAAGAACACGTAGATACACACGTACGCCAGTATCATTTTCACCATTCTCAAATGTTTTATTTCTGCCAAGCTTTCAATTTGACGCGAAAAGACAAAACGATCGACAGTATGATACTGCGTCGTTGACTATCGAAGGCTCGTACACTTTCAATAATTTTCCATTATCTATTTGATAAGGACTTGATCAATTGTCAAGAGCTTCGTATCGCCTCTAGAAAAATACTTCTTATGTGACTCAATGAGATTTTTACGCATTATAGCTTTTCGACTGGAGTCATTGCAATATATTTCGTCAAAATGACATTTATATGCACTGGGTCGCAATAATATACGAGATGTAATATTTCCACGTGGAAACATTATTTAAAAATTGCTATGTCGTAATTCAGAAAGAGAATGAACAAATGCCACCTCTACTTCATTGAAGAAATCAGATTAATTTGTAATATAATGTATGATCGTCTTTTTAGTATTGCTGATTGATATGATCTTAATGGCCTGTACATGTACAATGCATTCCAAAATTTTTTTGCTTCAAGACTATTCGTATTATATTTACTCTAGCTACGAGATGATAAAATAGAAATTGCTGTATTCCAGAAAATGTTATAGTATGCGCCAAAGTAGAAGTAGCAAATTTCATTTACTATACATCTATTTTTAATCTTAACATTCGGCTACAGTTCAATGTGACTGCGTGAAGTAAAAAACGTAGAAAAAAATATGTATACATTCTTCAATAGCATTGATATTGCCTAGACACTATCAACAAACTTTTTATTTACTTAACATCAAGATTGAAACTCATTTGTGTACACTACAAAAAGCACGAATTGATAGAAATTATGATTAACATATTTATTACAAATAGTCTTTGTTTTCTAAGACGGCCTATAAAATAAAATTATTCTTATTTCTCAGACACGCGCCAATCGTTATAATATCATAAAAAATAATTTCACTGATCGTTGTATAATATCGTTTCAAAATGTTATCTAGAACAAATAAAATGAATTTTTACATTGCCGTCTTGGCTTAGTCGAGGAGTAACCGTTGAGAGAGTCGCAAATGATATTTGCTTGTTCTTCCATTTGAAAAACCTTGCCCTCGTCAGATTGACAAGTCGATTGTTGTTCAGCCGACTTCTTCAACGCATAAGATTAGCCTACACTGGAACTGTGTTGAAACGTCATACAAATGATCTAATCTTCAGGCCTCACACCCCAAAATTTTGCGACATCTTCCATGAGCATCAGTCTTGTAACATGGCCTGCAAGTTGGTCGTGGTGGTGGATCTATGATATGTCTATTGTTAACCACCACGATGTTGTGTAGCACGCTGTCCTTGTCTTCGTATCTGTTCACGTTAGCTGGATAATTTTCGCCTTCGAACTGCGAAAAAACCAAAGCACTAATTACAACTCTGGTATAATAGATATTATGTAAAAATTATTCCAGCATACTCCAAAAGTTTTCTATGTTCTTCTGTCAAACAAATGTGAACGTGAGGCTATCATCAGAATTGTATCTGAACTTGATTTAGTGTCAGTTTGTCACATTCGTTTGACGGAAGAATTTTCATCGCAAAGAACGACAGTGGCACGTGTGCGAACAGAAACGTATAATGAAATTACCCTTATCGCATCGGTGTCTTGATTAAATCGATTTTCATCAAAAATTTGGCACTCGAATGCTGGTATTATCCCAAAGACAAGAACGAGTCCAATAATTAACCTTCTCATCGTGCACTTTTATCGAAGCGAGTGAATTGCGCGCCAAGTTCAAGAATGACCGAATATTTTTGGAAATTTTGCTCCAAACTACGTCCAGTTGCGGCGAATTAATGCTCGTTACTGTGTTTACGAGGCCCAGCTTGTCCGCTATTACTTCTTATCTGCTTCGATTGCAATCAATGGTATAAATTTATTATCGCTTTTAATCGATCATTGTTTTCTTATGCCCACCATATTTTAGTAAGCGATAAATACACGGCACATTTAACACATTCAAGTTATTCATTAAAGATAGTTTATGAAAATATAAGCAGAAAGGTCATGATGTACAAAGCGTTTTGTTATACGAGTGATAACGATTTGTTAATTGAAAGCTGTCTTAACTTGATTAAGTAAATTTATCGCACATATCATGCATTTTTCAAATTAAATAAGAATGTTAGAAAATATTAGTGGATCTACCGGCGCGTGTAATTAAAATAGTTTTAATTATATAAATTATCGAAAAATTCAACAATAATAATTTTTTCAAATTAAAAATTTTATCAAGTGCGTCACGTGTAATCAAATATAAAATAAAACTTTTCTGACGCTGTCACTGAAAAAATGATTAAACTTTTTCGCGTAGTGAATTGAAATGCGAAATGCTATAATATATTGAGAAATCAATTTAATACTATAAAAGAACTTATTTTGCTGGATTATACTGAGATTGGTTAGTTAAACAAAGATACGAGGCTGGTAATGAAATTTTGAAGCAAAATGTGTAGAATCTGTATTGATTTTAATGAATTTATTATCACAGTTGTCATAACGAAAACACAATACGATTGTATAATTTATCTGGTTTAACATTGATTAACATTGACAAATTAACATTAATTCGAATTTTTCACGCATCATTCAAGATCATACATGTGATTTAAAATAAACAACCACAATTGACGTACTGTAGGAAAATCAAATCGTTAAAGCGCCATCGCGTGTCATCAAACCAACAATAACAATTGTCTATATTATCGACAGTAGAAAATAAATTTCTAAAAGATAGTGATCAACAGTAATTTTGAAATGATAGTAATAATAAACTATTGATCTATGAATATCACATGCTGAATAAATTAACTTTAATTATATTTTGAAAGTGCAAGATGGATTTACGATAAAGATATTTTATATACATATCGTCTTGAGTATACGGTGCTGTGATGTGGATCTCGATCACTCGCAAACATTTGCAGAGAGTGATCCATCAAAGCGGACACGCGCACAGACGCACGCGTGTGCACGAGGTTGAGATCAGCCGAAATAAATGCGCCAGGACATAGAGAAACTCAATCTAGCCGCAATCAAAACTAATGCACGAACGTCTTATATCCTTTTTGGTCATCCTGCGCATCTTAAAATTAGTCGTCGCATAAATAGACATTTTCGCGTCGATTCTTTCCGCGAGCACTAGAAGCGGTAGGAGTAAATCAGTAAACCGCAACGTCGCGCTCCCTTACACCCCGTGTGACAATCAACCCGCACCTAAAAGGTCGGAAAGCATAGCCGAGCTGAAATGATAATTGGCGCATCGCGTTCATGTAGATTGTAATAATTGCCAACGGTGCAGGACCCCCGAAATGTGTAGTAATAGTCATTATTGCAACTTTTATGTACGCCCGTTTCAGTCTACTACGATTAGCTTTGAGGGTGACTCGATATATAAATGCTGTCTACTGATACTGATGCGCATTTCTATATATTTGTAGGCTATTATGATATAGGTCAACGGATATAAACAATTACAACATTTTTATGACAATTTTTCAAAAAATTTACGTATGCGTATAAGCGTTATGTACTATTTTGATATATATAGGAATGATGCGATTTGAGACATCTTTTGCTTCCTTGCGTGCTCCTATCCACTCATAAGGAACTCCCCGCCCCAACCTCACCGATTTCAATAATCTTTTGATATCTTACAATTCATGGAAAAATAAGATATACGTGTTTTTTTATCCACGGAAAAACACTGTTAGGGGATGAAATCCTCCAACAGACACCAAAATCGTACGTGACAAGCCATTTCTAGAGGATTTTCTGCTGCTGCCAACTTGAAATGACAAATGCTTAACATAACTTCAAAATTATTAGATAAACTTAAATACAAGTATATTTTAATAAAAGTGTAAAAAATATTCAACTTATTAGCCAATAGTTACCACTAAAATATTGCTCAGTTGAATATAATATTATAAAAAAACGTTTGTAAGTTAAGGCAATTTCGTAATTATTATTGAGAGTATGTTGCATGAAATTGCAAAGTTGAGTTATTTTGAATTCGTAAGTTGGTAAGTTCGTAAGCAATTTGTTGCGTACAATTTTCGTATCGGTTGGAGAATCAGCCACAGCATTACTCGTTGCGCACATATCTCCCCACATTGTTTTAACTAATAAGAACTCTACGTGCTTTTTGAGAAAATGAGTTAGAAAAGAAGTGTAATCTTCATAGAAAATGATCAAATTATTGCACCAATATACCTTATTGGTTTGCAATATAGTAATTCTCTTTCTATACCTCGTCGTCTGAAATCAAATCGACAACAATATTCTCATTACTTTCTGCTGTTTCATTATTTGTTAATAAAATTTTACTTCGGATTATGATTTTAATGGATAGAACATTATAACAGTTGATTAAATTATCATATTGAAATTCAACCTTTAGGCTGATTATCGAGTGACTCTGTTATTCTTTTCATATTTAATCGACCAAAAACTATTTCTGTAGCCTTCTGTAAGCTTCTAGCCATAGTTCTCTTTCGACGCTTTTTGGCTCAGAATTTTCATTTGCTATAAACAAATGTTTTTAGTTTGCTATTAGGTATTAAAAATTTATAATGCGCAAAATTTGCATTCTAAGCGTAAAGAAATATTGAAATATTTTTGTTTTTTTTTATTATAAACATAATATTAAATTTTTCAATATTAACAATACATGAAACTTTTATAAACTGTGACAGTTTGCTGGGGCCTTAATGAATTGTACGCGTTTCTTCGCACGGACTGATTTCTTTATCTTTTTCTCTTGTTTCTCCACCTGAAAAAAGAATTTCCAATATGATTATATCTATTGATAAAAATTATTTTAATTTTGTCGATTTCAACGACTGAAAATATCAAAATTGAATAAAAAATTTACTTTTGGTGTTTGGCCTCTGACTTTGCCAGCACGAGCCAGAGAAGCATGGACCTTGCTACCATGAAGATTTAAATACAAGTCCAAGGTAGGTGTCGGTAGCCCGTTGACGCGGATTTGGTCATTTACTGGGATGCCATTCCAATGTAGTTCCATATCGCCATCCTCGAATTTTCTTAGTTTTTCCTGTTCAAAAAAATCATTGTTACATAAAATATAATGTAGATTATCACGATCGACAAAATTATTTTTATAAATTTAAGTAGCAAATAAAAAAAACGCTATGTATATCAAAATTTAGCCGGCAATGACTATTAATAAGTAATAATACTCACTTTAATATCGGCTATAGTTTCGTGTTCCCCGCACTCGATTAAGTACGATTTGTGTCCTCGAATGTGGATCTGCATCTTGCGTTTTCGATATAAATTGCACAGGTTGAACAGTCTCCACAACAAAAATTACTAGTCTTGAAAAGACCACTCCTTTCAGGCAGTTGCGACTGAATGTACTCCACCGCTTTGCCTTGGGCCTTTTATACCAATTTACCAATCTAACCCCTCTTCTCTGCGATTTTCAAAAATGAAAACCATGGTCAATTCTAGTCCATTTGTGTAAGGTAAAAGATGAGCCGTTGGAGTATCAGATGTTAGACAATGGTTGAGTGCTCCGCCAACGGCTCATCTTTTACCTTACACAAATGGACTAGAATTGACCATGGTTTTTATTTTTGAAAATCGCAGAGAAGAGGGGTTAGATTGGTAAATTGGTATAAAAGGCCCAAGGCAAAGCGGTGGTGTACATTCAGTCGCAACTGCCTGAAAGGAGTGGTCTTTTCAAGACTAGTAATTTTTGTTGTGGAGACTGTTCAACCTGTGCAATTTATATCGAAAATACAAGATGCAGATCCACATTCGAGGACACAAATCGTACTTAATCGAGTGTGGGGAACACGAAACTATGGCCGATATTAAAGTGAGTATTATTACTTATTAATAGTCATTGCCGGCTAAATTTTGATATACATAGCGTTTTTTTTATTTGCTACTTAAATTTATAAAAATAATTTTGTCGATCGTGATAATCTACATTATATTTTATGTAACAATGATTTTTTTGAACAGGAAAAACTAAGAAAATTCGAGGATGGCGATATGGAACTATATTGAAATGGCATCCCAGTAAATGACCAAATCCGCGTCAACGGGCTACCGACACCTACCTTGGACTTGTATTTAAATCTTCATGGTAGCAAGGTCCATGCTTCTCTGGCTCGCGCTGGCAAAGTCAGATGCCAAACACCAAAGGTAAATTTTTTATTCAATTTTGATATTTTCAGTCGTTGAAATCGACAAAATTAAAATAATTTTTATCAATAGATATAATCATATTGGAAATTCTTTTTTCAGGTGGAGAAACAAGAGAAAAAGAAAAAGAAATCAGTCCGTGCGAAGAAACGCGTACAATTCATTAAGGCCCCAGCAAACTGTCACAGCTTATAAAAGTTTAGTGTATGATCTTTGAAATGTAGCAATTTAATTATAACAGTAGTTAATAACTTATCGAATGTCTTTTTTACATTGTTATTGATAGTTGATAGTTTTGGCATTATTTAAAGAAAAGTAACACCAATAATTTTGTTGACTATGCGTAAATTTTTGAGAAATTTTCATAAAAATTTTTATTGTTTATAACCGTTGACCTATTCAACATAATGATCTAAACATTTACACTGAAGTTTATGAAAATATATAGAAAACGTTTACATCAAGTTTCAGGAAAGTCGGTCTTTGGGTACAACCCTCAAAGTTGATCGTATTAGCCCTGGAACGGGATTATACAAATGGTTACTTGTTACTTGCGATGACAATATGATTTGTACGTCACGTATGAAAATTATAATGCGAACCTTGATATTGACTATTTCATAAAATCTTATCAAGATGCGAAGGAAAACATTTCTCAAGATAAGACAAATAAAAATCAATAAAAGTATCGATCATCAAATTTTGCATTAATTTCGTTTCTCTCTCTCTCGCTTTGAATCAACAAAGAAAGTAATAAACATGGATTTGCGTGATGCATTATGTGGAAAAAAAGGCAGATGCAATACGTGGGAATAGAAACCGCAAGAAAGCCGTTATCAGGGCAATAGGTCAGATAACCCTGAGATGAAAAAACGATGTCTGCGAGATTCGGTGCTAGTGCCCAGTGTCTGCTGTGCACTGGCCGGCGAGGCTTATCGTAATCGCAACTAAATTTAGCGATGCGTGCGCCGCTCGATGAAAAATAAGCCGAGTGACTTGCGAAAAAGAAGTATAGCGTATGAAAAACGCTGTTTGCGCCTTTAGTGCCCTCGAGCGAGCGCCGCGGTAATGTTGAAAATATACTTCCCTCGGTCGCGCTTTGATCAAGGAGAAGGAAATAATATAGCATATAATTACTTGGCCTAGCTATCGTCGAAGCGTTTATCACGAGGGTATTTTACTTATTGACCGTGCAGAAAAAGATGCCGATCGAGAGCGCGCTCGTTCCTCAAGTTGTACACACATAATTGTACTTTGTTGCAGCCGTCTCTTGCGATTTTTCTACCGATTATCGTGCGATTTCTATCGAGCCGGGATTTTGTTTTATTCTCACCGCAAGAAAAATCATTTTGCGTAAATTGGCCGGGACAAGGAAAAGTAATAGTTCCCCAACGGAAACAAGTTTGATTTTTCAACTTTTGAATTCAGAGCTGCAATTTACAAAAAAAGGGGATACCTATCGTTAGCTTGAGTAACCTAAAGAGGCTCAGGAGCTTTGCCATCGACATAATTTGCGCAGATTGCTATTGTCTTCAAAGAGATCAACGAATTGTTGGGCTGGGTTCTCGGAGATACGCGACACAGTGATCGGAGCAAAAACAAGGAAATAAAAATATGTAGAAACCGACGAGGAGCTTGGAGATAAGTTCTTTCTCCTTCTTCGTGTACGTCCCAATCCATGTGCATTGTGGTACATACGTGCCTGAGTATGCGTGTACGCGCGCGTGATTTTTCGCTCTTATACGTTGATCGTACACGCGTGTCGCACGGAATGCTCCTTTGCGCATCGCGAATATCGGTCGCAAAATGTGGATCGCAGTTGCGCGGTTTGTCCAGTTTGATAATACGCGAGAGATTTGGTCGTTGGCGCGGCGGCGCGGACTATAGTCGCGTTGTTTAGCTATCTAAAACGCAGAAGCCCAGTGGAAAATTAGCGTTGCTCGTCGGCGTTATTGCAAGATACGAATCGCCGAGCGAGGCCTCCGAACGAGAAAAAAGAACGGAGGTGTCGCGGCGTGGCGCTGACGTTAACATCGCGCAGTTGGATGCGAGGGCATCGCTGATTTCGGCGCAGCAAAGAGACGCACCGTCGGATGGATGCCGCTGGGGAATCGCGCGATCGTCGAGGGGCAGAGCCAGCCGCGATAGGGACACCCCGCGGAGTGGTTGCCACGACCGACAAGCGCGTTGCAGGGGCGAAAGGAGGCCGCCTTATCGGCGCCTTGGCGCAGGGCAATGCATGCGCGAGCTCGCGCGGAAAAGCAGATAGCGAGAGAGCGAGCGAGAGAGAGAGAGAGAGAGAGAGAGGTGATAAGCCAACTTATAAATCGGCAAATTCCCCTCGGCTTCACTTCAGTAGTAGTCGCAGCATCCCGTCGCGTCGTGCCCTTCGAGCATACCGTTGCCCCGTCCGCGGCTGTTCGCTCTTCGATCTTTCGCTCGCTTTCTTCCGGCACTGTGCGCTCCGCCAGTGTCGAATCTTGTGCTTGGTGCTCGATACGGAGTAGTAGCGAGAAGGCAGGCTAGGTCGGTCAGTTTGAGTGTGAAGCAGCGCGGTCTTCGAGCCTTGAGTCTCGCTAGCACAGCTGTATGAGGCTGGCGGCTGCCGAGCGAGGGGAGATTCGCGCGGGCAAGCTGATCGAACGACAGAGTCCGCTGGCCGACACAAGCACGCTGGGCAAATCAGCCAAGTTGAGTTCACGAGTCGACGAGCTTATCGTCGAAGGCTATTGCCGTGGTAAATTTCCACTTGTATCTAATACGTAGACAGGCTTATCTGCTGCGCGCGGTCTAGCATAAGTCGACCGCATGGACGATCGGCGAAAATGCATGCTCGCCCTATTTCTCGGATTGTTTCGTCGAAATGTCAGAACGCGTCTGCCTCGTTCGATAAGTAAACATGTGTATGCTTGGAACGCAGAATGCAATAGAATGGCCACAGTCCCACAGGGAGCTTTCGCAGTGCTGCAGGTCCGTAAGAATTCGGAGCGCCCGTTTCCCGCCAAGTTTTATCACGAGCAGGAGAAGGAGACCAAGGATAGCAAGAACGTCGGATTCAACGCCAAAGTTCTTCAAGAAGGTAACGAGCCGTGAGATAATCTTGCTCTGACGCTTGCGACGTGTTTGCTCGACAGAGAACATCTTATCTGGTCCAAGTAAAAGCGTACCGACCGAGAGATAAAATTGGTGACCGCGGGGTCCTGAATCTGGACGACAGAGAGAGAGAGAGAGGAGAGAGAGAGAGAGAGAGAGAGAGAGAGAGAGAGAGGAGAGAGGAGAGAGAGAGAGAGAGAGAGAGAGAGAGAGAGAGAGAGAGAGAGAGAGAGAGGATAAGAAAAAAAGATCCGATTATCGGCCGCGCAAGTGAGCGCTTTAACGAATGTCGACCGTGGGAAAGATATAGTTTTGCCGGTTATGTGTCTCGAGTAAGCAAAGCGCGTAGATTGGCCAGCGATTCTCACGCGTCGAATACGTCGAATTTGCAGGCAGAGAGTTGACGCCGCTCAAGTACAACAGCAAGTTGATGAACAGCATCTGGGGTCTGTACAATCGTTACTCGGTGCACAACTTCAAAAAGATCGACGCCAACGAGGCGGGCCTTTTGGCCTGGGGTCTGAACCCCGCCGAGGCCACCGCCAGCAAAGCACCGGTCGTCAGCGCCGGCCATTGATGTCGGAGGATCTTAGTCTGTATTGTAACTGATATTATAATATCGATAATCTCATTAGACGATATCTTTGTCCTCGAAGCTCTTTTTCTCTCGCTTCCCAGACAGAGAAAGACAGGAGCTGCTTCTACCTATGTGCCTTGTCGTAAGCAAAGCAGCCTCGAGTTTGGATGCGAGAGGCGTCCGCGAGGTGGCCGTACGACTTAATTTATCGCTGCAGTCCCTCCGCGCTTCGCCTCCCTGCAGTTCGTCCGCGACGACGACGAGCGCTCTTCGAATACGTATAGCCATGAGAGCACCCAGTGCCAATATGTATTATATGCCATCCACGATAATAATGCATATGTTAAATACGTGTATGATTCTTGTTGTAGATTCGTCTTCAGGATTATTAAATGAGATTTATGTACCAAGTTGACAAACAGTTTGTAATTAATTTCGAAATGACCTATGTCCTTTATTACCTCTCGATATCCGTCGTTGCTTTTCTACTTTCTTTCGTAGCGATAGGTATTACACTTGTAATATCGTTAAATAGTTGTAGACTCATGACTGGTAGATGAACTTGATATATCCGCTATCATCTTTAGTTATAGCAAAAGAATTATTTGAACGCATACATTTTCTTTTGTTGGTGGTAAAGAGACATTGACCATTGGCCATTCTTCGCAAATGAATACATCATAAGTTCGTCAGTATACCCGTCAGTATCCCGTAATTTTCCGAAATATCGATTGTCTACTATACTTCCAGATTATCCCGTGAATTTCTTTTACAGTCGATAAACAAGCGTAATCATAGGTGGATTTATTCTGTTTTCTATGATATTATTTTGCAAAATTATTGCACTTTCTCGGTATTGAATCTTTCTGACGTAAAACTCCTTTTGCCTCTTTCGTCGTGCTTACAATTTTACCGTTACCAGGCCCAAAAGCATAACCGTTGTGCGCAAAAGTAGGGTCCCAATCAATGATACTTTCTACCTTGTGGAAGATTTGATGCATGTTATACGCCATGGCTTTGTCGGTGTAGAGTTCTCGAGTATCACAAACAAAATCTTTTTGCAGTGTATCACTTTCTGAAATACTTGTACTTTGTATATAATGAAACGCCCCGACGAATAACTCCCACTGCTCCGCATATTTTTCAAAACCAAAAATCATTCTGAAAGACGGACAAATATAATACACAGTCTACTTTCAATGTATTTTATCACTGAGTAATCGACATAAACGACCTATCTGTTCTGGCACACGTACGTTCTGCGATATTTTGTCTAAATTATTGACATTTTTATTTATCGAATACGGTTTTCGTCGCTTGTTAAGCCAATAGTGTCAAAATTATCTTGCAAGCTTGTGGTAAGATGTGATTCATCAGGCACGAATCCGTCAATAATATGAAAATAATCAGTCTATCAAAGGAGATTTCGCTTTTACGCCACGATCTGGTTTTGAAGATGATAGGCTTTCATTTGTACCTTTTAATGTTCTGGTACGAGTGTGCTCTTCAGGTATTACGTAAAGAATCGTATATTTAATTAGCTTTCTTTTTGACAAGTAATCCCGGGTAATAGCACCGGTTACAGCCATTACTGTCATTAAGCTGCTTCAAATCTTGCATAGGTGCCCGAGCATTTGCATCGTCATAAAAACACAGGCAAAACTCTAATATACTTATTTCGTTTTCGATAACGCATTCGAAACCATGTTCGTTAATACTATCGACATTTTACACAAATGCCTCGAGTAAAATGTCTACATTAGATTTGTATTTTTCGAACGACAAAGCGCATATAACGAGCTCCGTGAATCTCACATCTGGAGGTATTGCGCTTAACTCTATTTGTATGGGCCAAATCGAATAATTAGAACAGTCAAAAGTCGGCGCCCTATCGCTTTTGAATATACGTATATCAGTCACGCAACAATTTTTGTAACAAACCAGTAATGATTTTATAGTTTTTTTTATTCCAAACCATCATATATATCACTAAATTAAAAATTATTTGGTTTGTATTATTTTTTTCGTTAATCATCAAATGTTGAGAGAAATATTGTGACTTTGTTTCTAATAAGTTTTTTCATTCTTTTTTCTATATTCAGTATTACGAAGAAATTGACACTATTGCCATTAACTTCAATGTCTCATTCACACTTACTGCAGAATACTATATCCTTTCACTCGAGTGAAATTTTTCTAAGGTAAACATTATATCAAACGCATATGGCATGATACTCGAGACTGTAGCTTAAGCGCAATAAGTTTGTTTAACATATATCGTTATTCGGATAAAATTTAGAGCTTACAAAACTACTAATCATTTTACATAATTGTTCATTCGCGTTCGCGGGCATTAAAAAATGTTCTCGAAATTGTTCTACTGCTCTGAGCTGCTGGTATTTCGTCTAAGTCATCATTATGTAACTTTTTTTCCAATTCCGAAAAATTTCCTTCTCCTATAGCAATCAAAAGCTTTCTTCATCTTCAGAATCACAAACAAAAGTCGTTCAAATCTTCATATAAACTTATCTGTAATATGCATACACTAGTAAAATTAGCATGTTAAAAATTAAGGATTCAAAACATTTATGCGCAAACAGAAAAAGATGAGGAAGAAAGTCTGAAGCCTTTTTTAAATAACGAAAAAGTATTTGCTTGTAGAAAGATTTTATCTTAATATTATTTGCACTATTCAATCTATTAACACTTATAAAATGATAGAATTCAAGTTTAAGTATACAAAGAAATAAAAAAAATCAGTAAAATAATGGAGAAATATGAAATAGAGTAGATAAATAAAATGTTCATTATGAATTCAAATGGCAGTAGTAACATTGAAAATAAACACAATTCTGAAAAGAATGAAAAATTCTTATTTATAATCCCAACTTGCTTTAGCTGAACTAAGACTAGGGAATTGTCGAGGCACTGTAAATAATCGATCATGTTAAGACAACTAAAACGAATCAGTCCCTAAAATGGCGAAGCATCATCGGTTCTCATGTCTTTTCAGATTTGTTCCAAGCGATAATTAAAAAATCGCGAGGAAAATACTTACAGGATATCCAAATCGCTGGAATATTCTTACCCCTCACTCGGGAGATCCATCAGTTGAGATTCTGTTATCTGTGATTCTCTCTGTGGACTAGCATCGATAAGGATGCTCTGAAAGAGCTAGCTGTGCGCTTGAATTAGTATCCGATAAATCTTGATGAATTCCATGTTTTTCTTGTTTTGAGTTTATACTACTTATGAGGCTATATGCGATGTCAATGATCATCGACATTGTTTCTTTCAATTTTCCTTTTCTTTCTGGAATGCTTAGTTTATCAAGGGGGATCATATCCTAGCTCTTCATACTTTTTATTCCTCGCTCTTAATTTTTTCTAACGTTAGAAACTTCAATGTAACAATATAAAAAGGTATTCCGAAGTTTATGGTGATTATCCAGTGCAGTTATTCAATTTAAACTATAATAAAGATATTTTATTCGTTAGCGATGATGTTATAAAGAGCTTTTGTATTCTCATACCTTTAACCCTATTGTGACTTTAATCATCATTCTTAAATAGATTAATAAAATATATCAATCTTCCTACACATTTGTGTTAACAATCATTTCTCAAACTCGACAAATATTCATAGCTCATGGCTATGTATTAATATATCATATTAATTCTACAAATTATTTGTGATATTGGTATAAAATTTGAGTATAATTTATGAAAATTTCATTAAAAGTTTATACTGAATTTATACAAAATTTATACGAGGAAATTCGCGTGCTAATTTTCGGACAATTCGGTTATGAAATTCGTACGACTTACGCATGAATTGTGCATGAACACAGCATGAAAGTCGTACAATTTTTTTCAGCAGGGCGAAGCATTCGTGCTTCCCCTTTCCCGCGCAAATAGCTTAGTAAATACAGTCACGGACAAATATTTAATTGTAAAAACCGACTCTACCCTTGCAACCTTATACGGGTAATAATATCTCTGCGGTTCCTTTCGATGGCATCACCACCACCTTGTCGTTGCTTTTGGCAATACTTTGCCCCTGTTCTTTGATCTTAATCTTTCGCTTTGCAACTCCAAATTTTCCCAGCATTTTATTGTAACGGAAATTTTTATTACTAAAACGAGTAGTGTACGCGCGACATCGTTAATATTCATGAATATCTAACAAATCCAGCGAACAACCGACGTCGCGCATATGTGTTTGAACTTATGACTTGTTTGAGTAATAAGGGTACGATGAGCAGTCTTACGACAGCGTATGTCACTTTTGACATACCAGAAATAGAAGTTGTACGTTTATGGAAGTATACTCGGAGCGTTATACATGCTGTGATAACGTCCGAATATGGGCTGAATTATATCGTAATATACGACACCCGAGTTGTCACCTGAATTATACTTATAGGGTATTATTTGTTGAGGCTACTGTAGTTCGGACAAGATTTTGTTTTTGTCAGCGTGACCGCCTCCTAATATACGAAACATGTAAAAGACGAGCTTTTATAGCATTCAATCTCTGAAAAACCGCTAGAAAATTATTTCCAGTAGTAAAAGCCTGGTTCAGTCGACCGCTATTCTGAAGGCGCGCCATGCGCATGTGTTGTCCGCGCATCGGCAGCGGTACAATAGCAGACGTCGCTCAAGCGAGTAAGTAGCGCGTTGCTCTCGCAAATGAATTTTAGTTGCTCCGTACTCTGTGTAGCTAGCGGCCTTCATCAATAAAAACAAACGAGCCGTTGAGTTTCCGCACGTGGGTGTCGATGGCTCCGTGGGTCATCTTTTCAGCCCAATCGAGTGCTGTTGTTGATGACAATGAGCGGTACCGGTGCGTGGAAAATGGACGGCAGCATTGCCACATTTCCCGACCATATCCTCGAGATGATATTCTCGCACTTGGATCTCTACACCCTCGGCAATTGTCTGCTCGTTTGCAAGAGATGGCACAGGTTTCTTAATAACGATGAAAACAACGATATCTGGCGCGAGCATTGCAAAAAGAAGCTCACTGAGGAGACACTCAGCTCGGATTTGTTGTCCTCAGTGCCCAGTTACAAAGGCAAACTCAGGGCTTACTATTATGCCTGGAATCCAAATGATTGCTCCAGGAATATCTATACCAAATTCAATGACTTCACATTACACAGGTTTTATCATTTTTATTCTGATATTCAACTATTGTTCACTCCAAAGCTTTTACATTTGACCACTTTCATTTAAAGCCTCGGTTATCTTATGAACTTGAATTATTTCTTAGGAATCCAGTTGCTCAAAGTACTGATGCATGTCGAGGAAAAATTGGGTTTCGACATGGCAGACATGCTTGGGAAGTAATATGGGAAGGTCCACTGGGTACTGTTGCTGTTATAGGCATTGCAACTAAGGAAGCTGCTTTGGTTTGTCAGGGTTATGTTGCTTTGCTTGGTTCGGATGAACATTCCTGGGGATGGAATCTTGTCGATAATAATCTCTTGCATAATGGAGATGCACAGGGCAATTATCCTCTTCCAAATAATGCACCAAAGTATCAGGTGAGTTTTTGATTAAATTATAGTTTCTAATTAATTCTTATTTGTTTGATTTATTGGTTCTTATTTTAGGTTGGAGAAAGAATAAGAGTTATACTTGATTGTGATGATAACACATTATCATTTGAGAAAAATTATGAATTTTTAGGGGTAGCATTCAGAGGTAAAATATTAATATGATAGAATCGATTATATCCTATAATTAAATTACTACTAATTAATGATTATGTTACCTAGGTTTACCAGATAAAAGATTATATCCAGCTGTTTCCGCCGTTTATGGAAACACTGAAGTTTCTATGGTATATTTGGGTCCCCCATTAGATGGGTAATCATTTGAATTTTTTAACGCAATTCAATATAACTCATGATGGTTGTTTTGTATATTCTGTGAATTTATATTAGCTATCCTAAGAAATTTTAGTAGTACGTTTATTATTTATTTTTTGTAATATATTTATTATAAATTAATTTCTTTTTTTATAATTCTTTTGCAAGTATTATACAAATGTTTCGAAATAATTTACGGTAGAATATAATTAATCTAAATTGTATATTAAAAATTGTAATATAAGTCTAACAATACTTAAAAAAACTTACAGTTTTCATAAAACTAAACACATCTTATGTACATACGTTTTATAATTACGATAATCAATGTACCTAGCAATTTGTTCTTTATTTTTTTCTAAACTTTTGTACAAAATTGTGTACATAACTTATACAAATATCCAAGAAATAAATTTTATTTCTTATGTATTGTAAAAACGAGCTACAATTCATTTATTCTCTTTCAGTCTTTGACGTTTACAGTAAAAAAATGCTTTTAATTGTCTCTAAAATCTATAAGATCATTCGGTTTACTTGTTAATTTATATTAAATAGAAGGAATTATTTCCATGCAACGCTTCTTAGTTCCCAGTTTTGTTTGTCGTTATTTGTACAAGCAGCAACGACTGGACTTGCATCGTCACTTGGAAATTCAAGGCACATACCAGACGGAACGTGTCGAATGACACTGTCCTGCAAAAGTATATTATATTTAATTAATCATTCAACATTAACGTTGAAATGTATTGTACTAACGTTCTCGTCATATTCCCATTTTTGGCTAGCATATCCGCTGCAAGCCATCAATTTAACTTTTGGCTTATTGTGCCTGGTGTCTTTCTCGGGAGCGTCTAGGCATACACTTTCATCGGTCATTATGACACCATCCTTTCTCATTATAAACATCTGACCGAGATTTGGCGGTGAAATGCAGTCTTGAATGGCTACCAATCCCGAAGGTTGAGAATATACACCCTTTGATAATGGCCTCATTAAGCATTTATTAGATGAGCTATGGACGATCTATAAAATATTTTTTTCTTTACTATGAATTATTATCTCACTACTACTTAATAATAAAATATTTGTAATTTACCTGCCCAAAAAAACGATCATCCTTAGGAAAAAAGTGGTCCTGCCACACATTATCTAAGTACCACTCAAAACTTTTGCATTGAAGCCTCTTCCTTAAAGCCAATCTCGACCTGATTTGCTGCTTATCTCTAAATCTCTCAGCGTCTGTTAGACAAAAACAGTTAAAATTCAATATTCACACCTCACACAGATCATTTATCTCTGTTCGACTCACGTTGATTAAACTTGAAGTAAAATTTTCCCCAATCGTCCATCCAGACCAGAGCAACCCTCGCTAAATTCCCATACAAAATCTCATCGACACCTCCGGGAAAAGTATATGGTGATGATTTTCGAAAGATGTGGCCTACGTGAGAGCAAGGCGCTATTTCGACACTCCCGCCGCATTGCCAAACTCGAAAAGACATCTCGAGATTTTCACCGCCCCAGATACGCATTTGCTTGTCATAACTGCCTAATTCATAGAAGTATTCGCGGTCCATGGAGAATAAACCGCCAGCCATCGCTGGTGTCTTAAATGGATCGACGCTATTCTCACGACGCTCACGAAGCAAAGCACCGTTCAACATCAGCCAACGAAAATGCAGGTCCCAATTGAATGCTCCCCAATGCAACTCGAATGACCTGATAATAAAATTATAAGAATTTTATACTTATTGAGAAAAAATTTAAAAGCTTGATTGAATACTTTTGTATATTTTTTACATTGAAAAGAATAAAACTAACAAATCGCACTGTTATGAGTTATTGCAATGTGCCCATAAATTTCATAAGACCGACGCGTGCATGAGACGATCGTTGCAACTTTTCTCATAATCATCTCGCCAGAGCTATCGGAATGAATTGCCCGGTAACATAATCGCTTGACCCAGACATAGTCTCGACCCTGTCGCAGTTTTTCTCTCAACTTTAAACAATTATGTAAGCAAAACAATGATTAATACTTATGTACCTTGTGTAGCTGAAAGTGTCGTCATTGATAATGTCTATCACAGGCGAGACGACTCTCGTGCGATTTTTTGAGATGGCTTCGAGAAGTGGCTCCAACCATCCTGCAACATAAGTGTCGTGTTGCGTCGCGATCGTCAATCGAAAACAATGGACCGTATAAAAAGCAATCTACCGGTAGTACACTCGCAATGAGCGTCGAGGAAGGTTAACACTTGGCCTTTAGCTTCATTTGCTCCCATTAGTCTAGCGTTTACCAAACCGACGCGTTCTCTTGTCCTTAGCACTCGAGTTGGCACCGTAAAACCCATCACATACTTGTCCAATGGCTTTTTCAAGAAATCTACAACAGCGTGATTTTTTCTTTTTCGTCTGTTAATAGCAGCGTTATTTACTTACCTCTATCACTATCGTCATCGACAAGGATGATTTCTTTTAATAAATGCTTAGGAGATCGGTTTATGACACTGTGAACTGTTCGTAACAGCGTGCTCCACGCCTCGTTGTGAAATACTACGATGACCGATGTGCTCGGTAAATCACCTAGGTTAGCATACCTCGAAATGCATCTGAAAACGAAAATAACGATTCGTCGTGTGATCCTTATTCAGCTGCTGTGCATTGCACTTACTTTTTCTTACGAACGTCGGGTAAGGTTCTGTTAAGAGGAATACGATCGCTCGCAAGCAAGTTGTATCTGTTGATCTGAAAGAGTTGCTGCATCAATTGGAAATCTTTCGCCGGTATATGCACGGGCTCGCCGTTTCTTCCCTCGTACGGTCGTGGATCGAATAAGTTTTGATTTATTATGTCTGGATGAAAAGTCGATTGTTTTTTTAACATTTCAGTACGGATAGCAATTACGATAGCCAATTTTATTACTGTACCTTTCGTTATATTAGGCATTTGTACTGTATCAATGGAATTCCCAACGTAGTGACCAACGACTACGTGTACGCCGCGCTTATCGATGTACTCCTTCTGACCCTCCAGTAATCTGCAAATATGAACGAAACGCTTGGCAGCTCAAAATTTGGGAATAACCCGGGAAGTAATAATGGCGCAACTGACTGCAAATGCACTAATTCGTCGGAAGGTGCGAAGTGTAATTCCTCGGTCGGCACATCTCTCTTGCTGCAGAGAAGTACAAGTCCGACGAGCAGCAAGCCAAAGAGAAGCCAAGGCCATATTCGGCGTATCCTCGTGGATCTCGGCAACATCGTCTTCTCGTTCGAACGTCTGGTCAGTGTCGTTACTCGATCATCCCCGGATCACAATGGGAGCGCGTGCCAAGTGATGCGTGTGCCTCGAGTCGCTAAAGAGATTAATAATGGACACTTGGCCAATTGAATATCGCAAGAAAAGCGGCTTCATCGAGGCTCTCGCGAACGCGGCTGATGGAAATCTTGCCAGAGTTATTGCCAAAGTAGAGGCTTTGTTTCTCGGTTGAGTTGAAGGTTTTTCGCGAGTTCGCGGGGATATTTGTCGTTGCAAAGATGCAACAGCTCGACAGTTGTCGAGAATTTCGGTCGAACAATCGCTACGACCATTATCGTCTGACGACTGCCAAGTGCCAAGTATGCAAGCAATTGTTTGAGCGCGCAACTCGTCACACCGTTTTAACGCCTGCGAAAGAGATCGGCGCTTTCAACTCGCTAACCGAAAGTAATGGAGAAGAGAAATGACCGCGACGCCGCGAAAACGTAAAAGCCGCATTCGCGATCTTTGGTCACCGGTGCTGTATACGCGCGTACGGGATTTTCACTGGAGCGAGAAAAGCTTTGCACTCGCGTACGGCAATGCAAATTACCACGTGCTCGCTAGTGCAGGTTCGGCCGTCAATTTGGCTTTTCCGGCGGTGGCGACGACGACGACGACGACGACGACGGCAGTGGCGGCAGCGGTGGCGGCATATCGCGCAATGCTCGCTCAACCGCGAGCATGTCCAGTAGTGGATACTATGCACGGCAATGAGCAGCCGGGGCAACGCCACCAGTGACGCGGTGCTGCTTCCTCAAGTCCATTGTTGCGTGGCGGCTCGCCAAAGCCCTATAATGTGTAACAAAGAACGGCCTTCGTTAATACTTAAGCGTAGCAGGATTTGATGCGTGACAACAGCGGGCTAGCATGACTCGAGACTTGACGATCTCGAACGCGCTGCCTGTATCCTCCACTGCCTCATACTTCGCGCCAAGCTTTAAGCACTCGAGTATACATGTATAAAGTATGGCTGTGTGGTGTTGCGAGGGTTGCTAATTGCGTTTTCAGCTTTCACAATACTAAGTGTTTACAGGCGCTACCTCACATTTCCGATTGAAAGTTTCACCTTTTTCACCGTAAGACCTTTCGAACGTTGTCATGTGAGCGTAACTTGCGTCGTTTACAGTAACTTGAAAAATTACTCTTGGTGAAAAAAATGGATTCAACTCGTGAACCTTTTCACGCGATGATCTTTTACGTCTTGCGACGTGGTTTATTAAGGTAGGAGTGCATGGATCAACTTACTTTGACTACTGGCGATGAAGCTCTATCCCTGAAACGAAAGTCGTGTAACGGCGGCTTAAAATAAAAAAAGGAAGAGGAAAAACAGGCCGCACGTTTAGATTACGTAAGTTAAGATTATAAATCGCGTACAGCTGAGAAAAGAAAAAATTTTCGACAGTTTTCGTCTCGCGCATCTGGCAATTTTCGGATGTTTAGAAGTGGACCATGTATAATAATCAGAGAGAGTTTACCACCGTATCATCCGGAATAGCCAGATTGCGAACATCTTAGAAAATAACAGGAAAATGGAGAGTTGCAGCGCACATGTGCATCCTATTCATAATACGATTATTTTATTTTAATTAACTTTTTTTAAATTTTATTAAATTCTTTTAAATTTAAGGAAGCACATTTTCTTGCAGATCACTCAAAAATATGCGAGACTAGACTATTCAAGTAGCTTTCGAGTAATTAACAAAAGACTGTTTTGATTAATAGTTTTTGTTTATTGCTTGAATAACTTTAGTTTTTAATAGTTCATTATATATTTTTGTATTAATTAAGATTTGTAGTTATAAAAATTTGAATTGTGAATTTTGTGTGTTTAATCGTTGAATACACTCAACTTTGTGTTAAAAAAATTAAGAATGTCTTGAACGAAAGTTAATGATTATATTCATAATAATTAACTCCGATTTTCCAGTATTTCTTATGGGCTTTTGGTAATTAATTAATGGTTAAAACTAATAAAATCTTGTTCGTTTCCAGATAAATATAATCCTTAATTTTTGTTCTGTACTTTAGTTTTATTATAGACTAAATAATATTTTTGTATTAGCAAGATTAGAGTACCACACGCACAATTAATTTAATAATTAAAGATGAAAATAGTACATAGAGGGCCATCTATGTGAAGAGGGCCCAAAACACTTGAATGAGGCCACTCCCGCATACTCCGCCCCCGACTAATTTGCAAGAGATGGCACTAATTAGGGTTCGAACTTCGCTTACGCTTGAAACATTCCCCAAATTTTCCAACCAATTAAAACAGGAAAATTTAAGTTCTTCCTGCCCAAAAATGACAAGGAATTTAGAGTGGGACTCTCTTGCGAAAAGCATAAAAGGAAGCTCGTGAAGAAAAATAGGCAGTTCTATCTCAGTTCGTTCCAGTTCAGTACTCAAAAAAGGACCTTCCGTTTTGTCTCGTGTGTGTGTGTGGGAAATAAGTGCTAAAAGTAAGTAAATTAATAAATATCAAAACTCTGATTAGGTTTAATCTGTCAATTTCTTTCCTCATTCTTTTCTTCTTTATTTTCGCGTACGTGTTTATATATATACATAGATAGTTACACTTAATTGCCAAACGTGTGGTCGAGTGCATATTAGATAGGCTCCCTGTTGCATTATTTTATTGCCGAGAGTGTAGTAAAATAATGCGAAGCACAACTATATTGCCAAGCGTGTGGTATAGTAAAGCTTCAATCCTCCGTCGCTAAAAAGAGAATTTCCCGCGATAATGATAACGTACGTCCCGGTTATTGTCCGAAAAGATAGACCAAAAAGTGTGCCTGAGATTACGTCTACCTCAGACGTGTCTGAGATATATGTTGCGTCAACCGACGTCACAGTCGTAAGAATTGTCCAAAATCGTGTCAGATATTGCAAGATTGTCATGTGACTTATCGTGAGATTGAAGTGTCACTTTGGGCATTAATATAATAAGCATCAATAAGATCCCGCATAATTTCACAATTATAAGCTTAAAAAGATGCTCGTGTCTATTGGCGCAAAGAAATGTTCAAGATATACAATGGCGGTTTATAAAAAGCAGGGTATAACATCTGTCTAAGTAACGAAATCTATGCGTATGAGCTTGGAACGACACATCAATCCAATGTATGAGCAGATATGGATTTTCCAAGATGAGCCAAATCCAACAAGTAATTCGCGCATAAAACTTGAAGTAAAATAGTAATCGCTTATTTCTTCGAAATAACTGGACATGTGGCAACCATGCCATTAAAGCAACGTAGAACATGTGTTTCTAAGAGATCGCAATCTTCCTATTAACTATATAAAATCATAATAAAGTAATCTAAATACAAAACAACTCTGTATAACAGCCCTGAAGTTATCTTGCTTTGGTTATACGGCGGTACCGCATACACAACTATTCAATATAATACTAAAATGTACATACAAGATTTTTCTCGTTGCTCGGAAACTTTAACATCCCTAACTAGAGAGTGAAAATTGCGCATTTCTCGACAATGGCCATTAAGATTAATTGAAACATTGTTTTAGTAATTATATTTGCCCACAACATTGCAAATATGAAAGATAATATTGTAAGACATCTGCAAGACTTTTGCAAATGCTTGGGAATACAACCATCCCTAACTAGAGGGTGAATATTGTGTATTTCTCGGCATTAACCATTATTATTAATATAAACGTTCGTTTGATATTTGCGCGTAATATTGCAAATATCAAAGTTAATGTTAAAATTAGAGTGGGACTCTAATGACAATGACACGATTTTCACTCTCTAAATAGAGATGTTAAATTTTTCGAGTAACAAGAAAAATCTTATAGATACATTTGAGTATTATATTGAATAGTTGTCTACGAGGTATCGTCGTATGACCAAAGCAGTCATTCAGGGTTGTTTTGTATTTAGATTACTCTATTATATTTTTATATAGTTAATAGGAAGATTGTGATCTCTTAGAAATGTTGATGATCATTTTTGGAAAAAAATTATTTTTAGCTGAAAATCAACGTTGCAAACTTCAGACACATCCTATAATAATGAATTCTGAATGGTAAATAACGAATTTGTTTGCCACAAGTAAAATACGAAAAATAAGCGGTAACGAAGGATCATTTTTCATCATGACAGTTATAAGCTTTCATAATTTGACTAAAACAACCAATGTGAAATAAAAATGTCGTATGATAGGTCATCCTCCAAACAGCCCTGATTTGGTACCAAATTTCTTTTTTTTTATTTCCGCATATCAAGAATAAATTACTCGGCCAACGTTTTTCGACCCCTGAACAAGGCCCTGATGCATTCAAAAATCATGTTTTAGAGGTACCTCAGCTGAAGTGGAAAAAGTGTAACGAAAATTGGTTCGAAAAAGGATAATTATCATCATAGAGAATACTTTGAAAAATAATAAATCCATTGATAATAAATTACCGTCTTTTCATTATTAAGCTCATAATTTAAATAGCAATCTTTGTATACACTATGTGTAATGACGGTTTGCAGAATGCTCGGATAAGTATTGTCTCGGCAAATGTCCGATTGTAGTTAAAAATCGTCAAGTTCTGATATCGCGATTGGTGAGACACTTAAATGCGAAAACATTGTTTCTACAAGTATATATTTACTATTATGAAATTTTATCCTAATGGCTTGAACCAACAATGAGTTAATTAACCGATCGAAAGGCTTGATAACAGCATAGCATCCACTGAATTCTTTTAATAACGAAGACTAGAACATTTTTCTCACATCCATTCTCTGGTTTTTTTCTTCCCACTAAAGAATTTCCCACGCTACAAAAAACAATTGCTTTCTAGAATTCTAGAAGAAAACTCGTTTATATACTTTTTAAACATTCACAAATGATTGCATCACGTACGACACTGCAAAATCACTTAGCATTGAACAATCAGTCTGATTATAACCTGCACAAAACAGAGCCGGAATCCACTGGTCGAAAAGGTCACACAAAAAGAAGATCAAGGGAGTCGGAGAGAATCTTAGATGTAATACCCATGTCGCGTTGACAACATAATCACTCGAACCTTAGAAGGCTTCAGACTGCTATGCACTTTCAGACTTTCACTCTCGCGTCATCGAAAAATGTGTCAAACACACTGGCTACACTACTACAGAAATACTTAGAGAAGCAGAAAAAAAACGGAGAGGCGCGACAGGTGCGTACGTCCTAAGCGGAATGCCGCGTTCTCCGGAGAGAGAGAGTATAGACCGCATACACTGTCTCTACGTTTATAGCTTGGGAGGAGAAGGGAGACAAGGAGAGAAAGGGATTCACGAGCACTCGCGACTCTGGGAATGCTTAATAATCGTCCACAGATTTTTATTCCCTCTCGCTTTTTGCCTATTCGCATCATTTTCTCAGGAACTACTCTACTGGCGTATGCTTTATTGTGCAGAGTGCGCGGAGGAAAAACACGTAGAATGCGAGTCGACGGGATAAGCGTGGATTCTAATGAACTGCACACGGCCCTTTTCGTATTCACTCTGTAAATTCTCGGATTTTCTGAGGCACGACGAGATGTATGTGCGTTAAATGCGATGCGACGATAATTCGATTTAAGTCTTTTTATGGTTGTAATAATTATTTTCTTTTATATCATGATTTTTATTGTACTGATATAAATAATAAGAGATTTTAGTGATTAATAAAGTAATAAACTTTATCTTGAAAGTAATGTGCAGTTAAAAAAAAATGTTGGAAATAAGAATCCAAAAGTTGTTTCTATAATTTTGGAGAAACATTAATTTGAATTTCCCTCTTGTATGTTTGCAATAACATAACCTAACTTCTCAGACGATGTTTCTTATTACGCGGATGCATATAAACACAATATACATTATGCGTCTGTACGCATAAATATTATATTACTGTTAAAAATAATGATAGTATGAAAACCAATAAATATTTTGGTGTTCAATCTGTAATGCTTAGTTAACTAAACAAAATAATCACCAACTATGTTTTATTTATAGTTAATATCTGTAGTTTATCTTTACCAATGAACTTTGTGAAGTACTTAAAACAGTAATCAAGTTTTTTTATTAAATGTTATATATTACCTAATTTTTTATAACAATAACATTTTTTTACGTGCAGGATTTTTATATCAAAGAAGCCAGCTGGTTATATAAGTAGAATATTAGGTATTGGTTCAAAATATCTTAGCAGAATAAACATAATACTTATAAAACAAGCTCAGCATTTATCCATCATCCCACTGCCAGTGAATTGGAAAAAAGTAATTTATTTATAAAATTACTATAACTTGTAATTGTATTATATATTTTCATTGACACTCAACAATCAGTTTTGATTATAGATTCATTCTTCAACTATGGATAATATAACAGAACTTGTAGATCTTGTAAAAGAACAAGACTTTTGCAAAATGTCTACAGAATCAACTGTAAATATAAACATGGAATTTTCTGAATTAGAAAGCAGTTATTCCATGGAAGAGATAGATAATATCTCTTTGAAAAAGGTACCAGACAAAGAAGATCACTACCAGCACAGTTTTAGCATAAACAAGTATGTGCATGACATTATTTTTACAAAATACTTAATAATATACAAATATATATTCTTAGTTTTTGAATATTTTAGAAGTAGTTACAAATACATTGTTGACCCAAATGAAACAATTTTACAAAAGTTACGCAGTGAAACAAAAACTATTATTCAAGTATCAAAAAAAAAAAAAAGTGTTGGTAAGATTATTTATTATTTATTTCTATAATTGAATGTTATAAGTATTATTTATTTCCATTTTTATTTTTAGTTATAATAGGATCAATCCCAAAACAAATTTTGCATGCTAAACACAAAATAGACAAATTAATTGAAAATTCTAAATTACAATTCACACATTTTATTTCTATACCGACTAATAGTGATGAAATAAAAAATAATTTTATTACTTTTAAACGAGATGTAAAGCAAAACTATAGTACAGAATATACTGGATTTTATGAAAGAATGTTTCAAAAGCCTGAAAAATTACATCTTACCATCTCAATGCTTCACTTGTTAGATGAAAAAGATGAAGTGAAGGCTATTGCTGCACTCAACACTTGTAAGGAAAATATAATTGAGTATGTATTATTATTTTTGTCTCTACTTTTGATTATAACTTTTTTTGCAAATTTTAATTTAAATAAGTTTTCATTTCATATTTACAGCCCAATTATAAAACAAAATGGACCAATAAATTTAGAATTAAAAGGTTTAAGATGTATGGAAAAAGATCCATCCAAAGCTAGAATTTTATATATTAATGTTCATGAAGAATCAGGATTATTTCAAAAAATGTCCAATTCAATTAATGATTATTTTATTGAGCAAGGTAAAAAAGTTTTGTATTAATTTGATCAAAACTATTTATTATAAAATCTTTTGCTAGTACCAGGAATGAATAGGAATAGCTGAATCTCTATTATTACTTACACATGGTTATGCAATATCTTTTAGGTATATCTAGAAGAGTACACGATGATGTGACTTTGCATATGACTGTAATAAATATATTATACCTTCAAAGAAAAACAATTAAAAAAACCAAGAACAATTTTGATGCAACAGATTTTTTAAAAGTAAGAATAAGATGTAAGATACACAGTAAATATATTACTACTTTCATTATATAACATTTTCTTTTTCAGAAATATAAAAATATATCTTTCGGCAAAATAAATTTATCTACACTGCACATTTCAATGTTGACTGCTAAATCTGCTGATGGTTATTTCAAAGCTATGACTAAAATTTATATATAAATTTTGGAAGGCTATTTCGATTTAATTATTTACAGATATTCCGTTAAAATACAAATTGTTATGTTTAAATAGAAGCACTAAGTTAAGAAAATAGTAGACAGGATATACTTAAAAATCATAGAGATGAATACGAAATAATTAGTGTAAATAAAACTACAAATAAACTCAACAATAACAGTCAATTCAAACAGACATTTTCAAATTTTCATTATTATCAAAAATAAATGTCTAAAATAACAATGATTTTTAGAAAAATATGACAAATGTATATAAATTTTTATCTAAATTTCCATTATTACAAATCAAATACGTGCTTACGAAATAATCGAATATACTAAAGCTTACCAACTCCCGATCCTAAAATTTGATTTGGTTCTTGGTATTGGCATTACTTGCTTATGAAATTCAAAATCAGTTCAAGAGAGCGTTGCTGTTGAAAAAGTTTTTCTTAGGGTTCTAGAAATCATTATATTATTTTAAATGGGACAATATTCCTTATATTATTTTACAAATTAAAAAAAATTTATTTATTTAGCAAACTAATTGTAGCATTATTGGATACTTTATCGAGTTATATTTGAAACGAAATAAACAATAAGATCTTATATTTTGATAAAAAAAATATCCTGATGCATTCGGTTAGTTTAGTATTTATGATTGTTTAATTAATTAAGCACGCTACATTACGGTGTAATGGCGCTCTATAACTATTTTAGCTGTTCATCTGTAATCATTTGGAGAGTTCGTTTTCATTTATAAATTAAATTTAAAAGATTTTTTAAATAAATTAATGATATCGATTACGCTGAAATTAATTTATTGCATTTTATATGTAAAATCGATTTATAATTTTCTTCATTGTTGATAATGTTTATTCAGAGCTTAACTTCACAATAAATATGTTCAATAAATTTATGTTCTATAAATAAATATAATTGAAGTGCATTAAAATTACTTTATCGTATTATTTTTAAATCAGTCCGTTAAGATATGAGGGTTGTTATTTATACAATATCTACAAATTGTCTTACTTAATTTTATTTATTTTATTAATGGATTATAAATTGATACAAGACGTTTGTTATTTAACACCGACTTACTCATAAAATGACCTACGTGACTTCGTTCAACCAATCAAATCATGAATAAAATGACTTCACTCGACAGCCTATCACTTTTTTTTGTATAGGAAAATAGATTTAAATTTATTTTTCAAGTTGAATATTCGATAATTCAATATAAGCATTAAATATTCCAATAATTTAAAAATGTTATCAATATACTTTAACTTTTTATCGTACAATGTTCTGTGTTGAAAAATCATCAAAAAGTTTCTCATCAAAAATCATCAATAAGTTCTAAAAACATTAGTTTTTTCACGGTGTAAATAACAGACTTCAGTAGATGTACACGATTGTAATTAAGGTATTTTTACAAAACTTTTAAAGCTAAAATCACTGCGTTATATTTTATCGTAATAATCTATCGATTTTTAAATTTAAAATCAATCAATTCATATTAAATCCATGCCAACTACATTGGTACACTTTCTGCCATCGATTAGATCACTAATAAACTGCCTTTACTTTGTCAGGTTCTCCTTTTTGTAAGAGGAAGAGGATAAGAGGAGAAATCATGATAAGATTTACCATCATGCTAAATAAGTTTGTTTTAAAACTATCATCTAAGGAATCAAATGGACCGGCCAATTAGTGTGCTTATTTTACGTTGAAAAGTAATACACACTATTGAAGCTTGAATACGGTAGAAAATCCAAACGTAATCCAAAAATAAACAGAAACCTAATCATGCGAAAGCGATCACATATTAACGAATTTCATTTACCACTGATTGACTGGCTGACAACGACATCATCGCGATTGGCACGCTTGCGTGATTAGCTTCGCACGAGCCGTGATCATCAGACAGATTTTATTTGTTTCTTTTACGGATGTTAACACAAATATCAATCTTAAATAGTGCTAAATTTCTTGGCATAATATTGAATCAAAACCTCTCGTGGTCGAAACACTTAAACCACATTTTAAAGAAAACCATACCAGGAATTAACTTAATAAGATCTTTTCGCATTACATGGTGGGGTGGTCATCTAAAAACTTTACTCCTAATTTACAAATCGATAATTTCAGCCGCTACTGACTATGACCTTTGTTGCATCTCAAGGAACGTAACAATTTTTTTCGAAAAAATAAATACACTGAAAAGACGTGCTCTCAGGTTCGCTTTAGGATTGAGAAACACGAGGCCCAACAGAATAGTATACGAGTATATGTAGAATCTCGTATTTACTCTCTTCAACTAAAGCAAAAAAAACTTGTATATAATTATATATTACGTTTTTTTGCCACAACGAATCGTCCTGCTGTCACGGCCATTTCAGATTTAGCTAACTCGTTAAATAATACCTCCCCTCGATATCTACACAACCTTTCGTTGCTCAAAGCTTATCTTAAACTTAGCCTGATCCAGAAAAAATCTACGCCGGTTTTATTCCACCCTGTTATGTTTTCTCAGTGGAAGCACAACAAGCAAACCCTATAACTATTCTAGATAAAGGTACAACTATAGCCAAGGCAAAAAACCCATACAACGAATTCAATACCGGCACCTTTCCAGCATACCTACTACCTCTCGTTAGTAGATTTTCACCAATCTACCAACGAACTATGTACGAACAAATTTAACAAACTTCTGAAAAATGTTGATTCAAACAAAGTTATTTTATACTTTCAAAACCATTTTACTTACTCTTTTAAACCTTGGTTCATGACACTACACTGTGTAGGACACAAGTCGAAACCACAATTTGCATGAGAAGTAACCATTATAATTAATTGGTTTACAGTATACATAAAAAGCGTCTAATCGACTCCCCGCTATGTCCATACGGCAAAGATAACGAAGATCTTAATCACATTTTTTGGTCATGCGAACGGTTTATTGATCAACGTAAAACATTTTATTACTTAAACTTTCCAAAATAAAATTATATTCTGCCTTCACAATTTCACAATTTCTTTTCAACCCTAATCCACCTGTTATAGAAATTCTGTGTAATTTCCACAAAAAAACTTCCATATGACGCATCATTACATTTAACTTAATCTAATTTATGCTCCTATAAATACTTTTTCTAGCCCTTCTTTCAACTTTCAACAATTACTTTTGTTTGTGACTCCTGATCTCTTCTTCTACATCTTAACCTTTTAAATTTGCCGTACGGGAAACGCTTTCACTGGGAGGCAAAAGGGGCGTCCCTTTTCTGGGCACTGACGAATTCGGAGGCTGATTTTCTCTCTCCCTGGCTCTCAGCCTTGGCCTCTCTTCTCTCTTCGCTTATGATCTGCAGGTGTAGCACTGTTGTTTGCAAACGGTGATAAAAAAACTTGGGCTTTTCAGCGGAAAACCTTTATAACTTTGACGAGTTGACAGTTGTCAAGAAACGTTTTCCTTTTTCGAAATCGTTATTTATAGCCCGCCGCGTCGTAGCGCCCAAGTGACAATTTTATTACCATTCGCGTTTCAAAATTCAAGTATCCAAGGGAGAGCGAAAATATATTGGACGAGCGTGAGAACTAAGAACCTACGTAGATTACAAGTAATACGTTAAATATATGAAAAGAGTTTTGAATATTCGCGCAGCTGGCCTTACTACAATTGTGCACGACACGTGATATAGGCAGTATGTCACATAGCTACCGGAGCCAATCAATACTTTACTATATAGATAGATAGAATAAAATAGACATTTTTAGAGGATAATACAAAACCATGTTAGAAGCTCTTGTTAGAAGCTCAAGACAGAATTCTAATAAATTTAAAGATAAATTCAGCTATAAAAAAATAGTATGGAATTTATGTTTGTTGTGTGAGAAATATGTGAGAAAATATTCGCCCATTATTTCAAATAAGGTTTATATTTATTTTATTAACATAATTAATATTATAGGTTTTTGTCTCTTATCAATATTCATTAATTTTTACCGGATTAACAAGAATTTATAATACAAAAGTCAGATTACATGTGATTGCAATAAAAAATATGTTAAATAAGACAATTTTTTTTTTATATAGGCCCCGGTCCCATACATACGTACGGATGCGGACGGATACGGACGCGAATCGCAACTCTAGTAACATCACTAAAAATATCTAGTTCGATTATTTAGTACCAACACTACCGGTAGTGAGCAAATCTAACTGTTGTTTAAAACTGTAGCGCCGAACGCACCACATTTAATGAACGCTTATCTAACCTTTACATTATTGCAGTCTAGAAGATGGCAAATGATAGAGAATTGGTAGACTTTCAACTACAATTAGTGAAATTAGGCCTTAATTTTATGGAAGTACTTGAATATATGAGAAGAAGAAGAAAATATATATAAATGATATGTATTAATCATCCCAAAAGCTTTTTTTACATTAGCATACTCATCAATAAGCAATATTCATGAGAATTTGAAAAGTAAATTGTAGACCTGACATTTGAACATTAAATGTGGTACGTTCGGCGCTACAGTTTTAAACAACAGTTACTTTTGCTCACTACCGGTAGTGTTGGTACTAAATAATCGAACTAGATATTTTTAGTGATGTTACTAGAGTTGCGATTCCGTCCGCATTCATACGTAGCTATGGGACCGGGGCCTCATACGTAGCTATGGGACCGGGGTCATAGCTTCTATTTGTAAATAATTTTATTCTCTTAGGAGCATAAAAATACTTATTTTGGAGAGATGACTTAAAGTACTTTGCATTTATATTAACAGGGTGTAACAATTGGAAATGGTTATTATGAATGTAAAGTAATTATTGATTTGAAAAATTTTTAAGTATTCAATTTTGAAAATGTAATACAGTAAATATATGTTTTTGTAGATTAGTAATTAACAATATTCTTAAGATAATTAACAAATTTAAACAAATTAAAATATTACTGAAATTTAGGTTTTCACTTTATCAATGTTGTTAAATTAATTAAATGTTATTAACTTAAATTAAGTTGAGTTTACAAAATCGTAATATATCTTTTGTATTTTTATATTGCCAACAGTGCATATAAGAGTGGCAACTTGAAAAACAGAAATCAATGTTATTATAATTATAACCTAAAGGTTTTTATTTCAACAGAACAATCTGAAAACAATTTTTGAAATCAACTATTTAAATTCGTGTTACAGTTTTTAAAAATTGTAACTTTTAATTTTGCAAATATGGATATCTTGAAACCAGAATTAGTTTGGGTAGAACAACAGTGCTACAGATTTTGTGACAAAATTTCATGGTCTCATGGGAAAGAGCTTGGATCATATGTAGAAGAAATTTATGAGCCAGATTATGGATCAAATGATGAAGAATCTTGTGATGCATCTATTGAGATAGTGCCTATGAATGGAAACCGTTACAAACATAGTTTCTATGTGAACAAGTAATCAATAAAATTTATATAATAAAATATTATGTTTACAATGTTAACTTAATTTTAAATCTATATTATTCTAGTAACTTTTATCGATTCATTATTGGAGCTAAGGGAGCTACTCTGAAACGATTAGCATCAGATACAAGAACACAAATTCAAGTTCCTAAACTTGGCCAAAATGGAGATATTGGTAAATATCAAGTCAATGAATTTAATAATTCTATATGTATATTTTTATAATATAACCAAAAAGATAAAATATTACAGTGATAACTGGATATAATCATAGAGATATTATGGCAGCAAGAAATAGAATAGATATGTTGATTGAAACTTCAAGGAGTAAATTAGCATTCACTCATTTTATATGTATACCTTGCATGTCAGATGAGATAAGAGAAAATTTCAAAAAGTTTATGGAAGATATTTTAAAAACAAATGGTTCTGGAGTAAGAGGGATCAGTGAAGATATTTTTCAAAAACCTGAAAAATTGCATCTCACAATAATTATGTTAGTTTTATTAGATGAAGAAGATCGCAAAAAAGCTATAGAAGCTTTAGAAACTTGCAAATATGATATTATTGAGTAAACATATTTTGAGCTTACTATATTTTTACATGGAATTACTTATTTTATATTATAAAATTGTATTTTCAGGCCAATTATGAAAAAACATGGACCAATAACAGTTGAATTCAGAGGGCTTGAAATTATGAATGATGATCCTAATGAAGTAAGTGTACTATATATTCAAGCACATGATCCTAGTGGATGTCTACAAAAAATAGCTAATCAAATAGCTGATTATTTTGTTGATAATGGTACCCAAACAAATATATTATATTCAATTAAATTATATTGAAAAACATTTTATCAATTAAATTTATATTCCAGGTTTGACGAGAAAGCAGTATGATAAAGTCAAGTTACACATGACAGCAATGAATACCAAATTTCTGCAAAAAGAAGTTGAAGAATATAATAAAAAAAAAGTAACATTTGATGCTACTAATATTCTTAAAGTGAGATACATAAATTTTATAAATAATTTACAAAAATGTGCACTATATACAATGTTACTCATTTATAGTTTCATGAAAAAACCTTCTTTGGCAAGATGAGCTTATCAGCTATTCACCTTTCTCAGAGGCATAACAAATCAAAAGATGGCTTTTATGAAGCAACTGCAAAGATCGAGTTTGTCACCACCTAAGCATATTTAATCCGGCTTTTCTATATATGACGCGCGTTATTTATAAAGCAAATTTATTTATGTTTAAAACAAATATTTAATTAGATCTCTCGTATACAAAAAATTAAACCTTCTAAGCAAGATATATATTTGTTATGTACGTGATGCATCGCAAAAATAAAGATGATAAATGATAAGCAAATCTTCATCTTTTATTATTACTAGCAAACAGTTTATTTATTCTACACCTGATATGACGAGCTATTTGACGCAACATCATTTCCCTTATCTATCGAATGAAGTTGCAGTCGCATAAAACTCGAGCGAGTGTTAAGGAGTATGTTTAAAAACCAAATCTGCAGACTGAATTTTGTTAAAGTAATTAAGTGCAAGAAATGTAGCATACAAAAAATTGTTTATAAATCTAAATGTGCAAATGTCTGAACACAAAAAAGATTTTCCCACAAGCGCAATTTGATATAATTGTGATTTCGGCTGTTGAGCGTGTCTCGTAGAAAGAAGATAACGTACGTGGAAAATCATACAGAAAATGAGCACGACTAACAATACACAAACACGCGTCAATAGAGCCTGATAAGAGGCATGTCAACCGCGTTGCTTCCAAAATTTCTTAATTGTCAAGTGCGTATTTGAGATGAGCATAGCTTGAGGAGTTGCGGCGATGTGTCGATTGCGAAGATTTGCTGAGATTTTTTCTTACAAATAAGTTACTTGACAGCAAAGATGAACAAAGTGATGAGCAATAGCAATGGAACGACCGGCAATGTCGGTTACTACCACTCCTACAAGTATCAGTCCTTGGATTTTTTACACCGTAAGTTTCAATAATTTGATTAGTTTTATGAGATTGTGAGACAATGTGGATCACATTTGAATGCAAATCTTGCTAGTAATTTAATCAACTTTGTCACATTTAGAAAGTCTTCCGTGTGATAGTTTAATTCAGCTAAAAATATTGGGAATATCATATCGAATACTATTTTAAGAAAAATTTTAACGTATATATGTTGTTGTTAATTTACTTTACGATAAGATAGTGTTTATCACAAGATTCAAAGAATTTTTCGTGGAAATAAAAAATTATGTATGATATATACGCGTGTATGTACCATACGCGATGTGATTGAATTTCATTCCTCCCAAAAAAGAACGTTAACGTCATTTCTTTGAAATGTCAATACTTAAAAACTCGTTCATTATATTTATGTCTTTTTATAGTGAAATTTGAATATAATTATTAATCATTAATGCGATTTACTAACGTAAAAAATGTAGAAATACGGAAAATACTGGTTTTAAAACATGCTTCGATAAGCATTTATAAGATACATACCGTATGAGAGACAAATTTTACTATACGTTTTTATCTGATGGAGAATAATAGAACTACAAAACATCTCGATATCGTGTACGTAGCTTAAGATATAAGGCGATAAATCATTCGTTTTATGTATATTTTAGTTGGCTGCATGCCACATAATTAACATGTTATCGAGTTTCCTATATGAACGATAGTCTTAAGACTCTTATTAATTATAAATGTTTCATAAAATTAGATTATGTAAATCAGAATAAATCGATTAGCCATGACAATTAAGAAAACATATTATTTCGTACAGTTCGTTTTAATAGAATCAATCGTACACCTTCGCAAGACAACAAATAAATATGTAAGACTTGATTCTAATTTCATTTACTTTCTGTCGAAATAGATACGATAGAACATTTGTAGCCAATTCGATGAGCAATATGTTTTTATCAATCTTCGCAGGAGACGTATGAGAATAATAAAAAGATTTTTAGGAAATTATTTTTGTCGCTGGGAATGTGATATAACTAAAAAATGAAATGAATAAAAATTATAGCGCCTACATATACTTCAGTTATTATTTATTGATTTAACATTAATGAATAATATTATAATGATTTTATAAACTGTGTCAAAGGTTGTGAAAATTAAGTATTTTTGAAATCAAGCTGAATTTTTATTTTTATTAAAAAACCAATGTGCAGGACATAATTTACAATGTCGCTGAGACTTGTTGACCGATTAATCAAAAAAGAACAAGAAGTTCGTGATAATTTTAAATGGAACCTGTATATCTGTGTAATAAGAGTCAGTAGGCAGCAAGTTGCGGATCGACACAGCTGTTTTTGACAGAATCCTTAGTGCTTTTCCACACTGAGGGATTATTCCTGTGATGTTCTTGTTCCGTGTGATTTTATACCTCCCGGAACATTCGTACATACAGTTCATCATCTACGTCTGTGTACATACTGTGTAGTTTAAGAAGTTAAGAAAACCGAACGTTTTTGCGCTTTCTCCACTTCTTAAACCACTGATTATGTAGATTATTATAGGGAGATAGTCAGTGAACTATACTAATGTTCCGAGAGGTGCAAAATTACACGAAATAAGAACATCACAGGAATATTCCTTCGTGTGGAAAGGCCTTTATAATATATAATGTGATCATCGGCCGCGAGCAGCCGCTGTAAATTAGAGATGATTTGAAAACACATTTGCACGCGCGTTAACAAACTATAGATGAACAATAAGCAAATCTTGTATCATTCTCTATTCACGTGTGTGCGTTTTAACAAGCAATTTGATCGACAACAAAGCCTACTGCAGTTATGCGTGACATGATCGCACGCAATTTTTTTTCCAAAGTTGCGAGTGAGTGCCGCAAAAAATTGCTTTGTTTTCCGATAAATTAACCAATCAAGAGCAATAATAAAACTTTCCATCATTTTGTGAGATTTGCATTGTTATATATCGGGTATTTTTTATGCTAACGGCATAACCTTGTTCTTTTACACACGATAAAGGAAAAAAAGTAAAAAGCATAATGAGCTTTTACGCGATTGTAATATGAGAATTGCAATAAATAAGTAAAGCTGAACCTGACTTTATTTCAAGATATGCTTTGGATATTGTGATTTAGAAAGGCGAAAAAAGTAGACTATTTATGTGGATGCTACAGAGCCTTAGCATTCATTTATTATAGTTTCTTAAGAGAAAACAAGGTATATTTGATGCATATATTCCATTGGTTTTCTTTTATCAACTTGTCAACCTAACTATTGATAATATAAATTGATCATCTACTTCAAGTACATTTTAGTTCAAGTTTTGTAGAAAATAATAAACTAATGTATATTATTTAGCACATTTAAAAGACATGTTTTAAAAAGTTAATAAATGAAATGGTCATTTCATATCAAATATTTCAACTTCATTGAAATAGAAAATGTGCAACTAATACAATTTGCTTTGTTTACAGGTATTGAAAAAATGCATGGAATTAGGAGAGTAGTGACGTTTTGCTTGTTGACTATGGTGCTTCCAATAATGTTACTCATTGTTCCTCTATATTTAAAACATAGTGTCTTTGCAGAGATTCAATTTGCAGTGACAGAGTCTGATGTAGTAGAAATTACAGATGGTATTTCACCGGTGTTTTGCTCAGTATGATTTTATTCTTATGCTCTCCTATTATAAGTGCATTATATCTTATTTAATTTTAACCTTTGATATTACAGGAACACAGATTGAAAATGAATGAAACTTTTAATGCATTTCAAGTATCCAAACGACCAGAAAGGACAAAAAACAGAAAACATATAAGACTGAAAAAAAGTATGACATTACCTGATGATACTCTAGAATACTGGGGTTTCTTTTTGTTAAAAGATGCTAGAGTAGTATTGTCTGTTTGTTCAAGGTAAAATATTATTTTTCAAGTGCATTAATATGTATTTCAATTACATATTATTGAAATTGTTTTATTATATTAGATTGGAAGGAGCTTCCATTCTTGTTGTGAAAGGTGAAAGGACCTTACGTACTTGTGGAATGTTAGATCATAACCAAAATAAAGCTAAAGCTACTAATATATATATACCGAAAGCTGATCAACAGGTAAAGAAAATGTATAATTTGTTAAAAATGATTAATAATCATATGTAAAATGATTTTTATAGGTGAAAGTTACATTTGAATCCAATGCTCAAGAAATTAATTCCCAAGAAATGACTTCTAATAAATTCGATGAAGAATCTCAACAAGCAATTCATTCAACTAATAATAAACTTGCAGATATTAAAAACGATTTTAATACAGTATCACGTCAGAGTAGGAAACTTGTTGAAAATGAGCCAAGTGTTACCAAAACATCAGTAAATTCAGTAGACAAAGATAAAGAATTGAATGCACTAGTAAACAAAGCAGAACAGTATTTAAATAATCATTTGAATCCCAAATTGAAAGAATATAGTTCTATGGATAAACCTAGACATTTTAAAAGAAGAGCAATAAGATTGTATAAAATGGATAATAAATTTGATAGAATGAATAGTGAGAATATTAATGGTACTGATAGTCACATCCAGTCAACTACTCACAGAATAAAACACCAAAAAACTTTAGAAACTAAAAGAAATAAACATAAAGAGCGTATAAAACAATTACAGCAAGAATTAGGATTGAATGCTGAACAAGGCGAACTAGAAAAAGACAATCACGGCAAAGAAGAAGGCATTAATGAAATCAATAAAAGGTACAGAAGAAGTCAACAGCCTATTAAACCTTCAATTTTGGATCGGGGTTATCGACATGGAGGGGGACCAAATGTAGCAAACTCAACAGATGATTCTTCTTCCGTTTCAAGTTTCGAAAACGGTTTGTTAACTTGCTATGATGGCAATGTTTTGTTATCCCACAAATTTAGCCCAGCAGAAGAATGTGATGTTAATTATCTACTCAAAGGAAACAAACATATGCAAACCGAACATAATGTTACCGAAGACGGATATTATTATTATATTTTCTACAGTGATCACGACGATGAAAAAAACGATATTCATGCCATTTTTGACATTTATAAGCCTACTTTACAATTTGCAAAGGATGCAAACAAATGTATTAACAAAACGGAATGCGTCTTTCCATTATCAATAACATCTATGGATAGAGTTATTGTTGAAGTTCCAACTAGAGATGGAATCGATCATGAAATTGACGATATTTCTTTACTCAGATCAACGTGCGTTCCTCGTATGGGCATTTATGTTATTTTTCCAATTGCAGTATTGTTTCTTGTACTTGGTTGTGCCTTCATGTAAATATTAATGTATAATTTCTATAACTTGTTGCTAATAATTTTACAACATAAATTACATTAGATATTAAATTAAAAATATTTTAAAGATATTTTCCTAATAATATTTTTATAATTTCGTATAAAATGTATATAAATTAATTTAAAGCGTCCTTTGATTAACTATAATTGTTATAATAACTATAGGTATATATTATATGTGCAAACTCAAAATTGTATAGGTATATTTTTGTAATGTATACATTTGTATAAAGGTGCAAGATGTATCATATATGCATATATATAATAGTGAACTTTGAGAATTAAACTTGAAATATTTATTGATAAAAACTTATTTTCAATTGCATAATATAAGTATTTTAAAAAAATACTTTTTCCGTTATTTTTAAATAGTACTCGTGAATTCACATTGATCTTATATCAATTTATTTTTATTAATTGCATTTAAATCGTCATTTGTCTAATTCGTAATCGATGTAAGCTGCTTTCATTCACAGCAGCTTGCGATTGTCATAACTTTTGAGGTAAACAAACCTCAAAGTACCAGTTTGAACTTATTAATTAAAGTTACTTGACACAAAAGATATCACAAGCTACGTGAAACTGAAAAACAAACTTTGCAAATCGAAAGTTTAGTTTGTTGGTCATTCGCCATGCGTATAAAACCCCGAGGCTTAGTGTTCGTTTTGCTCTCGATCGGTTCGCCTGTTTGCAAGTCAAGTGCTAACAAACGGAAACTGAAATTTATGCACTGAAAATTCCGTCGTATTGAAGAGTTCAAAGACTGCGAGTCAAAAAATCAGGTTCCACGAAAAAAAGTATTAAAAGCAAACTTAGCCAGTTAAGAAGTACTATAGAGATTGAATGTGTCAATAAAATTTTATTATGAAACGTTTATTAAATGGATGACTGTTTGACTTGGTAATTTTTCACGCACAGTGAAAATATGTTTTAATAAAGAATAAAAATTATTGTAACCTTTATGCAGGTATTTGTAATATAATTTTCAAGTATCGCCGTGCATTCGTTCGAAGAAAGAAGCTTTGACGTCTATCTCGAATTAATTAGCAAGTAGAAGCAATTATTTTACTTATAACAAAGTTTTCTATCATTAAAATTCAATAACATTTGCAGCATTTCATCTAGAAAAACTGCACAAACTACTCGCGAAACTTAATTTTTTACTCGACACTGCGGTCGTCGTTAAAACAAATATAAGCGGGAAGAAAAAAGAAGTAAAAATAATTATACCTGAGATTCAGTTTGAATTTGGCGCCAGAGCATCCCCACTTGCTGTCATCAACGCACACGGAATTCTGGGTAAACTCGTGGTCATTTAGCCTTGAAAGTTCACCTTGTCCACTTATCAATCTTACGAAACGTCAAGCAACTCCAGCAGAATAACTAGGCAACAGTATTCAATTAATACCGGCAAGAAGGCGCGTGAAGTAACTGTAAAAAAGTCAATTCAATACCAAAATCGCAAGCGGTCGGAGGGCAGCACGCGGTCGGTCAGCGCCATCTGCAGTCGTTTTACGGAGTCGACGCAGTGACGCAATAGGAACTCGTCCTTTTCGTCGCGCTACCGTGAGCGGAACATGTCGTATACTGGTGAACGAAGGTGAGTTTTTGTTATTTTTCAATGTTTTTCCGCGTGCCAAATTACCTTAGCCGTGCGTGTACTTGGAGCATGTTTCACTGGGACTGTGTGCAAGTGTTCGTTGAGATCGGGATTGACGGGAAACACATTAAAAATCGTTGCGTGCACGCTGGCTTACAGCAGCCAGCAGCCCCTGACAACATGGCGCGGGCGCGCGCGTGTTCGCATCATCTGTATATCCATCTTCTGCGAGATACGTGCGCGACTTTTTGTCTTTTAATCTCGCGTCCGTAGCCTTGGTTTACAAAATGCATGGGAGCGACTAGAAGGAAAAGGAAAGATGCATCGGAATCGGAATCGGAAGACCGCGTGGGTGGAGTGCACCGCCTTGAGTATAACCTTACTTTCGCCTGAGTGACGAAGGGAGCGGGCGGTGAGGGAACGCGTGGAATTTTTCGGCGAGGACGCCGCGCGACAGCGCTACCAGCGTTTTTAGCTTATTCGGATGCAGCAACGGCACGTGTCGATTGATGCCGCGCTTCCTCTCTCCCGACCATGTGCTCTCTTATTCATTTTGCTCTCTTTCGCTTCACGTCTCTCATCGTACGTAGAAAAGAAGGTATACGCTTCGCGTGCAGTCACCATATAGGTATTTGACAGTCCTATCGTCGTGCGCGTCATTGAACTTGCTACTACTAGTCTACGTTGCGGCCTGTGAGAATGTCGCGTCGTCCGCGCTGCTTCGTGGCTACGAGCTAAAAATAAAAAAAGCGCGCCCCGTTGGAACACTTTTCCTTACATAAGCTCGCGCTACGAGCGGCTGCGTTTGTCGATACATCGCTTTACTTTCAACGATCTCCCCAAGAACGACCTTCGACGTTCTAGATGGCCGACATACTTGCATGGAGAAACAGGTGTCTGTTCGTCTTGTAATGCGTTGCTGAGAAATAGATGCAGAGGAAGTTGACTCGCGATTGACTCGTCCCACGCTCGGGGTTTTTATTTCGGGAAAGTTTTGCGATTGCATTTATTATTGCAGGCGTGAAGAGACGTCGACCATTGAGAAATCCTTGTGTTTATGCACATCTAAAGAAATGTCGATACGTCACGCATACTTTACGTGATTTGGAAATGCAGTCATCTGCGTAATTGTCGCCAAAAGGCAAATGTCAGAATTATTTTTATCGTATATTTATTTTTGACGCTTATTATGCCTTGTCTACGCATAGACGTTAAGTTAGTCTCACTTCAACTTACAAACGTGGAATATATTTTATTTCGTAACGTAAATAAAACTTTTTTTTTTATAAAAAACGTAAAAATATTATATTTAACTAATATTTCATTTATTTTTAGTATATCAATAGCCCTAATAAAGATGTTTTCGACCTTGAATTTTCTTCTGAAAACTAAGAAAACTACAAACTTTCACTGTTAAATCTAATGGTCTCATCTTAAAGATTTTGCTTGGACGAGGCATTAAAATACAGATGTTAGGGCAAGGTAGTAAATTCCTCATCTGTCCGACGTTTCCATAAATTATACCATTGATGAACGTTCTTCGTCAATTGTTAGTCTCCTGCAAATCTCTTGACATCGTACTGCTTCTTATCTTCAGGCACGCTTTCCCCCTCTAACGTTTAATAAATATTTGCTAATGATTTCTTAATCTTTTTTCTTTTGTATTCTTAAAATTACGAAACTAATGGTTTTTAAATTACTCGAACCTCATTTGAAGAGTATTAGGTCTCAATTAGCCCGGGGCATGCAAAAATAGGATTGTAGATAAACTGACGCTTTTTCAAGTTTGCCTATTTCATTATATAAATATTTGTTGCATTCCGAGTTTAATGAAAGTAAAAGTATTTAATTTTTTGATATTTGTCTTGTTATATATATTTTCCGGTTTTTTTTTCGAAAAAGACAAATCATTTCGCAAACATTTAAAAATATACCCACTCACATCTACTAAATCAGTAGAGTGATTAAGAAAAGTAGCCAAAATTGTATATTTAAATGTAGTCACGAAGCCCTATTAGCAGTATCTCTGGCATGTCGTTAGACGGTTGGTCCAACGCGTCCATCGTCCCCCACCGAGCAATTTTCTCAAAGGGCACGGGAAAGTGCGTGCAATTTATGACGGTCGTCGAAACGACGCGCGGGGAGGGGAAGAAACCGACGCTGAGGGAAAGCGAGGGCGGCGCTCTTATTCGGAAGCCTTTTATTCGGAAGCGAACATCGCCAGTACGCAGTCGTCGGCCAGAGCTAGCTCGGTGTAGACGTCACGTGATCAACCGCGTGTTTGTAGCATTGTACTTTGTTAAGTGTTACATAGTTCTTGTACACGCTCGTGTCTTCAGTGTCTCTTCTATCTTGTTTTTCTTGGTCATGGCACCATTGTAGAATACTGTGAGAGAGGCAAAGAATTAGAAAAATAGCAGAGGAGGTTTGAATCACGAGTTGCGACTCGTGGCCCACTGGCCGCCGAGGAAAAGCTCAGGAAATACATAAGACGGAAGCCACCAAGTCGAGGGAGAAGGAGACATCGTGCAGCATGTCGGCTGTAGATAAAGAGTAATGACGCCTCCTTTGCTGCTCTGTAATCGTTTTGTGCATTCCATTTTGCAAATGCGCGTGCTGACGCAGCGAATTTCACCCATTTTTATGCCTTAACCTTGTTTCTTTTTTTCTTTGTATATTGCCCCGAATTACAATAATAACAATCATCATGTTTGGGCGTGCACGTGGGTTATTAACAATGCGCGGAACATCTGCTTGACGCGACGATCTCGAAAGTTAACTTGATCTAATAAATTTTTTTCATTCAATTTGCTTACAGGAACGATGATCAATGGGCCGGAGATGGCAAGAATGGTCCGAGTGAGGAACAGTCGTACGCTGGGCCACCGGGCATGGACCCAGATGGCGTCATCGAATCCAATTGGGAAGTTGTGAGTATCTTGCTTTTTCTGCTACTAATATCGTATGCGTTACGTGCGATCGCGAAACATAACCTTAATGGCACTGCTTGCGACTTATTCTAGGTCGTCGACAACTTTGATGATATGAACCTCAAAGAAGAGTTACTTCGTGGTATTTATGCTTACGGTTTTGAAAAGCCATCTGCTATCCAGCAAAGAGCAATTTTACCTTGTGTCAAAGGGCACGACGTTATTGCTCAAGCCCAGTCAGGTAAGCATTCGATCGACGATTTCATTCATGCAATTGTTTTGGATCGTATGCTAAAAGCAGCATTTTGTTATTTTTACAGGTACTGGTAAAACTGCTACGTTTTCTATTTCCATCCTTCAGAAGATTGACACTAGTATGAATGAGTGTCAGGCTCTGATTCTTGCCCCAACCAGAGAGTTGGCTCAGCAGGTATTTATCTGGAACTTTACAAACAACTTTACTTACAAAATTAATAACTCTAATGTTTTCTTCGATTATTATTGCAGATTCAGAAAGTAGTCATCGCCCTTGGAGATTTCATGCGTGCGCAATGCCACGCTTGCATTGGTGGAACGAATGTTCGCGAAGACATGCGCCGCTTGGATGCTGGAGTCCATGTGGTTGTTGGTACTCCAGGACGAGTATACGATATGATTAGCCGACGTGCTCTGCGAGCAAACAGTATCAAGCTATTCGTGCTGGACGAAGCAGATGAAATGCTTTCAAGAGGTTTTAAGGATCAGATTTATGACGTATTTAAGCTCTTATCTAGCGAAGTACAGGTTATTATCATTTTTGCTTTATCTGAAGTATTGTTTTATTTTGAGCAAAAAATTGTCAGTTATATAAATGCTATTAATGTTATGTAAATATTATCATTTTAAAAATTGCAATTTAAATTTTGAATATTTTAGAGAATTAGAAAATTAATTACGTATGACTAATTTTCATGGTGTTTATTTCTAGGTCATTCTACTTTCGGCTACTATGCCTGCTGATGTGCTTGAAGTATCGAAATGCTTTATGCGAGAGCCAGTCAAGATTCTCGTCAAGAAGGAAGAGCTGACTCTTGAGGGTATCAAGCAGTTTTTCATTTATATTGAACGCGAAGACTGGAAACTTGACACTCTTTGCGATCTGTACGATACTTTGAGTATTACTCAGGCTGTCATTTTCTGTAACACTCGTCGCAAGGTCGATTGGCTTACCGACAGTATGCATCAGAAAGACTTCACAGTGTCAGCCATGCATGGTGACATGGAACAGCGTGAACGTGATCTCATTATGAGACAATTCCGCACTGGATCTTCCCGCGTATTGATCACTACTGATTTACTCGCTCGTGGAATTGATGTACAGCAAGTCTCCCTGGTCATTAATTATGACTTACCTTCAAATCGTGAAAATTATATTCACAGGTAATTATTATTTCCATATTTGCCATAAATGTTAATTTCGATGAGACTATAAAAATATTAATGCATTGTATTTTTTTCCAATAGAATTGGTCGTGGTGGACGATTCGGTCGTAAGGGTGTTGCGATTAACTTCGTCACTTCAGAAGATAAAAGAACATTAAAAGACATCGAACAATTTTATAACACACACATTGATGAAATGCCAATGAACGTTGCCGATTTGATCTAAGTCCTCGACGCTTGGTTCAATTCGCTCTAATACAAAACGATAAAAAGTAAGTGAAAACAGGGAGCTGTCAGTCGAATTTTCATGGTGTGTGAGTATAATACTGAGTGAATTCGTGGAAAAACCAATAATCGCTTGTGTAAAGCAGCGTGAATCTTTTGCGACAGAACATAAGTCCATTGGTTATTTGGATTGAATTTGTTTTACAACAGTAGACCACGCTATAAGCAAACAACAAAAACATAAAAAAAAAAAAAAAAACAATTAACTCTAATCTATATATTGTATGAGAAAAAAGGAGAACTGTTACAACTTTTGGACGGTACTCCAAGTATCTATTTCGAATACTATAATTATTACTTATATTAATTAATTAACCAATTAAACTTAGTGTAAATCAGCATAGAATCATTGATAAGTGACAAAGACGTTTTGTAAAACGCGGCAAGCCCGTTCCACGTGTGTGACCCGAGTTGTACTCGGTGGTCTCCCCGTGAGAGTTGCGGCTGCCGGTTTAGGAAATGAATTTTGTTTATTTGATAATGATAATTAATCTTTTTATGCCCACTGTAATTATGATGACGGTGAACATTTCTATTTGGGAGATAATAACTCTCCTTTCGCATTTTTTTAATTATTATTATTCTTTTACTTCGAAGCATCAAGCTACAAGAGATTTGCACACTATTTCTCTATTTACGCGTCGTAAAAACTACTCCTTTTCCATGTTTTTACTAATGCCGAGACTGCGACATGTTTGTTTAAGTAGAGGTCTAGTTGGCTATTGGAAAGGCTATTTTAATCATAAACGATCACGAAGGAGATTGTAATTTTCAAATTTATTTAGACTTATTTGTGTGAAATTTTTTTTGTATATCATAAAACCTACCTTTTATTAGACCCCTTCCCCCTCATTATTTCTGTTGTTAAATAAAAAATAAAATAAATTTAATATTCAATTCAACATTAGACTTTCTATTTATTTCGATTTTCCAAAAGAACAAAATAAAAATTGCTTTTCCGATCCAATTGATGCCACTGCATGGACAAACTGCGATGCTGATTTTTAATTATAAATGTTATCAAAAGGCAATTAAGAAAAAAAACGATATTTGTATCTCTCTTTCTTTTGCTCTGTCAAATGGTTTTTTCTTTTTTTTTAATAATATCAATCGAGAAAAAGAAATAGACTTCGTAAAAAATACCATAGCTATTACGGTGTCTTTATATTTCCAGGCATTTCTGGGCGCCAAACAAGCGGGGAAGAATATTTTGGGAAATAAAGATCAAATTATCCAAATGATATGCACTCTCGTGACTCGATCACCCTTCTAAAAAATCCTTAAAATCTTAAATACACTTCCTTGCATCGAAGATATCTGCAATCAATTTATTGTTACCTTTTTTTGCTATGGTCATGGAAATGAAAAAAAGATCGTTTTATACTTTATTAATAAAAAAAAATAACAATCCATCACGACAAAATTATGTATTTTATTCAACTGACTCCTCATTACAACTACATTGTATTAAAATTAAGAAGGCAATTGTCAAATCTTCTCATTTAACTTTGTACATTAGTATATCGTGTTGTTGAGTTGATTTATCGATGAGTCTGTTCGGGAAAGGAATTTGAAATGTCTTGCATAAAACGATCGCATGACACGAAGATAAGAAAATAGAGAGATAAAAATAACGTTGGTGACTTGAATCATATTGAATTACCTTATTTCTATTTAAACAAAAATGTTTCTCGGTTTTTTTATTTTTCATTCAACTTTATTTTCTAGTTGCCTATGTCTCTATTGTGTTAATAAAAAAATAATTTTTGCAAATAAAAATAAAAAAATGAAAGGAGATTTTTAAAATGTCAACAAAGTAACATATTAATTGCATTATTTATAAATATGTATTCTTAATTGTTCTTTGTTGTAATAAAACAGGTAGTTAGATAGGTAAATGTCATCTTTAATGCTGAACTTTGTCATTCTGAAAGAGTCGATCCTTTCGGTCTAAGAGAAAATCGCTTATTTAATTTATGCTGGTCGATAGTAGTTTAATTTTTTGCACATATTGTTGTCTGATAAAAGGTAGAAATTTCGTTCTTAAGTTGAAACAGTACAAAAAGGAATGATTAATTTTATTAAGTAATAAGCTTCATAACTTTGGGATTCACGACTTCTCGCAAGGAATGAGTTAATTTTTGAAGACTGTTTATGTCTGCCACAAACCAAACAAAAGTAAAATAAAATAAAAAGATTTTATATAGTTAGACTGAAGTTTATTAACAAAATTTTTGATAAGTACTGAAGTTATGTAACAAATGTGTTCAAATAAAAGCAGAAAAAAGTAAGCTAAAGACAAAAGACAAAAGTAGTGGTTGCTAAAACCTTGTCATCTTCCTTTTTTTTATATTCAATGAAGAAAATGAATAATGTGTTTGTATCATGTGGAATTGACGTATTCAGCATTGAAAATTGCTTAAAAGAAAATCTTTTTCCAATGGCATTGTATACATAGGTCCAAAACCATTGTGAAATAATATATAAAAAAGCCAAATACTGAATATCTAAGCATTTGCTACGTTTTTACAACTCTAAAATAACGACTGTTAACATATGCGTAGTGAATATTGTAGACAAGTAATATGTGCGAATAAATATTTATTCATGAATTTTTAAGGTTGAATCATTTATTTAATCAAGAAATCTGTGTTAAATCTTTGGATTATCATTACTGGTGAGAGTATTTTTTTTTCATTTATATACATACATTCATTTTAACTTAACAATATAAATTAAATAAAACAAGACAATTTAACAGATTTATTAATCGGTATATGTGGAATGTTAGGTTACATGACTACATCGAGGCAGGTATGTCATAATGTTTGTGCAACATTGCTCACTCATGATTCATGGAACGTGAGAGAAAAATAGTTTGAGCGACAATCCATAGACTATATTGCTTTTAACAATATCATAAATATTATATATACAATTTTCAAAATCCTACTCGTGCGCGCGCGCGAGTGTGTGTGTGTCTTTACACACACAATGGCAAGGGTTTAAATATCGAGTATATTGCATAAGAAGTTATATAATTTTTAAACATTAAATAATTTTGATTGTTTGTGACTTCTTTCCTTATTTAATTATTTATATCTACGAGTATTACATTTGCACAGATGAAAGACCAAGACATCAAGTTGACGTATTTCAGCAAATCAAAGAACATTTCCGATGCAAGCCTACTCATCAATCGCGATTTTCTCTTTTAATATATGGCCATAAATGCCCTGAAATTAAATGTAGCTGTTATATATTTTGGCAATAAAAAATTAACATAAATTATAATATAATTAATTAACAACAGACCATCACTGTTGTCAAGACATAATCGAATTGCCCATTCGTCAAGTAAGATTCCATGAAATCGGTTATAAAATGTATTTCACTACCTAACTGCAAGACACTTGCTCTAATAACAACAAAGTAAAATATCGGTATCAATTGATCAGCAGGTAATTTGTAGTTTTCATTCAAACGTTTTTGTATTGCCTGGAAAAAAATGAATTAAAATGAATATGTAGTAGAATCAAGCAAATTAGATATATTGATAACAAAATCAATTGTTTGTCTGTTAGCAATTATATTACGAAACGTTTACCTGTTCGATTTGGTAATGAGTATTTCTAATAACTATTAACTTTTCAACCGCAGAAAAAGTAGTTTTCAATTGTTGCAGAGTTTCGATTGCTTCGTTGAGAAATGTGTCATTATCGGCTGAATCAAAACTTTTCCAAAATTTCCTAAAGAAGAGTTTTATTATTACATTGACGCTTATAAAATATAAATTATCATTTTTGAGCATAAACTTACTGATCAATGCCTAAGAAAGCTAATAGTGTATTATTAGGTTGTTTGTTCCACTTGATTAGTCGTTCCCAGTAAGCGTCGTCCTTTTTCTTATTATGAAGAGCGTAAAGTACAAATAAGGCGGAATAAACGCGCGGCAGTAAGATAGGATGAAGTATAGCGGCTGCGCTTATTACTTTTCTACAAAAAAGAATAACAAAATAAACCGTTATTATTAATACATTAATCAGGTCGATGTCTAAATCAAGCATTTTTTACTCACTCTTCGTTGCATTCATCATCGTCGTCGTTGAGTTTAAATAAACTCTGTTCGGAAGCTTTTGGCAACGCGGGAAAGAACAAAGTTACAGCTTCGTATATCCTCGTTGTAATGCTTGTCAGCTCTGAAACTGCGTGCTTCAGGAGAAGCGGATGTACGCGAACACCACCGTAAGTTGCCGTGTACACAGCCGCAAGCTCATTGAGCAAAGTACCAAGAGGATGATGGGGACTCTCGAAGGCTCGAGTTAGATATTTGTGTATCTGATTGTAAGCCGGCAGAGTCAACTTTTCGTGTCCAAAGTATAAAATTTTATGTAGTTGATCATTGTCCTCTACTTCGTTGAGCTGATTGTAAGAGGAATTAAGGCTACAGTTCATGGCATTACAATTAAAGTTTTGGCGTTTTTGACGATTACGTTGCGATTTGGATATAATAGCTGCAACGTTGCTCCATAACTTTTGAGTCTCTATTTGGTGTGTCGACGGGTTTTTGGAGTTTGTATTGTTATTCATTTCAGGAATACCCAATTGCATATAAAATTGATGGAATATTGCCTTCCACTTTTGGTCCGGTGGAGTGCACAACTTGCCAAAGGATCTAAAATATTAAAACATTTCTGAAACTACTTATAATGAATGATTACGAAGAATTCATTGAATAATTAACACACAGTGGTTCTTTTGATGATTTTCCACTTATTTTGTTATTTATGTGCAGCGTCGCTGTAACTTTCACTCCCTCGTCCCATGCGCCACTGAAGTTTCCCTCTAGTTTTTCTTCATTACAGAAAGTCAAAATCCCTTTTCCACCGAAAACTCCAACGGCTTTGAACTCTCCTTCGTAATGAGTTCCATCTTCAAGAACCATGATTCCATGGCCCTGCATTTAACAAATGTTTAATATTGGAAAATTAATTGATAGAAGATAGATACTTTTTTCAAAATAATTTTCTCACCATAAATACATCTTGGACAAACATTCCCTCGTAATATATTCCGTCTAATGTAACTATCAGTCCATTGCCGTGTTTAACATTGTTGTTCCATGATCCCAAATACTTTTCGCCTGGAGTTATTGTAATATTATTTGAAAGACGTTCTCTATTTTATAGATAAAAAAATGTTGTATAGTAATATTACCAGTTTTTATATCATCTATAACACCATATCCTTGTTTGACACCGGAAGACCATTCGCCTATGTAAACCGAGGCAACAGAAGCCATGAAGTGACCTTCTTTTTTCATCCCATGCCCGTGCGGTAAATTGTCTTTGAAGTATCCTTCGTAAACATCGCCGTTTATGTAACTTAATTAAAATATTAAAAAATTATAATAACTTTTTAGACTTTCAGTAGGTTTTAAATATTTTCAACATAATTATACGTACTTCATAATTCCATATCCATTTTGCAAACCATCTTTCCACTGTCCTTCATAAACACCTTGAGTAGGCATTTCCATTCGACCTGTACCATGTATTGCACCTTTATTAAATTGACCAATGTACATACGATTATCGGCCCATTCCAACTTTCCAGATCCATTAAGTTTTCCTTTTAACCATTGTCCTTAAAAAATTTCGAATTAATATTGATTTTAAATTTGAAGAACCATTGATGAATGTTATTGAAGGTTATACCAGTGTAACTGGCATCCTTATATACGGGATGCTTCGTAAACGAAAAAGAGCCAGTTCGTATTTGCGGAGGCATATGACTAGCAGATCTTTGAAGACTATTTTTAATAGTAGTTTGAAATGCGAAATACCACTCGCTGCGATCAGCTGCTGTTGGTGTATAAAGTATAAAACTGTCTTCTGGTGTTGTTATCGATATGGCATTCTACAATACAAATTATTGGCTTAACATCATAATTAACAATGAATGTTTGACTTGACTTTACCTGTAATGCATCTGAATCTGGTAGCATTTCCACCCATAATAAAGGTAAACGGTGTGCAGTATAAGTAGTGCCGCTAATGTGAATAAAAACGTCGCTAAGCAGAATAAACCAATGTGACGAAAATCTGCTAGAGTTAAATAAAGAAATATGGTGCGAGAAAGATTCTCTAACCATACGTCTTTCGGGAGTTCGGAATTGTTCTACGATTTTGCCGGAACCTTCCCAAAAGGATTTTGTACTTTCAGCTTCTTGTAAGCGTTTAGTTTGTTCTTTCGATAAGTTTTCCCATTTACTTAAGACCTCTTGTAAGTGTTCTGTCCGTATATTTCTATTATCCATTTTAATTATACTTTGTATTATATTTATATACCTGTGAATGAAACGTACTGAATTCAATGCAATAGCAACACTATGTATACGAATTTACTTTTTAAAACAAAACTAATTATTACCTATTCAAATGCCGCACAGGATACTGTAAAACAAATGCAATAATTGTTTCATTAGTTAGATTAACACTGCCTGCATTTATTTTGTCTTTGAAAACGGTGGAAAGTACTTCAAGTACGTCAATCAGCTTTGCGATTTGTGTGAATCCACTCGAAGCGATGATATCACAAACTGCGTTCAAATACGCTCGATAAACACCGATAAATTCGTCAGCATTCGCGATTATGACGATCTCGTGAGATTCGATAATGCGATTATAACAATCCCATAAGCTACGCACATTCAAAACATTCACGCTCAAAAATTCGCCGTAACAGCGGCAAAGTGTATCATAAACGTTCACTTCGCGAATAGTTCCACTTTTTTTCTGAAAAGGCATTATTAAGTTCCGATGCACAAATAGCGTTTCCTCTAAAAATATTTGTTGCTCTATCAGAATATCTGATATTTCGCGTACTAATTCCTTTGTTACCGTGCAACAGCTGTAGTTATCTGAACAAAAGATATTTTTTAAAAGACAATCTTTTATATCTGGTAATTCCAACGTTGACATTACACCGGAAGATCTGGAAGTAAGTAGATAATAAGCGATTGAATCACTCACAATGAAATGATAATGAGAAAGAAAAAATGGTCGGCAACTCACTTGTGTTTTCCCATTAAAAAAATCTTTTGATCTGTCATTATCAAGCTGTGATCGCTGCCAGTTGCAATATCTTTTGCTCGCTCTTTGGGCGACAAGCGTATGAAAAAATTGGAAGAAAACAGCTGCGGAGATTTTTGATCGACTTGCGAACAGTGTGCAACTTGCATAAAATTGTTCCTACCCCAGGCAAATACTCGGCCGTCCAGTGTTAGCGCCAGGGTATGATAAGCACCACATGCGATTTTTTTGATTCCGCAACGATTGAGGATAGTCACTTCGCGTGGACGCGGCCTATTAATTATATCTCCTACACCTAATTGTCCGTACTTAACGTCACCCCATGTCCATACTTCGGTCGACAGTGCGCTGTTACCAGTTTTAATTAATAAACTTATTTTCTCGTTCAATCGTTTTTCCACCAGTTCGTGCTCCGATGAGCCTCCACTCGATGACCAAGGTATGTCATCACAGCGTAAACTATTTATTAAACTGCCTGCAGTTCTCTTTGATTCTTCTATGCCTAATTCTTCAAAGTTATCACTTAAATCATCTTTCACGTCGTTCACGTCAGAACTACCACTGACGTGTCTCGACAACGTCACAACCTTATCACCCACTGTTTTCACTCCTTCATAAACTAAATTGGCCATATTTGACACATTTTGTTTAATGAGACTTGTAGGATTGTCTATAGTATCTAACTGAATATCGTCTTTTGTACTGCCATACGATGATACCCAAGACAGTTGTCTCGTAAGAAATTGTCTCGCTGCCTCTGTATTAATCAGAATCACATTTTTTTTTGCATCTTTATCAGATTCAAGTACTTCATTTTCACATATATCTCCATTTGAATTCACATTGATTGAATTTGGGATAATTTTTTCTTCCATGATAGATTGAAAGACGTCTTCTTTACTTGTACTCGACAATGCACTTATTGAATTAACGGAGTAACCATCGCTGCATCTGCGAACATCAGCTATGGGACCAGTATCTGATGAAGTAACACTCATCGAACTTGGCATTATATTACTGAGGCACTGAGAACATGATTTGACAAAAATTTCTTGCACGTCAGCCTCACTGTCTACATCATCTTTTGAAACTTGAGATAGCTTTCTTACTAAAACTACATAAAAATTAGATCCACATGCTACATCTGAAACAATTCTACCGTCGAAAAAAATTACTTTCTTAGGTTCCTGAGATTTAATGTCAATTTGGGGTTGGTCACCACTTGCCCATAGCTGACCATTCTCTGTTACAAATAAAGCAGAATCATCATTAACTGCTATTGCTATTACTTTGGCTATATCACTGCCCTGTCTGCAACTGTAAGAAAAACAGTACAACTTACAGTCGAAAAAACATCTTAACGCTTATAATAAATTTTAATGAAAAAGTATAATTTTTGTTTCATATTCTCTAAATTACACGTAAAAAAATTTTTAAATATTATCAATTTACTAAATAAAAGAGTTTGTGGAATATGCCAAATGATCAGTTTAATATTAACAGCACCCTACTTCTTCAAAATTATTTACATAATGATAATAAGCAGACTTAAAATAACATTATCAAAGTGATAAATTGTTAATGAGATTGCTATTCAAGTAGTTATTGCAAAGTTCTTTGTTTCATTAAAAACAAAAAATGTTATCGAGCTGATTAACGTGTTAAAACTACCAAACAATTATTATCATAATTTTATTCTTTCTGTACAATTGTTTGGAGTTCTAAAATTGAAACTATTGCATGGGTTGTTAATGTATGGGAGCCTAGATATAAAAAATAAACGAATGAGATCTACAAACCCATGATTACAGTATTTGATATCTTCTCTAATAACAATAGAGTCAATAATATTAAGATCTTGAGGGTTGATTTTGTGCACACAACCATCAGTGGTTACGACAAAGAGATATTGACTGTTGGCAGCCACATCAACAGCACTGAGCTGGCTCTTAATTAGTGACAATAAAGTCAGCGATGAATCAGCCCCTTCACTGGCAGTAACAACCTCTCCATGGTAGAGGCTACAGGTAGTTGTCATAAGAAAAATGCGATCCCCAACAGTGACGAGTTTGGCAAGTGGTCCATCGAGTTGCTGGTCGACGGCAGCTGCATTGAGGCACAGCTTATCTGGGCCTCGCCATAAGTGCATAGACGAAGATGGGATGTCGGCACCGACGTCGACGACGGGGTTTTCCGACGAGGATGACATAACCTCGCGCGAGTTGCTATTGGCGACTCTGCTACTGATGATCTGTTGCCGCGGCTCCTTGTCACGTTATTGTTGACGATATTGTCGTCACTCCTGGCCATTTAATCAATTGGGCGTCGCGCGAAAACATTGCTGAATGAACTTGCACACCAGATACTTGCTTCCACTCACCCGCGTATCTCATACACGATTTATGGATGCTGTGTACTTCGTATACGAGGAACGAATTGGTATTGTATATGTGTGTGTGTATATGTAAATATATACATATATAAAATATGTATACACAGTTTACACAGGCGTCTAAGTGGGGGCATTTAAAGGACGTTTTCGGGGATAGAGCACCTGCGCTCAGCTGATCAATTGAATCTTTCATGCAGGGCCGCTGTGATATTTTGGAGTAGAATATATAGGTCAAGGCTTTTTTAAGCTTTTGTTGATATTTTGATTCCTGCACGTTTTGCAAATGAAATAACCTTCGCAACGAGCGTATATTGTTTTGGATTGATTCTTATTGAAAGATCGATGCTGTTTATCTAAAAATGAAAACGATTTTTCCATGAAATTAATAAATTTTTAATAATTTTATTAATTTAACTTTACGACATTGTATAGTTGGTTGATTCTAATTAAAAATTAATACCAAAAACAAATGATATGTCATTAATAAAATTTAGTTCATAGATGGTTGTTTTATTTATTCTTATTTTCGGTTTTATCAATGATATCTTTTTCACTTTGGCAAAAACGATATTTTAACAGTGATGGAGACTGGCATCTTTTTATGTTTTTATGCATACATTTTGATTTTGATATGACAGGATCATCAAAATATTCTTCTTCGCTTGATATATCAGTAGTTGATGAACAAATACTTATTTTTGATGATTGCCTTTTAGGAGTCTAAAAATAAATTTTTTAATTTATTAAATTAAAAAGTAGTAAGCAATAGTTTTAATTAATGTAATATACCTGTTGGATATTTTTCTTCTCATTACGTTTTATTTTGTTTTGTAAGTCTACCATAAGTTGTTGTAAAAAATTATGCAAAAAATTGGATTCCTTATTATGATTAACTTTTGTATTAGAACAGTCTATGCAGCAAGGGGTTTTCTTTTTTAATTTTTCTTTATGAAGGATTTCTACAAAAATTTTCAATATTTCTAGATCATTAAAATTTTTAGTAGATCTCAGTAAGTTTTCAATTAAATTTTTCATCAGACTATTTTCTGATTGTACTTCATTCAAGCTGAATTTTTCTGAATCTTTGTTTACAATATCAACATTCTCTGCAATTCTTTTTGATGAAAATTCATTTTCTACTGTTTCAGTCACTACTTTTGATGAAGATTCGTTATTATAGTTGGACAAATGCTCGTTTGAAATTTTTATAGTGTGAGTGTAGAGACTTGAATGTTGTTTAGATGTTATTTCATGTTGAATAATCAATTTTGGTTTTAGAGGATCACTAATGTTTGTATTTGAATTAAGACTTATAGGAAATACTAAAGTATAACCATCTTGTGGATTTACATTTGCACTGCTCAAGCTTACATTAGTAGTATTTTCTATTGGAAAATAGTTTTCGGATACAGAAGTTTGATCTACATTATTTTTGCTTGCTCTTTGATGAACTTCTGCATCAATTTCATTTAGGCCAGCTAAAAATTTGACAAACTTCATGTTTTGAAAAAGTAGAGTATGTAAATTTGGTGTGTTATTTTTTTTTCTTTTAAATAAATTATGGAATAGAGAACTGATTCCTTTTTTCTTTGACACTTTGACACTTTGTTTTGAAGAACATTGTGATAAATAATTAACAATATCAGAATTAGTTAAATTTTTTTTTAAATCATCAACAATGCTATTGGGCACTTGAACAACAAATGTCAATGGTGAATTATTTCTGTTTTTAATTAAGTTTTCTTTCGAAGTTACAGTTGCATCACGTTTCAATGCAGTATTATTTGAACACAAGCTATCTTTAGTACGAAGTTCTTGTAAGGGAGTCTGTTCATTCATTTTGCTATTGCTGAATTTCTTTTTATTACAATTTAATAATTTAACTAAAGAATCTTGTGATTTTCTAAGTGGCCTTTTACTATCATTTTGTAAATGGAATAATAATTTTTCCATACGATACAGATTACTTTGGCATTCTTCTACTTGTCTTGAAAATTCTGTTTCAGAATTACTCTCAGAGTTTGGTAAGTCAAAATCTAGAGCAGTATATTATTTAGCTATAATAGTGAGTATTACAATCTAGATTAATTACCTTGCTTAAAATTTTCCATGCTTAATCTACATTTAATTGAAATGAAGAAAAACTCAAATATTGAAAATAAAATGAAAATGTAAACAAAGGATCATGATTTTGGTTATAATTTTGATGTCTTTTGTTTATACTATCAGTCTTACTGTTAGAAAAAATGTCTACAACAAATTATAATAGACAGTTTTAATAAAACTATGAAAATAATTTATTGTGGATAAAAGATTTAAATTAGTGGTCTTTTGTATGCACACAATTGATCATGGTCATATATAAGATGTATCTTGTCATACATATATTTGAAAAAATATAATAAGTTATCATATTGTCCATTGTACTGCTGAAGCAAATCAGCTTCTTTGATAACACTTTTCACCTCTTTTTTTAACAGACCTTGCTCAAGTGTTGCATAGTTTTCAATTTTTCCTAAGGCACAAGCGTGCAATTCAAAAAGAAATTGGTGAATAGCTTCAACTGTTGCTAAGTACCATCTTGGACTTTTCTTTTGATGCCTCCAGAATTGTGATATTCGAGACTTAAGAATTACACAAGGTAGATCTAAAATATGAAATTCAATTTAACACTATACATGGTAAGTAGATAAAAAATAAAGAAAAACTTATTATAAAAACCTCTTAATCGTTCATCCTTATATATAGATTTAGTTTGATGCCAGGTACTGTCTATAAATACTGCTCTGGTGATTGGGAATTCATTATTGATTCTTTCATTTATAATACCATTATTTTTGTTTGCTGTTTTTACAAACAAATCTTCAACATTCATTGCTGTTTGACTAGGAAAGATAAGAACTGCCTGAGGGCTGGTATTTTAACGTTTGTTCTAAATGATTAAAGTTAAATTATAAATAAAATATGAACATATCTTACTCTATCAGTTTTTAAAATTTCTGGAAACTTAGGATATATGTAGATTTTAACATCTTCTGGAGCAATTATAGCAGCATGAATAGCTGTACTTTTACCGTCTATTTCTCTTGCATGTTTAATAATATCAATTTTAATAGGTAGCTGAAACAAAACAGTGTATACAACAATGAAGATAATTTGACTTGTCTATTTTTTAGGTTAAGTATTTGTAATCAACATGTGGAACTTATTAAATTTACTATATATGTAAACAAAAGTAGTACTTTAATTCTTGGAATATATTTTTCATCAATGACGGGTATGCAGCAAGAATAACAAAAGAATTTTCGCGACTTGTAACATTTTCCGCAAATCTCTCGTCCTTCGATGGTATCAAGGCAGCTGGCATCGTCAATTCTCATGTGACGAAACGGTTCCCGATCAATAGCTTTTTGTTGCTCTTCTAAGATTTTTAGTTTTTCATTATTATTTGTTTTACTACACATTTTTACACTAGGATTCCGCGCCTCTGACATCAACAACAATGCTGTAGTAGACATGTACATATTACACATGTGATGTGTTACTGTGTCAACGAATATTGACACTTATTCCCTTGCGTATGCAAATGTTTAGCAATTTTTTCTTAATAAAATATAATGTGATTACTTCTATATGAAATAATAATTATTCTGGTTTTTTCACAATAAAAATTGGAACTTCTTAAATCTGCGACGAATCGCAACTGGGCGCTAGTATTTAACTTTTTCCATACTTTTCCACCGACACTTACTCTTTTTTCTCCTTCATTAACTTGCTACCCAAACATCTATCTAGCACATTCATACACCAATAAATAAAAGATGTTCCTGAACTCTCCAAGTTATGGAAAGAGAAAATAAGAATAGAGAGAAAGTCTCTACCCTTCATAGTTCAAGCTTAATAAGCGTCTATATTCATTGTTATTGTTACTGCATGCCAATACAATCGAAGTACCAATAATCCGAATCGTTTAGATTGGATTTTTAATCATTATTTTTTATTATGGATATGGATCTTGCATTAGCATTATTAATTATGACTAACTATTGATAAATTGTTCTATGAAAATTGTGCATTTTTGCTTATTAGTCAGTCCATTAGCCAAATTCTTATTAACTTATTTAATAATAAAGTACTGTTCTATTTTTTTTATAAATATTAAAGTTAGGGTTATTTAAAAAAAATTTCAGTTGAAACGGTTTTTATTAATAAATTTATTATAAAAAATACTAATGTTAAACCCTACATATCACCCATTTATAATTATGATCATAATGTTAATAAGATAAATGCAAAGTATTTAAAATATTAATATATTCACATGACTCAAAGCTATTGCATTTTGACTGATGAAGCTGATGAGAACATTCGCATTGAATATCTAATCACCATTATAGCACTAAAAAGAAAATGATCATTTAAGTAAAAGTAGTGTGCATTTTTTTGGTTTTATTCTAATTTTAGTGTATTACCTGACTGTTGCAATCAGTCCAGCAGGCATGACTTTGCCTGTATTATAGAATCTATATCCCATTAATCCTCCAAGTGCTGCACTACTACCTAAAATTACGCCGTAATTCTGTTCATTTTGTGATGATAGAAATGCTCCGTATCCTAAGATAGATCCAAATAAAAGTCCGGCTCCCAGTGATGGAATGGAATCTGCAAATAATTTATTCATTCAATTTTTCATATGCAAGCTAAAATTTTGTACATATAGAATTATATTTGAAGTCATTAAGTAATGAATAAATTTACAAATAATATGGAAAAATAATAAAGAGAATAATAAATAAAACTTACGAGATTTAACATAACCCATAATTCCACCGGCTGCAACAGCAGCGGCATATGCAAATCCGGGAATGTCGACAGGCATTTTTGTAATAGAAAGAAAAACTAAATCACCGGTAGTTTGAGTAATATCTTTAGCTAAGTTACGAGTATTACTGTGTTGTTAACTGCCGATTGTTGAATGATTAACAATAAATGCGTAATTCAGAAGAACGTTTTGTGCGCCTGCGCCACCTCGTTTAAATGAAAAAGAAAAGTAAAGTATAAAACTTTAGGAAAAACGGTGGTCACACTTGCGCAATCGTGTATACAACTTGTACAAATGGTTTTCCAAAAAACACAGTAATTTATTCGTGGTGAATGTAACGGTATCCTGCTAACAATAAATTTGTAACTAACAAATGCAAACTTAATTTTTTTATTATTTATTTTTAAAAACTCTATTTAATACCACCTTACCTAAATTACAATATTAATAACTGCATCTTCTCGCGCTAAGCACTGCTTTCTAGCTTGATCTCCCATCGAATACATCTCCTGACAAAATTCATAACGATAACGACAATCTAACAACAATTATAACTAATTAAGATATAGAGATGTCAGATATTCATTCATCAATTTTAACATATCGAGATCTTAAAAAAAAAAAAGAAACCATAGAGACCATATACTCATACATACTTCATCCCAAAAAATATTAATAGGCGTAGTTCTTCACATCGGTAAGCCTATTTAACTATAGTGAAATACCAGTAGGAATTGCAATAATTATAGTTGCTGAAGTAAAATAAGCTCGAGTATCAACATCTATACCAATAGTAAATATATGATGTGCTCAAACAATAAACCCTAATAAACCAATTGAAATCATTGCATAAATTATGCCTATAGTTCCAAATACTTCTTTTTTTATACTTTCATTATTAATTATATGAGAAATTAACCCAAATCCAGGTAAAATTAAAATATATACTTCTGGATGTCCAAAAAATCAAAAAAGATGTTGATATAAAACTGGATCACCCCCACCAATAGGATTAAAAAATGAAGTATTTAAATTTCGATCAAATAATAATATTGTAATAGCTCCAGCTAAAACTGGTAATGATAATAATAATAAAATTGCTGTTAATATTATAGATCAAGAAAATAAAGAAATAGTTTCAATTTTATAAATTTTTATATTAATAATAGTAGTAATAAAATTAATTGAGGCTATAATAGATGAAATTCCAGCAATATGTAAAGAAAAAATAGATAAATCTACTGATGGTCCTCTATGAGATAAATTTCTTGATAATGGTGGATAAACCGTTCAACCTGTACCTGTACCTCTGCCAATAAATATCCTAGATAATAATAATATCAATCTTGGAGGTAATAATCAAAAACTTATATTATTTGTTCGCGGAAAAGCTATATCTGGTACACCTATTATTATAGGAATTAAATAATTTCTAAATCCTCCTATTATCACTGGTATAACAAAAAAAAATTATAATAAAAGCATGAGTTGTAACAATAGAATTATAAATTTGATCATTACCAATTATGGAACCAGGATTACCTAATTCTAATCGAATAATTATCCTTAAAGATAAACCAATAATACCAGATCATATTCCTAAAATAAAATATAACATACCAATATATTTATGATTTGTTGAAAATAATCATAATTTCATAATTTATATAGTTTAAATAAAAACATTATAATTTCAATATAAAAATAAAGTATTTTATTTTATAAATAATATAATATATTAAAATATTTAAAAATAAATAATTTTCTTAATATCTTCAATATTATATTTTATATAAACTATTTAAATTATAATATTAAAATAATTAATATATTAATTAATATTAAACAAATTATTAAATTAATTAAATTGTTAAAATTTAAAATTCTCACTCACTTTATTGATTTATTTAAATTATAAATAGTTTTTTAAAAAAATTCTTCACTCCATCCTTTATCATATGATAAAGAGTAAATTTTACCAAATTTTAACAATTTAATATTAATCATGTATTTTAAATTTATTAAAAATCATATTTTATTAAAAAAATATTGAAAACTATAAATAAATTTTATTTTTGCAAAATTATTTATAATTATTATAATAATAATTAATCCAATTAAACAAATTATAATAATAGATAATTTTTCATAATTTAATAAATAAATAATTTCAATATTATTAAATAAAATTCAATTTAATCTTCTACCAAATATTAAAGATATAAATATTAATAAAATTATAGAAATTCTTATTTTTTTATTTTCATAAATATTAAAAATTACATTATATATAAATTTGTTATACATTAAAAAATAAAATAAACGAAATCTATATATTACTGTTAATATAGTTCTAATTAATAATAAAATATAAATAAATAAGTTAATTTTATATATAAATATAGTTTCTAAAATTAAATCTTTAGAATAAAATCCAGAATAAAATGGTAATCTACATAAAGAAAAATTTGAAATCAATAAAATTGATGCAGTTATAGGTATAAAATTTTTTAATCATCCTATATATCGAATATTTTGATAATTATTCATATAATGAGTAATAATACCAGAACATATAAATATTATAGATTTAAATATTGCATGAATAATTAAATGAAAAAAAGCAAATATATATTTATTTATACCTAAAATTATTATTATTAATCCTAATTGAGATAAAGTTGAATATGCAATGATTTTTTTTCAATCAAATTCAAAATTTGCAGAATTTCCTGCTATAAATATAGTAATTAATCCAAAAATAATTAATATAAATATTAATTTATTAAAGTTATTTATTAAAAAATTAAAACGAATTATTATATAAATTCATGATAACATTGAAAATTTATAAATAAATTTATATTAAATGATTCAATTAAAAAAATTATAATTAATATAATTAAAATTATCCTTACTTCATAAGAAATTGTTTGGGCAATTCTACGTAACCTACCAATTATAGAATAAATAGAATTTGAAGATCATCCAGCTATTATTATTCCATAAACTCCTAATCTTAAAATACATAAAATTATTAATAAATTAAATTTTAAATTAAATAAATTTGATATATAGGAATATTGGATCATAATAGTATTATTAATATTATATTAAATATTGGAGAAATTATATAATATAAATAATTAGATTTTAAAATTAATGATACTTCTTTAGTAAAAAGTTTTATTGCATCACTAAAAGGTTGAAAAATTCCTAAAAATCCAACTTTATTAGGACCTTTTCAAATTTGAATATATCCTAAAACTTTTCGTTCTAATAAAGTTAAAAAAGCAATTCTAATTAAAATTTTAATTATTATATCTAATATGATAATAATTAAAGTAAGTAATAATTAAAAAAATATTATTACTTAATATTTTAATATTATAATTAAATTCTAAATTTAATACACTAATCTGTCAAAGTAATTAATATAATTCAATTTTAAATATAATATATAGATACAAAGTCCTTTTGTACAAATTTATTATTATAAATATAAGATAGAATCCGATCTGGCTTACACCGATCTAAACTCAAATCATGTAAGATTTTAATAGTCGAACAGACTAATAATAATTATTTTTCCATAAAAATTTTATCTTAATTCAACATCGAGGTCGCAAACAATTTTTTCAATATGATCTCTCTAAAATTATAACGCTGTTATCCCTAAGGTAATTTAATTTATATTCAATAAATTTATTATTGGATAATATATTCTTATATTTAAGTAAAAATTATTAAAAATTATTTAAATTTTAAAATTTCCCCAATTCAATAATATATTTAAATTTAAAATTATAAAAATTTAAATTTAAAATAATTATGAAATTCTATAGGGTCTTCTCGTCTTTATATAATATTTAAGAATTTTAACTTAAAATTAAATTTATTTATTATTAAAAATATAAAGATTCTATTTCATAATATCTTTCATTCCAGACTTCATTAAAAAGACAAATGATTATGCTACCTTAGTACAGTCAATATACTGCAGCTATTTAATTTATCATTGAGCAGATTATATTTATAATTTTAAACTTCTAAACAATGTTTTAAAAAACAGTTGAATAAAATTTTTGCTGAATTCATTTTTTTAATCTTAAAATTAAAATTATAGTTTATTATTATTAATTACTAATTAAATCATTATATTAATATTTTTATTCTTTAAATATTTTATTTTATAAATTTTCAATATTAAATTAAATTTTAATTTTAATTTATTAATTATAACAAATTATTTAAAAATAAAAACTTTTATTTTTATTAAAATAAATTTTATATAAATTTATATAATTAATATTATTAAATTTATTTCTAATAATATTTAATAAATATATAAATTAAATAAAAATTTATTTAATTTATTAGATTTATTATAAATTAAATTTATTTATAAAATAACTAGATATAATAAATTATGATAAGAATTTTTCTACTAAAATAATATTTATAATATTAATATTATAATAATTATGATATTATTTTAGATCAATTTATTTCGAGTTATAAATATAAATTATAGATGTTAATTTACCCTGATACAAAAGGTAAAAATTAATTAAATTAATTTTAATTTAAACTTTCAATATCTTTTACAATACAATAATTATAAATTTAATTTAAATTTTTAAATAATACTAAATAATTAAATTTTATAATTTTTTTTTATTATAATATAAAATATTCAAATATTAATTATTTAATTAATTTTATTTAAAAAAATTTATATAAATATCTTTTCTTTGCAATATAAATATTTTTATTTAAACTATTTTTCTCTCAATACACTTTCCAGTATATTTACTTTGTTACGACTTATCTTTCATTTTTTTAAAAAATTAACGGGCGATTTGTACATATTTCATACTTTATTCAAAATTTTTAATTAAAAATTTTTACTATTAAATTCTAATATTATAAATTATTATAAATTTAATTTTATAATTATTTTAAATGTGACTCTTTTATTCTTATATATTAATTTACATATTGATCTGAAATCAAATTATTTTAAATTAAAAAAAAATTATTTTTAAATATTTTTTTAACGAACATATATAAAAATTTAATATAAGTAATTCTTTTCGTTGATTATCAATTATTAAATAAGTCCCTCTAATTAGATTAAAATACCGGCATAATTTTTAATATAAATAATTAATATTATTAAATTTTATTATCAATAATAAGGTATCTAATCTTAGTTTATTATAATAATTTTTTATTATTAATTTAATAATCTATATTAAGAAATTTTTTTTTAATTTTATCTTAAAAAAAATATTTAAATATATTAATTATATTTAATACTTATTTGTAAAATTAAAAAAATTAATTTATATAATTTTGTTTAACCGCTAATGCTGGCACAAAAATATTCTATATTTATTATAATTTCTAAATAATAAATTTTATATTGTTTAAATTTATATATTAAATTTAAATTTTTTAATAAATGTATATATATATATATATATAATAATTAATTAATTAAACTAAATTAAAATTATATAAAATTTAATTAATTATTAATTTATCCTTGTAACAGAAATGTTTTTTTTTGAACAAAAATGATATTTATATAATAAATGATTTATATATATATATAAATACTTATATATTATTAAATTATTTAATAATTTAGATTTTAAATTAAATATTTATTTATATATAAAATATTTAATTAATATAATTAAATAAAGAATAGGAATATATATATATATATATAAAGTATACTCCGTATACTTTATTCTACGACCTAAAATGCATATATATGTGCGCGTAAAAACTCCCTGATATGCATTTTTATGCATACCTCTTTCATTATATTTGACCCTAAAGTCATATATATCTTAGATTTAATCCTAAAATATATTTAAAAAAAAAAATTTTTTTTTTAGTTAAAAGAATTCAATTCTATAAATAAATTTACAATTTCTTACTTTTATCAGACATTTAACTATTTTTATAAATTATTATATTTATATTTTATATATATAATATTCAATTTTATAAATCATATATTTATTCATTTAGTTCCTATAGGAACTCCTAGTATTAATAACCTAGTAATTAAATAACCTCTCACAGGATTATGCTGTCCAAATCACTGAAATACACCGACAGAATTTCTTTTCCAATCAGAATAATTCTTCAATCTAAAAATCGAAATAATAATAGTATAAAATAAAGTCAGATGAAAAAAGAGTGGTGAAAAAAAATGCATCATTACGGTTATAATTTGAAACTCTAACAAATTATTATTTCATTTTACTTGAAATGTTAATAAACATTAGTTTTGAATGATAAGTAATTCTTTTATATATTATTTGTATGATCTGCTGTTTTATTTATTGTATTTATTTATTTTTTACATAAACGTCAAAAATCATTCGGAATTTAAACTTCGCGGCTCATGAGTTCATGTCTTAACATAACACCAGTTGTAAATACGCTTCATATATTGGCTCTCAATTGGAGATTTGATCAATGCTACTTTAAAAAATTTGATTTTTTTTTTCAATGGGTACAAATTAAGTAAAATGTATTTGCATTGTTTTGTTTTTTTCAAAAATGAGTAGTGTCGGGAGTATAGATTTTTCGAGATCTTGTTTTTTTAGGTTTTATCAATTTGGCTATTCCTAGAAATACAAAGTATAAAATTATTGTTTTTAGATGGTAAAAATTAAACCTTGGCTAATTACATATCATTTTTTTTTATGAAAAACAATTATTAGCGTGCGAGGGTCAATCCGATCACCTATTGCATAATCACGCAGGAGAACGATCGATGGCAGCAGCGGCGCAGCTCTCGCCTGCGCCCATGGTGATGGTATCGTGCCTAAAAGTCCTAAAACAATAAGCAAATGCGCGTGCACAAAAAGAGCGTCTTGTGTTTGTAAACACGACAAGTAGGTCAACATGGCGGCGCTAAAGGGCGATTCATCGAACGGACGAGCTTGTTTTTGACTACGTGAGCGAGTAAAACGCGTTGGTACCGTACTGCGCAGTTGCATACGCGGATGCAGATGTCTAGAAATCGCGGATAATTACGGTACTTTCTATGTGCGGGAAAAGTCTTTTGCTCGTATATCGCACTTTCATCGATTTTAGTGAGGCATTGCCACGCTTAGCGTGGCAATTTATTGTCGAATACTCGGTTCCGAGTACAACTTGTTGGCTTTATAAATTGTTACATATGCCACCATCACATTTGTGGCGCGTCTTTATACCATGCTACAATGGAAGAAAATTGATGTTGCTTAAAACTTTTATCTCTTTAATTTGTTAAAAACCGTTGTTTCGTCGATAAATCAATTATTTCAAACTGAAAAAATGAGCTAATGCGCAAATTTGAACAACTCACAGTGCATTCTGAAAGAGAGATTGCAAATAATATTTGAAAAAATTCTTAAAAGGTATGAAATGAGCATACGCAAATGTATTTGTACTTTTGATGAGCAATCGTTGTTACTCACTTGTTTTTTATTAAAAAATAAATATATATTAATTTTCGTATGTTTTGTTATAACGATGTTTGTGTATAACGAAAGATGATACATTGGCATAATCTTCTGACGATTATTATACAATCGGTGCCAAAGAAAATAACAAATACTGACAATAAGAAAATAAAAATAATCTAATAAGAATTACGTTTTATAGCCATGTTTATAGTCATGACTCTTCACAGAGATCCTATAGAAATCACATTATTGCTTAGACAAGACACCTATCTGAAGCATTAAAATTTGAAATCTTACGTGTTACGCATATAGATGAGTACATTGAAAAGACAGTCTAGGTAGAAGTCTAGGCGTAAGAAATGAAATTGGAATGAACGAAGCGCACGCGCGACGCTGCGAATGAGCAGGCTACGTCGCGCGCATGAGAACAACCGGAACGACATACTAGGTGTACAGATGAGCTAGGTGAAACTGAACGTGAACCATTTAGATACGTATATCATAAATAGATATGCTAGCCCTGACAAGGACTGATTTTTCGACGTCGCTTACAATTGTGTACTTAGAGAGGCCTCGGATATTTACTTCTTGGCCGAAGCTTTCTTGATCGGTTTCTTAGCCTTCCCGGTAGCCTTCGGCTTCTTCACAGCCTTTGGCTTGGGCGGCTTAGCAGCCACCGATTTAAGTATCTTCTTCTTGGCGCTCGCCTTCTTCTTGGGCTTAGCGGGACCAGTTTTCTTCGCGGCCGTCCTTTTGACGACCGCGCGCTTCTTGACAACCCTGGCGGATTCCCCAGTACCGAGTCTGAAGCTACCGGACGCACCTTTACCCTTGGTCTGCACCAGCTTGTTGGCCACGACGCCGCTTTTCAGGTACTTCTTGATGAACGGCGAGAGCTTCTCGGCGTCGACGGCGTAGGTGCCGCTGATGTACTTCTTAATGGCTTGCAGCGACGAGCCGCCCTTCTCCTTCAACGCAGCGATCGCGGCGTCCACCATCTCGGCGGTACGCGGATGACTGAGTTTCGCCCTTGGCTTGCTCGCGGTGGCAGCTCTGGGCGCGGCTTTCCTGGCCGAAGCGGCTGCTGCTGCTGCCGTCGCTACCATTGTCCTTGCTGTTGCCGTTGCCGCGAGACGAGGAGCACGCGAGCGCGAGACAGTAGCCGTTGCAGAACGTGATAATCAAAGTGGCATTGCTCGGCGCGGAGCGCTTGCCGCGAAAGTCACAGCACGGCGCGGACGTCGCTCAGAGACCCGCGCGGACTTGCGCCTCCGATGCACGCGACTTCAGCTCTGTTCGCGGTACGCATTCTGCACTTTGCTTGCCATTTTCGTAGCCCGCACCTCACTTCCAAATCCCTGTTTCGCCCTTCGCCTCTCGTTCGAACTGCGCGAATTCGCGCGACACCAGCATCACTTTGGCTAGGCGAGCTTGCAAGCACCCGCGAAAGCTTTTTATACGCACAGCTATGGTCGATGGGCTGCAACCCTCGATTAAAATGTCACCGCGCTGCTGAATTATCGGACCTCGGTCTTCTTCCGATCGGTGCTCCCGCAAGTAGAATAACGCGGCTCGCAGTGAGACTTGGAGCGATGAAAATCCGTCGCACTTGTGTCGAGATAATCGCCGACAATCCGAGTGGTGGAGTTGCAGTTTAACCAGTCGCGGGGCACGCGAGCTCCCCCGCGCGACCTGCTTCGCGCTCATTTTTTTCTTCTGATATTTGCAAAATTCTCGACACGACGGATTTTCGCGCGACACGCTGGATTTCGAGCCGAGCGCGGAGAACATTTCAGATTCATACCCGAGTTTTGCCGTCGTACGAGTTGTGCGCTTTCGTCGTGTTATCAGGCTCTTTGCGTCGTTGGTCAAATTGTACGTTGGGTTGATGCTAGACGAATTTTAAGCAAGATTCGCCATTTATTCTTCAGGCTTTCAGTTGGCGTTGCGTTTTATTTGCTCGTCATTGGTAGATATCGCATGAATTTCGAATATTGCAAAGTACCTCAAGAACTTGAGAGCGCTTGGCCATTTTGAAACCGTAAGGAGACTTTCATTTTTTAAACGTGAAATGTAATTGTCGTCAATGGCATTCTACATCTCAACGATCACTCTATCTTAATCAATTGATCGACACCTATTATCATTTCATATTTGAAAGAAAAATTGCTTGTATTCGTAATGTACATGATCGAGAACTTGAATAGCTGATTTTATTGATAAAAACATTCCATTCCTTGCTTATACGTGATATTTTTATAGAATTATGATGCAATTGTTAACTTGGTCCCATTTGTAGTCAATTGCAGACAAGGAAGTCACGAGGTTGATGAAATCTAAAGAGGCGTAGGTTCGGCAATTTTTGTAATAGTTTGCTTTTATTATTGAATCTCTGGATAATTGATTCGCAGTACGGTTGGTAAGCATACGTTACACCGAGCATTTCTAAGGAACGAATAGCTTTATAACTGTAAATGTCGAAGATGTGGTAGCAGTCCGTTTATCTAAATTGTATACCGTGTTTCATTATAATACATTATATTGATATCAGCTAGTTAATAACGAGAATTTTGAATTGGACGCGAAACAACGGCAAAAAAGTCGAAACCCAAGCGATCGGAAAGATAAAAAATAGAGCCGTTCTGAAGTCTTCACACACGCACACGCACACACACACACACACACACACACACACACACACACACACACACACACACACACACACACACATCTATAGAAAAAATGGATTCTCTTCCGTCTCATGGCGCATCCGCGAATAAGCATTTAATCGTAATCCCGTCGGCGTGACAATTGCAACTGGTTTTTGCGCCTCTTAGCCTTCCCACCCTGCTGCACGCCAGGGCGTCGGAAGAAAGAGGCTCGCGTCGCAACCAGTCGCACCCAAACGATCCTTTGTCCGCGTGGCCGAGTGACGTGCAGTAGGAAGGTCGAAGGACAAAGAGCAAGCGCATCGCCGAAAAGTCATCGGCAAGTGCGCGAGAGTCGCGCGGCACTTGGCCGAGCGTAAAGCAATAATGCCGAAGCTTGCGCCCGTCTATCTGTCTCTCTCCCTCCCTCGCGCGCGCGTTCAAATTAATGCACGTCTTTGCGAGTGCAGCGGCTTCTTCGACGCGTCCATTGTCTGCGTAGAGGCGTCGAGCGAGCGCGGACCTCGGCGAGAGACCGCGCGACTCTGCTGCACCCAGGCGCGACCTTCTCCGCAGGCCACGTTGGCTTTCCGCCGCCCAAGCACTCGCACTTTTCCTCCGCCCGTCCGCTCCCCACAACTCGACTCGGGCCTTCGTCCAGTACTCGAATCTTCGCTTTGCGAGCGCCGGCGATCGCGGCGACGATTGCCGCAGCGCGTCCACGGGATACGCCGATTAATCGAAAGCTCGCGCGCGCTCGTCGATCGCGCACCGCCCGAACAATCCTGAATTTCTCGGGACCCGCGGCGAGCGACTCCGAAGATCGACCCGCCGTTCGCTTGCTCGCGGCTCTCTCCGAGTGTACGGCGTAGCGTTCGCGGGCCAGAGCTCGCGGAAGAGCCTTCTATCGAGCGGAGAACGAGTGGCTTTGTTGCGCGCCAAGTACCAAGTTCGCTAGCTGCATCGCACTTTGTCGCGGCTCGTCCTATTTACTGAAAATAGGAGTGGATCCAATCGCGACGATTCGTTACGATGTAATGATCGAAATGCTGGCGAATGAGCTAGAGGCGATGGATTTTGTCGGAAAACAGTTGCACGAACGAAGATTCAGATAAACGCTAGCTGTATTTTCCTGCAATGGGAACTTTTCGTTGTAATATATATTATTCACATTGAAATTAAATTAAGTATTTTCATGTTCGCAGCTAATATAGCCATCAAATCAATTTTCTTTTTCAATCAAGAATTCGAATGCTAATTTATTTCACAATTCACATTCTCGGATTGTTCGATGGCTATTTTTATTTGCAGTATAGCGCTGTATTGTAATTTTCCTGTGCATTGAATGCAGAATAACACGAAAAACTTTTGGAAAAATGTCGTTTCATTATGTTTTGATGATGATTTCCGTGATAACGTCAAATGTTTTCAAAAATAGATTGAAAACGCGATTTCGCAGTTGGCAAACATTGACGTCCACGTGTCATGTATCCTACGACATACGTGCCTACTTTCTAAAACTTATATTTTTTTGTATGACTTCTTTCGAAATTATACTCTGCAAATAAAATCATATCACATTGAATTGATGATTCGGTGACATTTGCCAACTTATATCTAAAATACTTTTGCACGTTGAATATCTTATTAGTATTTGCATTCAAATCTATAGCGTTATTTACGTAGCTTCAACATTACATCATGTACGTGGGCTTAAGGTACACGATATTTAAAAGGCCACAGTTTCAATTCAATGTTATTAGACTTAACTGTAAATAGTTGACAGCGTTTAATTATAGAGACACAACATCCATCTATAATTAAACCTACAATCTGCGGTACTTTTTCAATTTTATTTGAACAGGCAAAAGTATTGGCCGATTGATAGCAAGCTCAATGAATTAGCAAATTCATCTAGATTGCAAATATACGTTGACGTGACACACACGCGAGTAGTACGAAATAAATATTTCACAGTGCTTAAAAATATTTTGAACAACTCGAATAGTCCCAATGGTCCCATACAAACGTTATGCACTAGCAATCGAATTGTGCTATTTTGTTCAGAAAATAATTCGAAAATAGCAAAAATCTCATGAAAACCTTCTGAAAAAATGTAAATTCATCAACCACCATAGCTTCGTCGGATTCCCTCGTAAAAAGTTTTACTCCTGTAATGTGACAATCGAAGGGGATTTATACCGTTCTGAAGGCGTGCGAGTTGACTATACAGTGCTTTTGTCGTCCGGAAGTGGTTCAACAACTCTTCGGAGATCAAATCGAACTGATCTGCCGGGGTTCCATTGGTCAGTGAGTCGTGAAATCGATAAAAACCAAAAAATTCGCAAATCCTAGAAACGAGCGATCGACTCGCAGGGGCTGGTGAGCTCGGACAATTAAAACGAGACTCGACTCCTCGCTTCGCAAGCCTGTAGCTCACTGAAGATTCATCGGTTGTCCAAAGTTCAAAGTTTGCCCGATAGTTCTGTCTCTGTGCTGTCGATTGCAGGTGGAACCAGGCGGTTCTGCAACTGAGCTAAGAAAAAACGAGATCTTTTGCCTCGAAGGTGTGACAAGTGTCGAAAAGCGAAGTCTGCGAAAAACTCTCGCGAGCTCGCGCACGGCTCGGGTTCGCAAGTGTTGTGCGTTCCGTGGCGTTGCTCAGAGTTTGAACGAGCCGCTGATTCGGAAATCTGGCGAAATCGGGGGAGTTATCAGGTGGAAAACTCGGTTGAAACTCGAGAAAGTGTGCCGCGAGAAGATGCGATCACGACGCGCCAAGTGCCAAAGTGCGCGCTGGCCTCTCTCCGAGGTCCGTGCTGCGGTATGACTATCAAGCGCTTGCGGCGCCAGCCGCACCACTTACTACACCACTCAGTCAGTCGAATAGCAGAAGCGTCCCGCGCGCGCGCTCAAAGCTCTTGCCTACAAAACATACGAAACAGCAGAATCGTCAAGGATGGCAGACATCGCGGAATCGTCGACTCCAGCACCAGCAGCAGCAGCTACAAGCCCCAAGAAAGCGGCAGCAGCCAAAGCGAAGAAACCGAGAACAAAGCCCAATCATCCGCGCACCTCGGAAATGGTCGTGGCCGCGATTAAAACGCTGAAGGAGAAGGGTGGATCCTCGCTGCAGGCTATCAAAAAGTACATCGCCGCCGCCTACAAGGTCGACGCCGAAAAGCTGTCGCCGTTCCTCAAGAAGTATCTCAAGTCGGCTGTCGCTTCGAAAGAGCTGGTTCAAGTCAAGGGTAAAGGTGCCTCTGGCAGTTTTAAGCTCTCGGCAGCCAGTCTCGAGGGCAAAAAGTCCAGCATTGCCAAGGCCAAGAAGCCGGCGCCGGCCAGGAAACGATCGCCATCCAAGAAACCGGCGGCGGTCAAGAAACCCGCCACGGTGAAAAAGCCGAAGAAGACCGTTGTCGCCGCAGCCAAACCCGCGGTGGCCAGCGTGGCTGCCAAAAAGCCGGCGGTGGAGAAGAAGAAAACCGCTAAACCTGTCGCCGCGAAGAAACCGAAAGCCGTGAAGAAAGCCGCGACTGCCAAACCCAAGATCGCGAAAAAACCGAAGGTGGCGAAGAAACCAGCGGCCAAGCCCAAGAAACCAGCGGCTAAGAAAGCAGCTGCTAAGAAGAAGTAAGCTGAACGTCGGTGAGGGTTGATTTTGTGTGTGTGCGATTGATTTCGGACGCGAAGATGACGAACAATCATTGCGTTTCGAATCGTAAAACGGCCCTTGTCAGGGCCAATATCCTACGTTTTTCGCTTTGAAACCATCAACTGTACTGATACACATATTTATTTCTGCGTTTTCATTATGTTTAAGTTGTACATACGTTATTATTATATAAGGCGTGTATTTCTTACATCTAATAAATATCATTTTTTTTTATAGAAAATACTATATATATTAAATTTACTTAATATACCTTCTCTTTATCGACGACAAATTCTCTTTAAATCAATACGGTTTCATTTTCAACAGCGTTCTCCAGTCTAATATTTTCATTCATTTGTTTCTGCAAGATCTTAATCGTTACTTTTATTTTCACGAGAACACAAATCATATCGTTTCTTTACTTTCTTTTAAATGTAAATGACACACATTACGATTAACAATGTACTCCGGACGTGTCCTAGTTGGCTTCTGGCTAGACAAACTCCAGCTCGAAATGGTAAGTAAAAATAAACCACGAATATTTCAATTACACAGATAACCAACAAAAAAGCTCGCTGTTGTGCACGTTAAAAATACCTTTCATCAACGGAAAAAAGATAACAAAACGGTGCCGAATCCTAACCGAATGTACACGTGAGGTTCCGCAACTACAAAAAAAATTGCTTAGACTAAATTTAGCCTTGATTCTGCACTGGCAATAATAACTGTTATAAATAGATCGTAAAGCATATAGATTGATTTTTAAAGCTCGAGCGGCAGTAACGTTTAGACTGTCATACGAAGCAGGGTACGTTGCGCACAATTGTTTTCGCGTCAAACGCTATTCTCGTTTAATGATTTCACATTATAAAACTTGGAGCTTCTACCGATCTATTTTTGATACTCTGATAAACTCGATTATCCTCTTAGGTAATTACGCTGATGATTCGCGCGCATTTGGAATGCAATAATTGCGAAAGTCCACGTCAATCGCGGGCATTCATAATTGTCTTGTAATTCAATAACCAAATCAAAATAAACAAGATACTAATACAATTAGTACACGTGTGACAGTTTATTGATCGGAACGACTCGTGCTATAGTTACCAGCGAAACTTGCCTCTGTATCTCGAGCATTTAGTTCTTGCGGCGCCGTCAAACCCTTTCATCAAGACGGAATGCATCTATCTGTCATAAATCGCATGTCATGCTTTATTCGAATTTCCAGAATAGCGCAGGAAAAATCGATCAAATTGTACTTTGTCGTTATTCGCAATTCGCTCGACACGTTAAACTGATTAACTATTAGAGGCACTTTATCCTTATGCAGGCGCGCACCTTTACACATCGAATTTTTATTCATTTACTTCTGCTTCACGATTCATCTCAATCGGATTTCCAACAGTCATGCTTGCAATTGGATATTACAATATAAGAGGCATGCAATTGGAGCAGCGAGTCAATGATTTGTAAAAGAACAATTGTGACTTTGAAAAATATATTTCTTTTCGAAGTATAGCATTATGCATTATGGCGCTCGAAAAATTATGCGGTCTGTGCAATATAACGCAGCTTTGAATCTCGACAGAATGCGTTCGGCTGCGCTCGAGCTCGCACCGCCTCTCTGAATTCCAGAAACTACTTAGTTGCTATGACTTTCATTTCTTGTTTGAGCCTTTCACTAACGCAGACATCATATCATAATATCAGATACAATTTTTAGCAAGCACCTTCGCCACAGCGACTCCGCGTACATTTTTTATTTCGCACAGTAACAATCGATTTTCATTCTGAGGATTGTATTTGACGTCAAGTGTGCGTCGTATTATCTATCGCTCTCGTGCAGGAACAACGCGAGGAACAAGACAAAAAGCGTAAAAAAGGTTTATTGATATGTCAGCGTCGTCGTCGCTTAATCCACAACTTCATTCGCGGCGTGCCATTGCCAACGAATCCATCCTGCGATTACATAAAATTTGGTCAACATGTGCAAGTACACGCGCCGGAGGTGATCGATATGACGTACAAACTGGAAAGCGATCGAGGATGTCCTGACGCTGAGATACCTTGGGGGCCAAGGCAGTTGGGTTTAACACTTGCTGCCACTGCTGCTTACGAGGACATCGAGATCGCCAGAATGGTTGATGGTTGCGCTGTTGCTTGCTCACCTTACAGGTGTCCTGCTTCTAGAAATATTTTCAAAATCGTCGATGTCGATTTCGGGACCGAGGGTGACTGCCTTACATTTGGACGACAGTTTTATTTGCAGGTTTACGTTTTTTTGTGACTACATAGTGCAACTTTTTTTTTCTTTTTGTAAATGCTTCAATGTTTCTTTTTAAATTTATAAAAGTAATTTATGCTTGCCGTTTTCCTTGACGAAAATTAAAGATTTACCTTCAGTTTTATACTATTATAGTGCAACATTCTCATAATTAATAGTAATATAAGTTAAATCTGAAACTTGTTAATGATCATTTACTGGGAATTTTATCTTCTGCTTCAAGCTGCCTTATGCAAATGAAATTTTATACCTGCGATCGGAAACACCTCTTATTGATGGTCAATTCGGCCCCAAATATCACAATCCTCTGCGCTTGAATGTTACCAAAGATTGTTATGCAAAGTGGAGAGCTCTTTACTGGAACAGACAGCAGAGATTCGAGACAGAAGGAGATCCCATTCCACCATGCATAAGGTTTTTTATAACAAGTGCTATATTATTGCATATAAAAATTTATTATTGTATTCGAATAAAGTTATTACAAATACATTCTAGTTTGTATAAAAATAATTCATCTACACACCAGCTGTTCGATTGGTAGCAGTTCTTTTCAGTATGCTTAGATAAAAACACTTATATTTTGTCATAATAAAATAACTGGTCCAAAAGTAAGAAATCAACAAAATAAAATTTTTTTCATATCTATAGGAAAATAACAATTCGCGTAATAAATGGGAAAAAACAAGAAAATTATAATATTATGAACATTAATAGCGCCTTTTAACTATCACCGAACATTTCACATATATGCCTCCAAATACAAAACATAAAACTTTACAATACTTTGTACTAAATCCATAGGATTGTGATTCAACACGTGATGACTGGCCAATGCCTTGCAGTGGAAAATCTTAAATGGCATCGTAGTATTCTCGGTTATGAGTGTGGTGCATCGGCTCACACTTACGCAGACGTGCATCGCAATGAAACATCTGAATGCATTTGGAACTTTATCATTCCGCGGAATTACAACTAGCATACTGAAAAGTGAGCATTATCAATATTTGTACAAATAAAGCAAAAGAAAACATCAATGTCAAATTACTATAAAATCTATAAATAAAACTAATTTATGTACAACTGTTACTTTTTTTTTATCCAGTCTATTTATTCGTCGAAGTAGATTTTTTTAATTTTCTTCTTTTCATCTTTTACTTTTTGTTCGAGAGTAGAATTGTTCAGTGAAGTTATAGGTTCCGTTGGCTCTTTTTCCTTCAATTTTTCCTTGACATAAAATTCTAATTTTGAATATTTTTTCTCACATTCATCATTACTACTCGAAGACGAGTAATTCTTTTTCGCTGGGACGCGCTTGACGTCGAGAGCTTCATACCTGCTTTCGTTACTGGATGTTGAAGTATTGAGTTTATCGTCGTTAAGCTGAAATGCACTGTTGATAAGTTTCATTATTTGTACAGATGCTGGCTCTTCTTTAGGTTTTTTTTCAACTTTCTTTGTTGATCTTTTAGGTTTTACAGCAGCTATTGAATTTTCTTCTTTCATTTCTGATTTCTTTATTCTTTTTGTTCTTGTATCTGAGTTAGCATCTTCATTTACGCTCCTTTTTTTTCCTTTCTTTTTCGCCGCTTTCATTTCTTCGACAATAGATACATCAAGTAAAAATGAGTCTTGAAGCATATGTTCAAACATCTCCTTGTCATTCTCTAGAGATTTGGTAATTTTTTCTAACGCAAATTCCTCTTCTGTCTTTGTATTAGATTCTTCGACTTTGCTTTTCGTTTTTGTCTTAATTTTTGTTTTAGACTTGCTTTGCGTCGAAATTTCAACTTTACTTTTATTTTCATTGTTGGGAGCTGGTTCGTTCACATTGATATTCTTAAGTGTTGGCTCATTTGTACTTACTCTTACAGCAGACTTTATACTTGTATCAACAGTATCCTTTACTCTTTCTTTCAATTCCTTTAATTTTTTTAATGAACTATTTGTATTCATAATAGATTCTGTTGTTCTGCTATCTACTAAATCTTTCATTTCATGATCACTTTCATACAATTTTCTTTTCGGTACTTTGCTTGTACTTGCTATTCCTTGTCCTGTTATTTTTTTAAAATTTTCGATGTCATCAACATCATTCAAATTCAAATTAATTTTCTTATTCTTTATCCTTTTTTTCTTTGCAATTATGCCATCCTTTAATGCTATGGAAGACGTGCTATGCAATTTATCTTTCAAAGACAACTTTAAATTTTTTGAATTTGACTTTTCTATTGATGTCGATTCTGTACCATAAAATTCATCTCCGTTAATCTTTCCTTGAGCAATAATTGAAAATAGTGGTCTTACATTCACTAAAAATAATGTAAACTTTTTCAATTATACATATGTTAATATTTAATTAAATTATACTTAATAAAATAATTACAAACCTGTTTTGTACTTTTTCTTCTTAGATTTTATTACACATGTCATTATAGGTGGAATGTCTTTATCATATATCTTATAATTCGATTCTCCTATGGTTAAAGAACTATTTGAAACAATCAATTTTTTACCAATTATGTTTTGATCAAAAAGCTATAAAAAAAATTACAATATTAATAACAAGAATTGTACATTTCATTCGAATTAGTAAATATATAGTTTATCTTTATATTTAACGACAATTTTTATTAATTATTTTCATTTTTATCTAACATTTCTTATTTTATTTAACATACGTGTTTTGGAACATCAATAAAAAATATTTCTTCATCATCAGATATATCATCCAAAATTATTGTTGGTTTTAAAGAACTTTTCGTTAACTCATCTTGTTCAACAAGTTCAGTGATCTATATATAAAATATTCAATTTTACAATTATTAATATATATATTTCAAATCTTACAGTATAAACTTATGATGTACATACCTCCGTTATTTTTTTTCTTACTAGTTCAGTGGGACTCGATTTTTTTAAGACTGATTTTGGAGTTGCGGGAATTGAACTTGAACATTTTGCCAAATTTTCAGGAAATGAAAATACTTCTTGGGATTGAATATTATCCGATACAATATCTACACTTTCTTGCGTTTCGGGGATGATAACATTCATATTTTGTTCGTCGTTATCTTCCTCGTTTGTAATGTTATCTTGAAACTTTCCTTTCGTATCATTTAATTCAGACTCGTTAAGTTCGTCGATTGATTTTAGTGGATCTTTACTAATGTTTTCTGTTTCATCACTCGAGCTATCATCGTATGCATTTCTCGAGACACTGGATCGGTTTCGAGAAATATTTCTATCACTTCTATTGTGTATAAGTACCTCATCAGAATCAGAACTATCGTTATCCTCGTAAAGGTTTAATCTTTTTAGTTGCTGCATACGTTTTGATACTTCCACAGGTATAATGTTATCGATTTCTTCATCATCATCATTTACTAATTCACCTACATTTTTTTTCTGCAAATGCTTTTGAAATTCATCATCGTTTAAAGACAGATCAAATCTTTCAACATTACTTTCATTGAGATAATCCAAGAGATTTGAATGTTTCAATTCTTTGGGTATAGTTACTTTATGTTCTTTGATATCAACATTATCACTGTCATGATAGACGATATCACTATCTCTTTCTTCATGTAAATCTGCATTACATTTTTCAAGCAATTTGGTTTTCTTATTCGACTTAATATTTTCATTCTCGCTATCTTCACGTTTTGTTTTCTCATTGAATATTTCTTTATTTCTACTTTTTAAAACTTGATCTCCTTTATTAGACTCTTCCGAATTATCAGTGGGCACATCCATTTTTTTCTTTTGCTGCAAATGTTTTACCTGATTTACCGATATGATATCCTTTTCGTTATTTACTTCTTCTGTAAGTTTATGGGTTTTTTTCGATTTGTCATTGAAAGTTTGCTCTTTCGCACTGATTAATTGTATTTTCTCATTGGATATTTTTCTGCTTATATTTTTTAAAACTTGATGTTCACCCAGGTCTTCTGATACATTAGTTCCCAAACCATTTATCTTTTTTATTTGCTGTAAATATTTTTTTTCGTTCCTTGGCATTTTATCGTCTTCGACGTTATTCTCATTACAAATTGCTTTCTTAACTTTTTCAAAATTTTCTGTACTTTGCTCTTTTATAGGTTCTGGTTTTATTGATTTATATTCATGTCTATTTATGGAAACCGTTTCTGATTCATTACGTTCTGATTCATTACTATCAATAAAATTTAGTCTTTTCATTTGTTGGATTTTTTTCTGAGCTTGCTGAGTTGGTAAAACATCATCTTCTATATTGCTTGGACTTTCCTTGTGAGATAACATAGTTTCTGTTATTTTGTAATTGTCGATTTCACTATCATAAGCCTTCTGTAATTTTATTTCAATCTTTTCACCAATTTTTTCTTTTTCAAGTTGTGTTTCCCTGTCACTTGTTTCATCAGAAGCAATAAGATCAATTTTTTTCAATTTTTGTAGCTTTTTCTTTTGATGTTCTGATATTATCTTTTCATCTTCATTTTCTTTTTTATCATTAGATGTAGTTAAGATTTTATCATTCAATCTATTCTCTTTCTTGTATTTAGTTATCGGAAGGTCTTCTATACTAGAAACACTGGAATTTCTATGAGAACTACTATATTTTGAACAAATACCATAACTATTTTTTTTGCTATGATCTAATTTACTACTAGCTGATTTTATTTTTAATTTTGTTAAGTTTTCAACATGTAAATCCAAAAAAACATCTTCTTCACAGTTTTGATGGATACCTTCTTTAATGTCATCATTGTTGATACATTTTGTTGAATATATACTTTTGTAACTTTTTACATTTTTTAAATCATGCTGTAATTGCCTTTCATATAATTGTTCTCTATTACTTGGCAAATCCAATATATTAGTTTTTTGTTGTTTCTTTCTATATTTCAGTTTCTTAATTTTCTGAAATGACTTTTGACTATCTCCATCAGATTCAGAGCAATACACATTATTATTGTCTAATTTTGAATTTAAAGAACCACCATTTTTACAGAAACTGTCTGTTTGATTAAATGAAGATTCATTTTTTCTGTCATTGTGCGTATCAACATTTGCATTTTTATTAAAATGTTCATTACTGATTTGTGAAGTATTTATTTCTAAATCTAAATGTCTTGTTAGTGTGCCATTGACAAACGATTTCTCTTTTTTACTTTGAATTTCACTTGATTTTTCTGTTTCGTTGATAAATATTTTTGGAATGTTTTTATTCTTTGTTGAAACTGTTTGTTCAGCAATAGTGTTGGATTGATTTTTCTCATTTGAATCAATTTCAGAATCATCTACACTAGTGTTTAGTAATCTTAATTGTTTTAAATTATCATACTGCTTAGTTATCCATGGAGATGTACTTTTTACTGACTCATTTGTCATCCTTTTACAATAATGTTCACTATCTTGAGAATCATATTCTACACAAGTTTCTTTATGATTTGTTACCCAACTTCCTTCGGCATGAGAGGCTTGATCATCTTCAAACTTTAAAGTATCGATATCATCAGGTATATCATAGCATTCATCAAAATTTTCTTCTTCATTATCAGACTCTATTGATTTAAAATCACTTTCAGAATCACGTAATTTATGATTTGAGTAATCATTATTTTTATTATTCAGTCCAGATAAAGAAACATTTTTCTCTTCTATAATAGGTTGTGATTCTTTGTTGTTTGTGGCTACTATTTTGTATTTCTTTATCAGTGTTTCATTTCCAATAATTTTTAAGGTTTTATTTTTCCTTAAATTATTACAGGACTCAGTATTTTTACTAAAAAAAGTATTTTGTTTATTATTCTTTGAAGTGCCATTTTTAATGTTTTGATGTATAATATTTCCAGCTCTTGAATCTTCTTCTATACATGAATCTCTAGGTTGATTGTTAGTATGATTGGATGCAAATTTATGAGCTTGCCTGGTTTGATTATTTATTTGTATACTAGTATCTATGAAAGTATCTGAAAAAATTTGAGTGCTTTGAGCTTGAAAATTTTCATGTATAAAATCGCAACTAAAATCTTTGGTATTTTCTAAGGATTGTGGACTGGTATCGTGGATTGTAGGTTTTAAATTTCTTTTTAAGCCATTTATTTTCTTCGTTCTTAGCACTTTAGTGGCAGAAGTTTTTTTCTTTTCAACCTCTTCTTCATATTTTTCTAGAAATTTCTTTGATACATTGATACAATTAATATTATTATTAATAGAATTACTGGAAGATGAGTTTCTTGTATTGTGATAAATATTTTTTTTGGACTTTTTTTTTGGATTCTTATTTTTCATTGGCAAAGCTCTTGCTGCCTTGAAATTAACATTACATTTAGCTTGACCTTCAGCTTGACTGTGACAATTCTCTATACTTATATCTATTGTAGGTTCCCAGATGGTACTATTGTAATCATTTTCTGGTTCTATGATTTTTAAACCTTTTTTTTCAATAAAAGACCATACAAAAAGATCGTTGTGAATGGTTTTTAAATTCGCAGCACTACTTTCATTAAAACTACTATAAAAAGTTTTAATATCACTATCACTAAGCTCTGAATCATCTGAGACATCGACATTACTTGTAATTTTATTCAAAATGTCTTGTTTGCATTTTACAAAATCACTGTAACATTTAGGACGATATGTCTTTAAAAATTTATTTAAATTCTTAGTATTTTCTCGAATTTTAATCTTATATGAAAACATATGAATTAAAGAATCATTTTTCACACGATCTTTAACTGTGTTTATAACTGGCAACCAACTAAAATAATTATCTAAGCTGTCAGAATTCATTTTAAAGATCAATCACCAATCAAGTAAATTGTATTTCTAATTTCCAAGTTATAATTCTGAAATGAAAAATTAACATAATATAGCTTACCTAAATAACGAGTTGAAATGAATATAAGTTTTTAATCGATCATAAGATATAATACTGAATAAAAGATTACCTTGATATAAATTAATTAATTAGTATAAATTTCATTGTACAAATAAAAAGTTAGTAATAAAAATAACAAATGTTCTAACCTTTACATATTTCAAAAGCTTCACACTGTTATTGTGATAATTTACGAAAAAATCAGTATTTATAAGGTCTTTTGTACAAAATTGATATGTTATTTCAATCACTGCTGGCAACATTTCATTCAATCACTTATCTAATTTAAAGTGATTCTTTAATTTGAATAAAAACACATTTTATTTCCAACTGTTTACACCACCTATATATGATCCAGCTCGACTTCGGATTTTCGGCTAAATAATTTTCGCACGTGTATTAAATATTATCGACTGAACTGATTGACCAGCTGTTGACAATATAAGCGAACGTGCGAATGCCGGCCGTTTTGAAAAGGAAAAATAATTTTCATCAATGCCAACACCTTGTACATAACTTCAATAACAAAACCAATGTAGTCAACTTTAAGTTTTAAAAAATTAATTTACCAAAAACAAATAATAATATTTTATTGCTTTTACTGTACAAAATTACTATTACAGTAATATACTATTATAGTAAAATATATTAAAATTGAAGAATGTTTTTAATTTAAATAAAAGATTAATATTACTTAGTAATGAGTTTTTATTTCCAACACATTTAGTACATAATCTTGCACCAATACAACTTCATTTTAATAAATAAAACATACGAAACAAACTTAAAGCAGTATTAATAAGTTATAATAATTACTTTTGTTGAAATAAATTTTGCTTTTACAGCTAGTTCAAAATTTTGGAAATAAATGTTACAAAAAAAAGTACACGTATAAAACTAAAAGTATAACTTCAAAATAAACTTAAGCTTTGGTGGTCTTTTTCTTAGAAACTGCAGCTGCTTTCTTCTTAGAAGCTACAGTTGCAAGTTTCTTCTTAGCTGAAACATTTTTTTCAGCAGTAAGCTTTTCTATTTTTTTTTTAACTACTGTCTTGACTTTAGATTTGGCCTTTTCTTCTTTACTATTCTCCGAAGTTTCTTTCTTCTTTTCTTTCTGCATGACTTTCTTTATATCAGGTGGTAACTTAAAGTGACTGCCTGATGAAGCACCAGTACCAGAGACTTGAAAAAGCCATCCATCTTCATTTGCTGTTTTCAACAGTTTTGTAACCATTGCTAATTTTTTTTCTGTCACTTCGTAATTTTCAGTCATGTATTTTTTGATTGCTTGGTAAGTTGACCCTTTCCTATCATTCAACTCTAAAATTGCATTGATGATCATGTCCTTTGTTGTGATAGATTTGGTACTGCCCTGTGTAAATTTTTTTTCAAACAGTTCAATACTCTAGTCAATAGTGATATATTTTTTTTATGTTATGAAATGATCTTTTCAGTGAATATCTAAATTTTTTTATGCAAGGATATATAAATCCAACTTTAAAACGAAATGTCTATAAATGCAGCGATCACCTTTTGAAAGACAATAACAACAATAATGTACAAAAATATGTTTAAAAACTTTGAATCTATATATACTCTAGAAAACATTTGTCTGCAAAAAATGACTATTTATACACACAAAATTCAGTTTTAGAAAATTAAAAAACGTATAAAATTTCGCCATCTTTGTTCGAGCATCAATATTTCTATATATTATTTGAAAAACAAGCAAATTCACGAAAATAAACAAAAATGTACCTGTCTCATCTTGTTTTCTTTCATAGGCATCTTTTTTTTTGAAATAGCAGTATTTTTACTAGTAGAAGACTTGGACGTTGAAGCTTCGGATTCTTTGGGTGCTGTTTTCTTCTTTGCAGTAACGGTCTTTTTAGATGGATTGGGCAACAAGTCAGCGATTTCTTCTAGTATCTCTTCGCTTTCTTCGCTGCTTTGAGTTTGATCACCAGTGTCATCCACGTTATTGTCGCTTGTTTCGTTTTCTTGACTTTCGCCGTGGTTTAAATTTTCTGATTCAGAGTCAGATGCGCTTAAATCGGCCATACTGCGCATGGCAGACTTCTCTTTATTCTCTTTTGTTTACTTCTCGATATATTATTTTTCGCGTACCATAAACAAAAGAGCGCGATTTACGTTGAAAAGAATTCAGGACTTGGCATTTCACACCAGCGAAGGAAAGTTGGAGACTGACATTCTGTTTGTGCTAGAAATCTAATGTTTTGAGTTCGATGAGCGTGCGGCCATACGTGTGAATATTGAAGCAAGCGTTCTATATTTGTAAACACTGATGATTTCTTATTACAATCACTATAGATGCTAAATGAGATTTTATTCGTTTATATGTTATTGGGGTAATAATAATTTAATTCAAAACTAACGTTGATGTACATTTATTTCAAATTTTTGTACATTTTTATTCCAAACTTCGAGCGTAAATTTATGAACAAAATGAGTATAAAAATACCATTCGACTTACATTTTCGTTATTGAACGAAAATAAAATAAATTATATAGTAATTAACTACATGACAGTCATACATTCGTTCATTTTATATTACAATTGATCAAGTTAAAGGACATAATCGTAGGAATAAAAGTTGACTAATTAGTAACAGTAGCTGTTTCTTCAAACAGAAAAAATAAAAATTCCTACTATATATTTCTAGAATGTAGAAAAATCTTTATTCATTCAGATAAAATACTTTTATAAACAACAATAGTGTAATGTATTGATATTTTTGCATATTTTTATAAAATTATTATCGAATAAATAAAAATTCAAATGACAAATAGAAATACCCAAAAGAATTATAAATACTAAGCAGACTTTTGATTAATTTGTTGAATACAGAATTAAGATTTTTCTATATTTTTTAGTCATTTCTATAATCTAAAAAAAGGTTATGTAATTGATGAAAAATACTTATTAAATGAAAGAAAAAAAACAGTAATTAATAAAACAATGCAACTTATACATACAATATGAACATTTTAAAATAAATGTTAATTAAATACAATTAAAAAATGTATCATAATAAAAAATCATTCAACCATGATTCTTGCATTCACTGTGGACTTTCACGTTCTCCTAACACATATTCTTCATTCAAAAAGAATTTTTATATCACGTTTTATAGCACACCATTGGGATATACTAATAAACCTGATCCCAAGAATCTGTTCCACTGTTGTTAGTAATGGAAGAATGTCTACTCAAATGCGGTAGTTCAAAGTGCCATTTTGAATCATTTTCAGATTTTAACTTATTCGAAATTCCACTTTTCAGGAATGGGGGCCGAGCCTTAATTCCTATTGTCGTTGGTCTTTTCTCGGGATTATCATCCAACATCATTTTCAACAAGGCATACTGAAAAAAATGTCAATATAAAACTTGCTTACGTGAAATATACAATTCTATAAAATGAATAAGCCAATACAAACTTCTGCAGGATATTGCAAAGAAAAGTTATCTGGGAATATTGACTTTCTTAAATTTGTTAAAGCTTTGACTCGCTCCATTTCTGTTGAGAACGGAATCAATAACTCAAATAAAATTATGCCTAGAGAATAAATGTCGACTTTGTAATTATAGTGTTTTCCATTCATCTGTTCTAGCGACATGTAAAGATGAGTTCCTACGCGAGCAGTATGTACAGTTTTTATATTATTCATCTCATTACTATTGCACGGAGTATGGACACCGTTAATGCCTTCAGTCATTGCAGTTACTAAACCAAAATCACCTATTTTTATTTTATCATCAAGTGCAAAAAAAATATTGGAAGGCTGAAACAAAAATATAATTAGTATATTATTCAAACGGTCATTACAAAATAATTATCTATTATTACCTTTAAGTCACGATGAATGAGACCTTGTAGATGTACGTATTCTACAGCATCAACAATCTGTTGAAAAATATTCAAAATCCTTAAAATATCACGCTTAGAATTTTGAGTTTTAAGCCATTCTCTTAAGCTCAGCCTTTGACATAGTTGCATTTGAATGTACAAAAACATTTTTGTATTAGATCTCCCGCTATTTTTACGCGTCCTTAAATCTAGATTAAGTTGAGACTTCCTATCTGCAAGGTTTGAATGTTTTGACTCTTCAAAAACGATAGAATCATCTGTATCATTGTTTTGGCATTCTCTACTATTTTTTATAGATAGGTCGAGACTCTCGGAATTTTTATTTTTACTGTTTGTTTCTTCCTCTTCGTCGTCGCTTTCATCACTTTCTTCTGTCGCTGCATTAAAGACTATAAAAGAATCATCATCATCTTTATTATGTTCAAGTGCTTCACATGCACTATTTACGGACGGCGTTTCACTTAGCGGTACATCTATATGAACGGATGTGTCACCTGCTGATGATTCAGATACGAAATCTGAATTAGGAAACTTATTGTGGTTGCACCATTGACGATCGTGTTCTTCTTGCCATCCTGCTGGCGGGCACTCTAACCATGAATTGAAGTAACGAACGATATTTTGATGGTCTAATTTTGCTAAAGCTTTGACTTCTCGCATTACTCTTTCTCTAGAATATTGACTAAAAAACGGAAATAAATTTACTATATTTTAGATGTTAATATATATTTTTAAAAAAATATCAATATGGTTTACCTATTTGGCAAGGCAATTCTTTTGATTGCATAGTTGCAGTCATCAATTTTATTTCTGGCTTCAAATACTACGCCATATCCCCCTCGTCCTAAGCAATCAATGGGTTCATAATCCGTCAAGTAACGTGATTGGAATGGAGAATCGCCATCTTCAGATGTACTTTTTCGGATTTCATCTTGAGTATCAACAGAACAACGTTCAACAATAACAGGCTATTCAATAATAACAATATAACACGTAATTATTTAGCAAGTATCGATTTGTAATATTGTTTAAACATGAAAAATATAATTACAGGTAGCACAGCATCTTTCTGTTCCATCTTATCAAGAATATGCATTTGTTTGAAGTATATCCAGACAATGATTCCAGTCGTGAGGCAACAAATTGCAACTTCCCTCCTATAAATAGTTTATTTTTTATATTATTTTGTATTATTTTTTAATAGCTTATTCTTGGTAACTAAATTTAACTTTAATTGTTATGTCAATATAATTTAGCTTACCAATAATACCACAGACCGACAATAATAAATTCAACGCGTATGTTATCTTCTTCTGGATATTCAATTGCTGGAGGGGATTCTGGTGATATATCCGTTAAAACGTGTTTTGGTCCAGTTCGATTGCATTGACTACCTTCATCTATTTGAATTTGCTCCTTTGAATATAGATAGAATCCATTCCCTGTGAATTTATCAAGTTCCAAATATGTTTAAAGATTATTCTATTTAAATAAAATATTTCAACTTTTTAATTGTCGCCTTGACCTACCATTTATGTATTCTGAATTATAAAGAACAGATAATGCAGTAGTGCTAAGTACTTCATTCATTTCAAATGGTACATCTTTACTTTTATCATTGCTGATGTCTTTAGCGAACTCTTTAAAAGAATAAGATTATTTTTTCATTTGCATAGTCGTTGTTTAAAGAACATTTTAGGTTTATGTTTAAGAAGAATAGTCATTATCAAATAATTCTCTTCAGTTTTTGAAATAGTGAATCATTATTCATAAAATACTATGGTTTTCAGTCTTAAAAATCAAAATATTTTTATGAAACAATTTTAATATTCTGCCAAATTAAATATAAAATTAATTATTTATGTTATATTGTATTTTTACTTATTATTGTTATAAATGAAAATTATTTTATTTATTCATATTGTTATTCATATAGTTGATATATGATAACTATAATTTCACAAAAGTTAGTTCTAATAACTTTTCTAAAGATTTGTATGAATCTACTATTTTAAATAGTAAGATTGGAATTGCATTATTTACGATTTACAAAGATAGTGACCATTACTTTTAAAACATACCAACTCACCAATAGCTGGATATGGTCTCCATGGATATTTGATTAATATTACATCCTTGGACTTATCAATCGATTTAAAAAAAGCTGGATTCTCTTGAATATACAGTTGCCTTTCATGCATACCTAAATATAAACCAGGGCCTGCAGAAAATTCAGAATCTAATTCTAAATTTAGCTGAATAGAATCAAACAAATTGACTTGTTTCAATGGTGTTGCTGAACTATCAAATACTTGATCTTCTCTCCAAACAGAGACAATCGGAGAGTCAAACTGTTTATTAGAAAAATCGTAATTAGATATTTATGAATGCTAAGAGTATAATTTTTATACTATCAAATAAATTCCATTATACAAACTTTATATTCCCAGAGTTTAATTGCAGGGTTAGTTTTGCTGAAAGCTATAATAAGACCTTCAGGAACAATAGTTCGAAGGTCAATATCTAAATTAATAGATAAATTTTCCTGGTGGCAATCTGAATTTGCTCTTGGAAGCATTATTAAATCATGTTGTCCAACACTAAAATTCCATCTGAAAAAAAAGGATTTACTGAATTGACACTAAAGTTGAGAAATGATAAATAAAATTGGAAATTTTTATGTTACCTTTCTATTCCAGATCTAGGTTCTCCAGCTCTTATAGTGTGTTGATGGCGTCTAACTATCAAAATATCCTCTTCAACCAAACTTTCTCCATCAGTTGCATTGGTGCAACTACTCATTTTGCATTCATATAGGATTCGCCCAGTGTTACTTGATATTCCTAAATCAAAATAGAATTTCATTAGATAAAAGTAACAAAGGTAAAAATATTCAAACTCTTCAAGCTCTTGATTTCCTATAGTTACCATAAGTTTTTGTTTCTTTGCCACCAGAAAATATAATGTCCTCAGAGTAACGAAAAGATGACTGTAATAACTGGTCTACTGAAACTGGAACTGCTTCCAAATTTTCTCCATCAAACTTGTATAATCCTCCATTCAATGATGGAATTAGCCTGACCCACTGACCATTGTTGTTCAACTGTGAAATATGTTAATAACTTATTATTAGTTTGAAGTTTGTGTTTTATTTATAAATAAAACTTCCTTCTACATACATCTCTTCTATGGATGTTAGAAGACAATAAAGGTTCTGTTTGAAATTCTAAGCTCCATTTCTTTTCACCATTGGCTGATGCATCTAATGCTGTTAATTTTCCATCTAGAGTACTAACAAACAGCAAGCTGTGAAGCAAATATGATTTTACTTATCAATTGCATGTTATTGACTCAAGTATAATCAATACATCTTTTGGAACTAATATAGTTAAAGTATAAATAAAAGAAAAGGATCTAGTGTTTTAAGTGAAAATGTAATGAAATAAACTTTTAATCATTTTATGAAACAAGATAGCAGATCGAGGTGAGTTTTGAATGTGTTATTGTTTGTGAAGCAGTTCAACATATAAGCACATTTTTATCAATTACACCAGCTGACATTAACTCAGCTCGATGCTCAATAAAAATAATACCACTCACGCGGTTGGCGCTGGTATCGTAATAGACAAAATCTAAGAGCGCATAATTTTCCAAATTACGTCATCATTGTTATTAATAATGCGTAAGTGTAAAATAATTCTCGAAAAATCCGTGAAAAATCATATCTTTCAGTAGCACTGAAATCTCGCGAATCTCTCTATCTATTTTTCTATTTATAATAAAAAAGCCGTAGATAAAACAGTAACGTGACTTAAAATGTAACGTATATACCTCCGCGATGGCTTCCCGGCGGCTGAATATTGGCAGTAAGGCAGCTGTCTGATTTCGGCACAGGTAGTGGTCATAAGCAGCACGAGAAGAGTAATCCAACAGTATAGCCGTGGCATATTTTTACACACGCACACACACGCCATTTCTTAACACTTTGTTTTCTTGTCCTCTGATATCTCCGGCATCCTGATGATCATCAATCACGAGGTCGGCTGCTTTGCGCCTAATATATTTTCTTTTTTTATTATCACACTTGTTATTGTCTAATAAGAAGTCGTTACAGTTAGGCAGCGGATCACTACTACTGTCTGTTATCGTTTCAGTAATTCTGTGATTCCGCGCGGCAGTCGCATGCCACAATACAAATGAAACACGTCGTTGATCTTTTTGAGCCTTGAGCATGCGCAGCTCTCTACCTATGACTCATCTTTCCGACGCGACAGATTCTTATTTTGAACGTTTTTTTCTTTTTCCACGCTTTTACTTATCTGGACCTGTACCTTTAGAAGTTTCCTACATTTATTATTCTAAGGGGAATCGTCTAAGCGTTAATTTTTCTCGTTCTTTTGCATCGTGATCTAAAAATGTTCTCTATTCTCTTATAATTTAATTTTTGTTCTATCTTTTAGAGAACGTGTACTAATTTACAACGCATATTACATTAGCTCTATGTTCGGCCCTATGTGCTGACCTAGGAAAAAATAGACACAAATAAGATTAATTTAGATTAATTTAATTCTAAAGAAATTATAAAACGATTTTCACATTGGATGAAATATTTATTTAAAGTTTCTCAAATTGTATAAAATACTAGTAGCTTAAAGCAATTTTAATAACTTTTAAATTATTTCATTAGATAAAACAAGATTTTATGTACAGTTAACCATATATTACTCTCATTCATATTAAATTTTGCAAAAATAAATTCAATGGAGATAGTTTTTATTTATAGTATCTTATTTCTTTGTTTTATAATTTCGCAAGATTTTTATGTACAATTAAATCCTATATTTTGATGTTATATTTTTTAGATTACTAGCATTATTGAGCTTGTTATGCGAGCTCTTTTGTCATTTTTCTGTTATTTACTACAATATACTTGTATCATATAATAGTAAGGCTAGACGAGGCGCTGTGAAAAGATACTGTCGCGTAGGTAAAGGTAATTGTTTCTTAATAGGTTTTCTAAAGGTTGGATCTTAATCAGGAGGTAAGCAGAGGTTGGTTAAAGGGATAACGCCTTTATTATATCTGGAGTGTTTAGGTAGATAACTAAGTTTCTTACCTTGTTAGGACCGGGCTTCAGAGGAGATTTTATGAAAGAGTCTCAGGCGTTTGCACTTGAAAAGACAAGCTTATAATGCTTAGCATAGTACAATTCCGGTTCTGAGTAACCAGGTAGCGAAACTTAGAAATAATACAATACTACAGAATTACTGAACTACTACTGCCTATTCGCGGATCCCGATCCAGCCTTTTTTATACCATAGGCTGACGTGCCCCTTCCCTTTCTTTTTGCTAAATTAATATGCGGTGAGTAATATTCGCGGAATTAATATGGAGAATGTGCTTAGCCTAATTCATCTCGCTAGATAGATTTACAAATCTTCCCGGGAAAGTTAACAATTGGTATGATAGGAAGTTAAATTACCGATACCCGATTAGTTACCATAGCCCGTCACGTGCGTTCTCTTAGTATCGACGTGACAAAATGCGTACTTAATAACGCAGTGATTTCCTACGGCCTTAGTGTTATATTAGTATTAATAATTAGGAGTACAATTCAACATTATATGTTCTTTTGTTGCCTTATTGAAAATATCTATTTACACTCTTCAAATGCAATCTAATAATTATTTATCCGTTTTTCACATACCTCTCACTTAAGAATGAAAAAAAATAAAAAACTAATTTCTTTCATTTTATTCAATATATCTTTTCTCTTCTCTAATCATATTTATTAAGATGATGCAGATGGTAATTAAATTATCGATTCGTACTATATTTCAAAGTATAGCAAAATAAAAAATTTCGCGCTCATTTTTTCGAATCAACCATGTGGATCTCGTTCATCATTTAAAAAAATTTTTAAGAATAAGATTAAGATAAATATAAAATATAACATAAAAATATAGGAGAAGAAGGTAAGAAATAGGAGATTATGGCATATTTTGATGTTTTGAGAATTGAGGATTTTGTTTTTAACTTTGTGGTTGGCGATATAACACCATCTATACGTTCTAGGCTAAATTATATTTTCTAACCTGTCAGTGCAGCACAGCGGATTGAGTCTACTCGGTACATTTTCATAAAATATATTTCGTTTAAAGAACCATTCAAAGAACAATATTCAACTTATTTTTAATTTGTCAGTGTACAAATCCATTTTAGTAGTTTTCTATAAAGATTTTTATATCCACAATGTCTAGGTATGTAAGCACTAATTGTCTAAAAATGTGTAAATAATGAAATGCAATGATATGGTATTAAAATGCAATTATTTTATTATTTACAGTAATTTTTTGTTAAATACTGTAAAAATTGTTAAAAATCAAGTCAGGACCTACTATCATTACAGTACACCAAAACACTGGGCAAAAGATGGTGTTAAATATGGTTTGATAACATATTACCCAAGGTAATTTTATAAGATTTTTAAGATTTTTAAGACCATGTATTTATCTTAAAATAGTTTTACAGACATCCTGATCATAAAGATCCAGAATTCAAACCATCCAAATTATTTTTAGTTGAACGTGTTAAACCTACCAGAGGTAATCCATATTGGCATAAAAAAGTATTGAAACAATTAAGTATTGATCAAGATGTAAGCTGAAATAACATTGTTATCAATGATAGCATTTTTATTTTAATCATCTTTCTTTAATCTGTGTTTATTAAAATAAAATGATCTTTTTTATTGTAGGAGTACAGAATGCGAGAAAAGCCTACAGTGATTGTAAAAAATACTCCAGAAATTTGTGCATTGTTATGGGAAATAAAACATCTTATTAAAGTTACTCCCATAGACATGCCAAATAATTTACCGGATGATATTGACTCTATCAGTACTTACCTTCATGAAACTGGTAAGCTGTATGTTTTTCCAAAAATTGATGAAAAACGATACAAAGAAACTGAAAAACACCAAAATAATCCAAAAAGGATGGATAACGATACTATAAGCAAACATCTAAGGCTAAAATGGCTTAATGGAGGCGATATAAATATATAATTGTTTTAAAATTATGTTAAGTATAAATAATGATACATGGGATTTCTGAACCCTTTAAGGATTAAATAAAATATAAATATTTAAAATAATAAGATACTAAGTGATTATTTAACATGGTTGATAAAATGATTTATACTTTATTTTGAATTTTGATTTATATGTCGCAATGTGGAATACAAAAAACAGGTCAAACAAATAATCTCGTTTATTCATACTTTCAACCAGATGGCTATTTTACAACCTACCAACAATAATAATTGTTTATTAATAGTGAGTTTTCAAGATTTTCTTTATACTAACAAGGGCAAGGCATATGTCCAGTAATAGTGGAAGATGATTGTGCCGCCATTGAGTCAGTCGTGCGGACCTAATTTTTTTCATACAGAGGCTCATTGGTTATAATAATTTAAATATATTTGCTATACTCCTAAAAAGATTATTTTCGTTCATTCAATGGACGAAATTTCGATACTTCATCTAAAGACAATCACAAGTTCATTTGTCACTCATTAGTTATAATTATTGAACTGTATAAACGTCACAATATACTTATATATTGATTCATATAACTTGTCTCTTTTCTGATGTTTTTTAATTAAGTTTCTTAATATTTTTAATTGATGCATAACAAGATAGCGAGATATTCTTTTTCTTGACTATGAAATTTATGTTTAATGGACACAGTTTGATGGAGAAAAATCGTTCATTCGCAAGCTTTGTTTAATGTACTGTTGCTAGAAAAAGTTATTTATTATAGTCAGAAAAATAAGATCATCTTACATAAGTTTATTTATAAATTTCTAAAGCGCTTGTAACTATTATATCTCTTTACTTTACTAAATAGTAGAAACATCTAAAATGTCTATTTTTTTTCTTTGCATGTCACCACTAGACGGAAAAATACTCGGAGACCAAATTCTCCATTTTGGTATTTAAAAAAAAGACATCATGAAGTTCTAGGCTCTTTGTTTTTGCAGACAACTATTGGCACGCTATAGTTACACTAAAAAAAACTTTAATCTCGAATTATTATGGACTTTTCATAGATTTTTCATTTCAGTTGATATATGTACTTGTGAAATTCATTATATCGCTGTGGAATTTTTGATTTATCATTATTTTCATATGATTCTTCTGATACTCCCACTCTTAAAACATTAATTTTTTACAACAATTCAAGAAACTGAGTAATTTTTACAAGTAATGATAATTAAACAATAAATCGAAATCTAATATCTTATCTTTCCCTCAAATAACATTATTTTTGTTGTTTATAAACTCTTCAAAAACGGTAGACCTCGCGCGCGTAACGACATTCAGTCAACATTTCACAAAATCATCCGCTCGACATTATTCAAATTTGAGAAGAATCGTGAGCTCGCGCAGACCATTAGCAAACACATTCATCAACTGGACTCGATAAAATTTTGATTATCATAATCGTCTATTCGTATTCGCAGCAAAGAAGAAGGGAACGCCGTCAACGGATACAACAACAACAACAACGTCGGTGATGTAACAAAAAGAAAGCGAACGAACACGTATATCGAACTCTATATTATTAGGTGAACTCAGATCGCTGCCGTCCGCTGGCTCACCGCGAGAAGGTAGTCACAAGAAGGAACTTGCAGTGCGTACGCGTCTACGTGGAGCTCGAGCGTCTGCGATTTCTCAATCTCCAGAACCTGCGGTCTCTCGAGCTGTGCTGAACGGAGATGGTGTTTGGGCCAGTCCTCGCAACGAACCTCGACGGCGAGGAAGCGCTGGAGGTGGCGCCTCTGTCCGATACGCTGCACATCTTCAGCAGCCTGGCAGTCCTGTCGTCCTGCGCCCGAGCGCTGCTCGTGGCGTCGCTGTCCTGACTCTTGGAAGCCCCGAGGAGGCCCAGCAGCTTGACGCCGCGTTTGCGTAGTCGCAGTCGAAAGTTGGAATCCGACGCAGCGCCGGCGGCGGCTTTGGCGTCCTCGAACTCGACCTTCTTCTTGCGCCGCTTGTCGTCGTCCTCGTCCTCGGCGGCCGTGACGGCCTCCAGTTTGGCGTTGCGCTCGAACTTCTCCTCGGCGCGCTTCACCACCATCTCGAGCTCGCGCAGTCGCCGCGGCGTGAGGTTGCCCTGTTGGGCGGCGGCGACCGCGGCCTTGGCGAGCGACTCCTCGTCGCACGAGACGTCGGAGAGTTTGCGGTGCAGGTCGAGGATTTTCTGCCTGAACTGGTCGTCCTCGTGGCTGAGCTTGACGAAGAGGCGCTCGTGTTCCGCCGCCTCGCCAGCGTCGAACCGCTGTCACCACCAACCTTGCCCCGCGCTCATCTTGCCGGCGCCGCCGCCGCCGCCGCCGGCACCACCGCCACTGCTCACTCCGCTGCCCGTGGATATGGAGTCATCCTCCTCGGGCAAAGGCTCCAGGCGGCGTCGTCCCAAGAAGGATCGCATCGAGTTGACGCCCACCGAGCTCGTGGTGATCGTCGCGCCGCCGAGGAGCTGCTCCATCGTCAGCTCGGGTAGGCCGCAGTCGTCGTTGTCCCCGGAGTTGTCGGGCTCGTTGTCGTCCTCGTCGCCCTCGTCGTCCAGCCCGTAGTTGTCCTCGCCGGCGACCCGGTGCAGCGGCCCGTTCGACATCGGCGGCTAGGCAAGTCAGGTCAGCTCATCACTTGGCCAGCCGAGGCTTGTGATTCTTTGCAGAACAGAAGGGCAAGCAATTCTTTTGTCATGCAGTGGCGTGCGAAGCTTATTTCTCTATAGTTTTTCTTTGTCTGCACACACGCTCTAATGTGACGACAACCAGTGCTTCGTGTACATTTAAACAAAGCTTCGTTCCCGATGAACAGCAACAGTGCTTCCAGTTCTCTTTTGCGATTTTACTGAGAGAAGGTATAAACCGCGTGCCATTATGTCAGTGCAATCTCGCCTTTTTTCTTCGATTATTCAAATGGTCACTTTTTTCAATTCGATAACTGGATTAATTTTTATTATATACGATTCTTATGGAATGTTTGATTGTTTCAGTTCATTTAAAAATAATAATACGGAATGAAAAAATTATTACATGACGGATTGACTATGACCGTTTGACTTAATTAATAATTATTTTTAAAGAAATTCTTTTGTATCGTTTTGTATCAAGTTGAAAACATTGTTGATAAATAATACAAATGAAAAAAAATTAAGTAATACATGATATTTCTTTGTTACATAAAAATTATTCCAGTTTACTTTGCAGTATTATGCAAAGAAAAGTTTTTTACTATATTAAGCAGCGACATTTATGTTGAATGAGTATGCATAGAATATCGTATTCTTTGTTTTCCCCATTTGAATCATCACTAAATATATCAGATGCAAAATCAATACTTATCCAAGGATATATGTTTAATTCGCAAGTCATGAAAATTACAAACCTTATCAAGCAATAGATAATATTCAAATTTGAAGTAAGCAACGAAGCCACATTGTCAATGCAAAATTCAAACTACAAAATTTGTTGATACTAGCATGTATGATATAAATACATATATATGTATGTGTGTGTGTGTGTGTGTATATATATATATATATATATATATATATATATATATATATATATATATATATATATATATATAAATAGGTCAACGCATAAATGCATCACAAAATGATACTTGGAAATTCAAAGGTATATGTTACAGTTTCTGCATTCATTTTGTACAATTTACTTAATGTTATAAATATTCATGCTGTGACGCTGAGAGCAATCAGTATACATATAATTTATAGTATTGAGCGGAAATATCATCGAAACGTGTATATTCTTTCAAGATTTTTCTCAGTGTCAAATCGATCAGAGTAAAATATTATCCGGACAGTTTTGGCTTTGTAATTCAAGCGAAAAAGCGCCGCTTCAAGAAAGAATAATTTGAAAGGTTCCATAGTTAATTTGTACCTTCTGCATATTCTGTTAATACATTTTCGCAACTCTGATCGCAAGCGCAAGAATTTACATAGAACATTTAAAATTACAAGGAATATCAATATCAGAGTTGAAAATGAGCAAAGATCACTGTAAAAATTTGTTTGCGTGTGTAAACTTGGTGTCGAGCTAACGTGTCAAATGTAAATGTAATAGCAACGATTCAAAAATGTCCACAGTGTCGAGTGTAAAAGAAAGGAGAAGAGTGCCCGGAGGCTAATTCCGGCGTTCGTTACTGCACCATCGACAAGAGCGCGATGCTCAGAAAAGAAAATCAACCTACCGGGCTACCCGCGAAGCTCTCATCGTCAGGACCTCCAGATGTAGGTGTCCCCCATATATCGTTTTCCGATGTGCCACCGGATGTCGTGCCTTCTTCATCGCCGTTACTTCCAGGAGCTTCAAGATTCGACGAATCGGTTCGTTCGGGTGGTGCGGGTGGTGTTAGGTGTTCGAATATCGACATCTTGCTGACGACGTAACTACTCGCGCGCAGCGTCCATGCACGAAGACCCGACGGTGGTGATTCTGGACCTTCGTCTTCGCCACCGGTTGTTTGATCCTCTAACTCGTCGTCTTGATCCAGACTGCTCAGTGTACCGAAACGTCGCAGGGCTCTGCGCACCGGGAAGGGGTTTCTTTTTTTTTACGTGTGAGTGATGTTCTGATATTGCTTTGAGGGGGGATACCCAATAGAAAAGACTCCGTTTTTGGCATCTTAGAGTGAAATTGTTTTTTGTAAATTTGAAAATCAGGTGTTTGACATATCGTTACAAAAATGATCACGAATGAAATACTTTTTAAGATGACGATTCCATTTTAAAAAGGGTTCCAACCCGTTTTCAAAGATTAACCTTTTCTATTTGGTATCGAGCGAAATGAATTTTAAAGTAAATTACAAAAATTATTCGGTCTTGCGAGCTTGTCTCAAAAAACGAGACCGAAAACTTTTATAATTTATGATTAAATGTCGAGCTATCATACTTTAATTTTTAAAGTGTTTTCTCTTATACGAAAAGAATAATTAAATTTAATTGCTATATGAAAGAAAGTCAGCGTAAAAAGCATGTTAATTTAGCAAGCAAAGTAACGTAACGTAATAAACCTGTAAGGTAGCTCGCCGTCGCAGTCTAGATCATCTTCACTACCATCCTCCGTAGTCCCATCTGCGGAATAACTATGCGCTGGACTATCGTGTAGGCCATTACGGAATGCAGCCGCAACGCTGATACTTCGATGTTTCGAGCAAAGATCCGGAGTGGGTGGTACAACTGAGATTCTCGGTGGTAACGGCGAGAACGGATCCCTTATTGGGGGTGGTGTTGGACAACCTGACCTGCGACGTACATTACTACGTTTCCATAAAACAAACAACGATTTGCACTTTTTTCATGTTCGACAATTTCCAACGGTTATTACATCTAAATAAATTGTTGTCTTTCAGTTTTTTGTTTTTTATTACGTCCATTTTTTATCAGCTGCCGTCGAGGATAATTGCCAAGATTTCTTTTTCGTTCTGTTTTCTATCTTAAATGGTTTGGTAATCAAAGCATTGAAACACAATTAGGTGTGTTGAAAGAGAATAACGAAACGTTCATAAAAAGTATGTTAAGACATTTACGTGAAAAACAATATAAAAGAGCATATTCGTACAAGGAAATAATTGTAGTTATTATATGTGAAAGTCAGTGCAGTATAAACATATGAGCTTGTTGCTTATGTATATGCGAGAAGAGATACAGCGTCTGATTGAGTCGCGTAAGTGTGTGCGTGCGTGCGTGCGTGCGTGTGTGTGCGCGCGCATGATCGAGAAAATATCGAGCGGTTGGCAATTGAAATGCAATACCTGTGGCACTTTCTGCAGATGTTTATCGAGCCCGACGACGTTTCTCTCGACGACACGCCACTACCGTTTTTCTTCGGCGGCAGGCTGTTCGACTTGACTGTGCTCAAGCTCGCACTCGACGCCGAGCTTTGCTGCTCCGCATCCGAATTGACAACCGTACTTTCCTCAGCTCCTTTGGGAATAAAACGACAAAATGTGAAATACTCTTCGGTTTTCGTTTGTTCGAATAGCGAACGAGCGAGACGACACCAAGGCAGACCTTCGAAAAAATCATTTCCACTGGCTTTACTAGGCGTCCTAGCGGCTAATTCTTCGGCCGTCCATTCCTCGATGATAGCCTCATGCAGATCGGGTGGTGGTATCTGATGCGAATTGCAGACCCACTGTGCCAAGTGTATAATGTCACCTTGCTGACTCGAGCCGCGAAGCATCTGATCGAGACTGTCTTCGTTTGCACGTTGCTGGCGATGATGATGGTCGTCTTCGAGCTGCTGCGTCGACCTATAAACCTGATTAGACGCCTTGAGTCGAGATTGACGTGCGATGACCCTCTCAAAGTCACTCTCTCACCCTTGCACTGCTCACTTTTCTCTATACGTATGTGATTTTGCTTTTACTTTGTGCGCTGGGTTTTGTGATCGATTGTGTATGTGAGTGTGGCTTGACAATTAACGCTATGTCGCTACATATTCGTGTCTTTCAATAAGATAAAAATGAATTGAAAATGATAATTAACGAGAGTATACCTATCCTAAGACTACTGGGATCTAAGTAGATCTTTTATCATTATATTATTTTATAAGAAAAATGTGACTTTTAAATCAGTAGACAATCTCTGCTGTATTATTTGCTAACGCTAACGACCATTTTTCACAATTGATTTTCCTACAGAACTTCTATTTTGGTAAGGTGTGATCTATAATTGTAATCACTATAAACTAGGACTAACTAAACGTTTGGCTATAGTAAAAATATGTTCGATACCTCCGAGCTTCCGGTACGTTCTCGTTGTACGACACTGTGTGGCGATAAATATTCATCCTTGGGGCTGTCATCGTCGGGACTCTCAAGGGCCGAACCAGCTGAACCCCCATAGCCAGTGTTCACGTAGATTCTGTAATAGACCAGATTTCTGGTGGGGGGTTTCGACCGTTTATTTCTCTCTTGCTTTGCTCACTTGCCGCCGGGAAGGCTAATTTATTTGTTGCTTTATCTTCACTACATAAATCCGCGTTAGTTCTTTCTATTTTTGGCGCATGCATTGTTTTTTTTTTCGCTTCATTTTGCTGCTATATAAGCGGATAGAAAACGTGCAGTTTTGTGCATTTCGTGCGTATTAATTTACGTGCGATGACGCATTGTTTCACGGAATTAAATTGTATTTTGTTTACTTTTATCTTTTAAAGGGTTAGAGAAGAAAAGTATTATTATTACTTTTGTATTTGTATTTATTTTGACTTTGGCCATATGTACAAATTCAATTATTCTTTCCATATTTACATAATCTGTACAGCTGTATCAATGGATCATCGGAATAGCTTTGTATTCTTATGGAATAGAAGCTTGTAATTTGGTTTTACTGTTGAATGGCATGTTTAGCAATATTTACTTATCACTTGTTTCTCAAAAAAATATATTCAATTTTTTAGTGTACGTGAAAATGTTATCTTTATCTCATTGTTATCATGCAAACTTAGTGCTACAACTATATCTACATTTTTTATATCGATTTTTTTAATATCCAAAAGCAGATTATTAATTAGGATTCTTATTTAAGATACGATTTAATAGGTGCACATTTCATTTTTCTTCAAAAAAGTATATTAGTTATTAAAAATATATTAATCTTTGAATATACCAACTTTGGAATGGACCCTTATTTGATTGTTTCTTTTTTTTGTTCAAGTAAAAAAACTAATTTCAATTAATCAAATAATTCCTCATCAATTATACATTAAACTATTCAACTAATATCAGCTAATTTGAAATACAACTCATCGAAACATGCCGTAAGAAAATATAAAAAAAGGAACTGAAGAAAACACTGTATCACTGTATCGCTATTGTCTAAAATAAAGAAAATCACACAAATTAAAAATAATCGGGATGCACTAAGATATTTAGTTAAACTAAAAATAAAGAAAGATAGACATATTTTGATCATATAGCGTGTGGAGTTTCAAGAGTATTAGTGAGAGAAAGAGAGATAATGTCGTTGGAGTTTGTTGTGACCGAAAAGCAAATTTACATTTGTCTCTGGAGCAGGTTGTGCCAAACGGCCTTGAGCTCGGCACTGGGCGCACGTAAAATAATTAGCCTCCGTCTCGTTCGACTGTGCGGACTGCAGCCTCCACTACCACCGCCAGTTCCCGCACACTGTACCAGTTCCGTTGAGGCCGAAGGATTTTCGCTCGGGGCACTTGGCTGAGGATTGTTTTTCTTTATAAATGGAATATTCAATTGTCTTAGCCGTTCTATATGCTCATGCAATGCATTCCTTTGTAGGCTGACTTGTTATATTTGACAAAAGTAGGCCTACGGCGGTTGCACTTTCGAAGCAAGGAGTTATACGAAGAAAGAAAAAAAGAACATTTTCATAAGCTATTCCGGTGTGCACGCACAAGCGATAAGCGAGATTAACACGAGTACGAAGCAACGCGAAACAAAGTTTGAATTGACCGCACAGAAAGCAAAGCTGCAAAGAGATATCGCAGGGAAAGAAGGTAAAGAGTCGAAATGGCTATAGGAGGTAAAAGTTTTATCTGTCGTGAAGAAAAATTGGGCGAATGTTTGTTAACGCCGAGTACAGAGCAGCATGCGACGATAAATTTGAAAGTAAAGGTCGTGTAACGAGAAAACCGATGGAATTGTAACGCGAGTGATGGATGCGATGCGCAGAAACATGAGTTTCGTGGTTGCAAGTAACAATACCTGAGTGGTGACCTGCAACCGGAATTCCGTGGGGCGTTTGCGTACGGTAAAGCAGGCCTCGGCGATGCAGGCGAGTCTCAAGGGTTCCTCGGTGACGAAGAGCACCCGATCACGCGAGACACGCGCGAATACCAGCAGGTCCGTCAGTAGTAGCGCCCAGGTCGGCTGCGACCTGCCACGGCCTTCGACCTTGGACAGCGCACCGCCGAATAACCTGCGCCGTTCAATCAGTCGCATGACAGCCCTTTATCTGCGATCGGATGTGCGTTGGTATTCTTTTGCAAGTTCGCATCAGTCTCGAGCGCCTTTGGCCGGAGGACCGACAACTAAAGCGCGAACTCGAGCCGAATTGCTAACGAGGAACCTCCCAGCAAGCCTTGGCGCTTGAAATCCGCCTCTCGCACTGGTGCAACTTCGGGCTTTAGTCTAGCGGGAAGGGAGAAGAAAGCGCATCGACACTCACCATTGTCTACCGGGGACGGCAAGAGCGAAGGGCTTACAGCGAGCGAATACCAGCCGCGACTCGACCTCCTGCAAGCTGAGCAACGGTCGACCGTTGTCGCGGAGCGGTTCCATCACCCCGGCACTCGCCGTCGACTCTCTGTAACCTTGCGCCAGGTCGCGCACTGGCTGGCAGCTCCGGGGACACGCCTGGCTCAGCAGCCTCGTCATTTCTCTGAACAAGAACAGAGCCATTTGCGACGCTTCGCAACGCGCCCGCTCGGAAATCACACCTGTAATGCTCGAGCGGCTGTATGAGGACGCCCGTCAAGTCGGGCTTGCGTCTCCTTGGCACCGCCGGCTCGCAGACGATTTTGGCGAAGGACGAGTTCTTCCGGAGCGCCACCAACAGACAGCACGCCCTTTGCAGACCGCCGAGGTACCTGCGGTAGGCGGCCGTTATGCGCGGCACGCGGCTCAGATAACTGTCGATACCGGCCCCGTCGTCGCGGATCTCCTCCGACAATTTCAGCAGTTCGTCCAAATTTTGAAAGAGTATCAGGTGATCCGTGGACGACAGGATTTCCTGACGTTCCGCCAGCGGCGCTACGAAACGCGCTTGGCCGCTTTTCAAGCACTGCCAGTAGCGCGTTTCGCGTATGCCGAGCTCCTCTTCTGGCGGCGCGTCCGCTGCCAGATTCGGAAAGGCCTAGAATAGAACGTTCCTTTTTCTTTTTTCATTTTTTTTTTTTTTTTTTTTTTTGACCGACCGATACAGGACATTGATAATTCTATCTTTTCTCATTTACATATGTATCTTGGCAGTAGCATATCTACGAAGATGCATTGGTTCGTAATAGCTATCGAAAATTAAACTAGTACTGTTGTTCTATCACCGTTTTAGACCGATTACACTTGTTCTTTTATCAACATGAGGAATCTCAGGTAAGGTATTCTCTGAATTTAGAGAGGGTATTTTTCATTCAAACGTATGCTCGGATAATAAGTTTATTTAAATTTAATTAAAGTTTTATACCGAAATTTCGAACGTCGTAGATTTATAAGCTATTTATAAATATATAATAAAAAATATTTTTCTCTTTCGTAGCAAGAAATTTCTTTTTATGCAATTATGAATTTTAGATTGAAAAGTAATTATCGAAATGAACCTGCTATGTTAAATGAATATGATGAGATGATTGGGTGAAATAAAATAATAACAATGCTTTTTCATAAGTTTTAAACAAAATTTGTTGCCAACAAATAAGCCAGTTTCACAAAACATAATTTACATACGCACGTATACAAAAGTTTTACACGGACATCCACACATACGATTGTCGCAAAAAAAAATCATAATGTGCAGCCGACGCTCGTAAAACCGCAGTCAAGAGATATACATAACGTAACATAGAAAAAACGCATAAATTATATAACTTCGTAGGCAAATCATTGCAGATAATAATAATTAAAATATAATTAATAGCAACTAAAAAAAAATGAATAATTAATTAATAACTAATTGTAATAAGCTCTGATTTCATGCGAAATGCAATCGCATGATGCTGATGAAATATTGATAAGCGAATGGAACAAGGGAAGAAAGACTTGATACAGTGGCTTTAAAATTAACGTAAAGGATAAAGTTGGATTGTTCGTTTACGTAACATTGAGAAGCCTCATCCAAACAATCAATTATGATTTCCCGGTGTTTCTCCTTTCCTTTGTTTTTCTTTCCGATAAAATTTCTGCTAACGAGCGTTCTGACTTTCAATCATATATATTTATATATAAGGGCGCTTCTATTTTATGTACAATTTTGAGAAGGTGACTTGTAAAAGCTGGCAAAATTTTTTTCATAAATAAATCAATATTCTTAGTAATAACGTTTAACGTTAAAAATCGTATTTACGATACGATCCATTGCTTCGTTATCATCTCTTTTATTCATCGTACAGTTTTTTACGAAAAACTATAGACGCATCATGAGGATTTTCATTGAAACGTCTAACATAACCACAAACGAGAAAACGTATTTACAATACGATTTGTCATATTACATCATACAAGCGTATTTATTTTCAAACACAACTAAACATTCAAGTCGAATTGTTGCCCATGTTTAAAGTAATTTGCTAGTTAAAAGAAAAAAGCTTCAACTTAAAAACGTATCATCTACAACATAAGACTAAAAAGCTGCCATTTATACGAAACACGTAAACATTGAATTATATCGCGATTCAAAGTTCGGTGAATGGTATAATAAGTAAAATTAACCACCTCGATGCACAGTTAACGAAGCTTTGAAGAAAAATCCGAAGAGTCAACGTCATAAACATAATATCAAACGAATGATTTAGACAAATTTCATGTTATTATACGTCGAAAGGTTTAACGAAATGGACTCACGTAGAAGTGAATTTCAACTAATCCATCCAAGAATTATTCTAATAGAAATGTCATAAGAATCTATAGTACATTGAAATCAGTACAGTTTTCATTGAATAAAAGTGACGCTCAGAGCGAGTCGATAAAGCTATTTGTGCACGCGAAAATTAAATAAGCAAGTTCTTCGAGAAAAGAAAATTTGTGTAGTAAAACCAGTCAAACGACTCACTGAAGATAAAGGAATATACTATTACAATGATATAGCCACGATATTAAAAATGTATTGATGAAGTGCTTGACTAGTTTTGCAATGAAAGTTTGATTAGTTTGTATGTATCTTAATAGCTACATTCTGAATCACAGAATCCATATCATGTACGTCACACTCATAGTCGATTCCGCGCGTGTAAGGAAAAAGAAAGACCGTGTGTCGTATTTAACATGGCCGCAAGGAAAAATCGCACGATCTATTGTATCATTGAGCATAAGCTTGCACTTCCTCGTCTAAGAAAGCTTGGACAGTCCCATCGAACACAATATATCGACCCTAGTCTTTAACATCTTCAGTCTCCAAGTTATAATTGTCTGTTCTATCAACGAAACGTATAATCTCTATTAATTGAATGATGCACGCAAAGGGAGGAGCAAAAGGGACAAGCAAACATCAGACGAGTACGCCAGTACCGACCTCGGCGGTGAAAGCGATGGCAGGTGGCGGTGCGATGACACCCACCGCGGGTGTCTGTAAAGTGACGTTCAGCGAGCTACGGCGTCGCGCTGCCGCGGAAGTACCACCGGTCGTGACAATGGCGTGCCCATGAACGCCGCGTCGATAAACCTCCAGGATCAGCTGCGTTGTGGCAGCTCGAATGAGCTCGAGGATGTCGTCGCGAGTCTGAGTCACGACGTTCGTCGACTCGACGAACACCACGTAATCGCCTGGCCGCAGCCCCGAGCGTTCTGCTGGACTGCCTGGATCTATGCGCTCGACTCGTGGCGGTCGACCCCACGACAGTAGGAATCCCCATGGCAACTGGAAAAAGAAACGACCATCAGGATCGAGACACTTGTGATCGAATGTTATGCGGAAAGTTGTACGCCGCGTTGAAATAAGTCAATACCTTGCAAGCTTCTTCGAATGGATTTTCGGGAAATTTTCAATGAAATTTTCAATTTGGATTATGCACACGGAAAATATCGGCCAAAGTTTTCGGCGGATCTACGTCAAATATAACTTGTTATCTCCCGAGCGACTTAACGCTCGCCTTAAAACTTGAGACGGAGGTGAAACTCGCGGTAAAGAAAGTACACACACGCCGTCTCCATCGCGCAGACTTTGGTTTTGAAATATTTACTGAACTTTCGATAGCAAGTTTTGAAAGCTTTGAAAGCTCGTACCACAAGGAAACTGGCAAGTAAGTAATCGTTTGCAAGCTCACCTGATTAATTTGAGCAGCCTGACGCACAAGTCGCCTGGTGACGGTACAAGGTGTCCTACCTCCGCGCGCAGTGAAGCCTGGATGCAGAGGCAGGCCAGTCAGCGAGTCTACGGGTTCGAGCTCGAGATGCCGAAGGTAGGTCAGATCTTCGGCGCTGTTGTTGTTGTCGCCGCCGCTTAGAGAGTCACCGTCTTTGGAGAGCGGTGGTGACGCGACTAGCGAGCCACGGCCAGCGCTCAGTGAATCCTGGTGCTGCAGACCGTAGATCGACGAGGTCGCTCGTCCCGTGCCCGCTTCCAGAGGGTGCCATGTCGCTTCCTAGTGATGATCATTCGCGCGAGATATCGATTAGTTCGCTTCGCCTCGAGGCGATCATTTGTCAAATCCCTCGCTGTTCTAAGCCCCGGTATGAAATTGGTTAGTGCGCGCAGCTCTGGAGATTGATCGCTCTCGCGCGCCCGCCACAGTTACCAGCGACGCTATTTTCCTTTATCCCGAGCTGAAGGCCCGATGAATTATTCGCGCGTGCGTCTCCGTTGCGGACAAAGTTGCGCAACGCGCCGCCGCTTTAACGACCGAATCACGCAACTGTCCCAAGTGCCGCTATAAGCTTTTCAAGAATCAATCCGATTATATGGTACGTGCAGCGAAGAATTATTATCGCGCTGGCGCCTCTCGATATATTTTCTAAGTGTATTATCATACGGAAGCACTTTAGCGCGCGAGGCCAGGCAAATTGGATCAATTGGACATTACACGGCGTATACAAATTGCGTCGTGATTTAATTCACCTCTTTGTTCGGCGATTTGAAAACCCGAGTCCGCACTGCGCTCCGTTTGGGATTTGGACAGCGTCGTCGGCGCCGTCCAAATTGAAATCCGAAAAGAAACTGGAACGCGCTTGCTTTCCGATTGCGAACCAAGCTGAAGCTGATCGATGAACGCGCGCTGCACACCACAACTTACTCGTGTCGCAGTCACTCCAGCACTGGTCAAAGTATCCGAAAAATCTTAAGCAGAAGGCCGGCAACGACGAACGCGCCGCAATAAATCGCCACGACGATCATGTTACTTATTTTCGGCGAGGCGCACTCGGTCGACTGTCGTTGGTAAGCGGCGAGGCTTCGACTGCAACTTTCCAGCGGTGATCGCGGAAAGAGAGAAAGAGAAATCCGGTTAGGGCTTGCGTGACCCTGGCTGGCGAAGTCCTAATACTGCGCGTACATACAAATTCAACTGGCAGATTAGCGTAGCGATCCTCACACGCGACGGTCATGACTTTCGTCGGGCGAATTGAGTATATCGCGCGCACCAAGTCGAGATTGGCTTTCATATATCGATAGCGATGCTTCTTCTCGTCAAGTCGTCGGCTAGAACGGGTCTTGGCTTTGCCTTTTCAATATTCGTGCGAAAGTCTGTTATGCGCAGGGTTCCAAGTTTCAAGTATTGCACATGCCTGCAATTCAAAATGTTGCGCAACATTCTAACTCATCCGTTTAAGCTAATCCGCGAGGATGTTCTTGTTGTATGTAATCTTGTTGTAATCTCCAATATAATACGACAGACAATAAAACGGCTTAGGTACTTGTCGATTTTATTGCATAAGTACCTATGAGAAAATTCCATGACGAGTCGTACAACGCATAAATATCTACGTACACCTAGCCGGTGTTTACTTTTATCGCAGTAAAACAATAATGCCAAAGAACGCAACGAAAAAGAAGAAATCGCACGGTGTGCAAACAATACATTTTTCACATGACGCCGGAGAAACGGTAGCAGTCGCTTAACGCGCGTTTTCTGAATTATTGAGCTGTAGTACTTGAAACTAACCCTTCTCTTGCGCGCACACGTACGCTTCATATATTATTTATGTCGTTTCTTTTTTCCACTCTCGAGCAACCCACCATCTAATTCACGCTCGGCCAAAGCCCCGGTCATCTATGCCGAGGAACGCCACGAATTTCAATAGCAAAAAGAAAATGCTTACCTTGTCCTGCGACAGCGGCAGCGGCAGAGTCATGCAGCCCAGCAGTTCGCTGCGCCTGTCAACAAACGCACACGCAAAATTAGCACGAGGACACGACTTGGTCGCAATCTCTTCTGCGAGAAAAATCACTCGAAATAAAAAAAAAAAAAAACTTGCGCACGGCAGAGAAGAAAGCCTCGTGTCGTTTCAAAAGAGACCTTGTCTTGCCGTTGGATGTTTTATGCCAAATGCACAATCGAGATCATTGCGAGACAAGAACGTCGGACGTAGCGCGGCTCGTGCGGAATACGCGCCACGACCTTCGTCCAAGTATTTCGCGGACGTGCGTACGCCAACTTGCGTATAACGACGACGTGATACCGTAAAACGCGAGCCAACGGCTGTAATGGTATTTCGCGCGCTTTTCTAACGAAGTTTATGCTCCGAGTCCGCGGTGCGAAAGCTCAATTTCCCTTTCGCAATTCACTGGGTGGCTTTGCCGCGCAATTGAAAATTACTTGGTAACCGTTAATTTCTCGCGACTTGCTTTTTACACGCGAGACAGAGAGAGGTCAGCTTTTATAACGGATCGTTGACGTCATGCGCGCGTGCCTTTACGTACAACGGACGTCTTAAACACTAAATTCAAGTGTATTACGCGCGGACGAGTTTTGCCGTGCGATTCGCTCGATCGAGTGGACACCGTGCAAAGCAGAGGCACAGAGAAGCGATGTACACGTATCCAAAAAAAACGTCTATCTCGCGCAAGCTCGTCAAACCCTTTCAGCGCGATCTAAAATTCAGCAAGCAATGTATATGTATGCGCGTATGCACGGTTAAATTATGTCTACGTGTAGTGTGTGCAATGTACATCAGCTCCCTCTTGCTCTCTCTCTCTCTCTCTCTCTCTCTCTCTCTCTCTCTCTCTCTCTCTCTCTCTCTCTCTCTCTCTCTCTCTCTCTCTTCGTGCACGTGTCTTTAAAAGCGGCGAGTACAAGGCGCAAGCGCGGCAAGAATCGATCCCCCTCTTCTCTCTCGCATGCTTTTGCACATATATACCAACGGGAAATGCACGACGACGCTTTTATACGTGCACGGAGAAAAAAAAGATCCCTCTCTCTTTCTCCCTCCGGCTGCTTCTTTTTTGTTTACAAAGGCCTACGAGTTTACGACACAAGGGCTTGGCGCTGAGATTGCTCGTTATCGCTCGATCGGAGAATTAATGGCGAAGGAAGATTTTTTTTCTTCTTCTTCCTATTCTTCGGACACACTGATGGAGAGATGAATAAGCACTATTCTCGGGGAGGGTGATATTTATTTCGAAATAGCACGCGTCGACTTTCTCCAGGCGAATTGGTTTGAAGTTTCGGACCGAGAAGCAAGAATGTATTCCCGCGAAAACGCTGACCGCGTAATCGATGGAACAAAAGCAAAATGCGTTTCCTCGGGCAATCGACGCGAGTAACGATCGAAAGACGAGTTGACGTCGCGCGCGAACGCGGCAAGCGCGGTTTTGTTTTCTCTCTCGAAATGTTCGCTGCCAAGCAATAGCGCCCCCGTGGATAATTATATCTATCGAACCGGAGAGACTGCAATTGCAATGTTTACGTTGCCCTTTCCTTGACGGTGAAAGAAAACGAGGTATGTGGGTTAGCAAAGAGAGACCGCGAGCTCAGAGTGAATAACTCATGCTCCACCATGCACGAAGCCGACGTATATTAGTCGGGAGCTCGCGCACGTGAAACGACGATAACAATTGGCTTTTTGCTTTTCACGAGTTCCATTAACGCTTTTCAGATGCCTTTGATAAAAAGAAATAAAGTATTCGCGATACGACGTCTTTACCGCTTACTATAAAGCTGTCGCGGTTTATCGTCGGATGACCAATTGTTTATGGCACAAGCGGCGATCTCATCTGGCCAATGCAGCTCGGCGTTTTCACTTTCATGGACGCCTTCGTATCGCTTCGCGGAATGAAGCTCCGCTGTGCCACGGAACGATCTGCGATTGCAAAATGAGCTCGTATCGGTGTAGAGGAGAAAGCGAACTGCGTCGCAACGTCGATTCGTTGGAATCGCAGGTGTTGCATCCTTGGATTCTCGTCCGATCCAATTGGCGACGCAACGCCTCGCGAACGGAATTGTCGTCGACCGCGAGCCAGAAAAATTTGGCACGCCGACTATCGCGCGACGCGCACTTGACTCGGAGATCCGGTCGCATCTGTAAGTTGTTGTGTCTCTTACCTCGCTCTGCGATCCCGATGCCAGACGGCGATGTCAAGCGATAATTGCCTTGCCGCGTAATTGTTATTGTGTGCCGGCGGACAGGGCAGCACGAGCGTCTCGTGGAATGCAGGCGCTGGCGTTGCACGATGTACCGCAGTTCTTTTAACTGGACCGCTCTCGCCGCTCTGGCGCTCTCTCAATGACGCCTTCACGTAGGCGTGGATCGGACCCTCGTACGCGCGACGCAGATCTCGGCACCTTATTACTGCGCACAACACACAATTTATCAGTTTGCCGTGCGCCGTACGCGCAGCGAGAGCTCACGACGAGCACTTGCGGTCACACAAGGGAAAATTAACTGTCGCTTCGAGTTAACGACTGGCACTGCGAGCTCCGCTCGATGGGACAACGATTATAACTCGTTGATTGGTGTCAAGAGGCGGCACACGTACTTTACATAACATCGATCCTTAAGACTAAGAGAGAGACAGAGAGAGAGAGAGAGAGAGAGAGAGAGAGAGAGAGAGAGAGAGAGAGAGAGAGAGAGAGAGAGAGAGAGAGAGAGAGAGAGAGAGACAGACAGACAGACAGACAGACAGACAGACAGACAGACAGACAGACAGACAGACAGGCAGACAGGCAGACAGACAGGCAGACAGAGGAAGAGACGGAGGGAGACAAAGGTCCGCTGCACCACTGCACTTCATCAATCGGCGATTATGTACAGCTATTACGTAAAAGCGCGCTCGGGGGAAAAAAATTGCATAATTCAGGCGAGATCGCGCTCCAAGTTTCGGCAGCGCAATCGATAGCGAGAGAGCGAATCTCGGAGGAAACAGCGCGTTTGGGCACTGCAAACACTAACCGACTAGAGGCGAACTGACGCAACGCCGTGCAGTGCGCAAGTACGAGATGCGCCGCTAAGCAGAGAAGCAAAAGAAAAACAAAACTGTCGTGTGCGTTGAAATGCAACGACGCCGAGGACTCGACTCGCCTTGCCTTGAGGTAGGCTCGAGCTCGGGCGAGCGACTACTGTCTGGCGGGGACGATACTTGCACTAGCCACCCTGCTGCAGCGTCGAGCTGCGCGGACGCGAACCGAGCTTTTCGCCAGCTCCAGGGCTGTAGATTGGATTGCAGGGTGCCCTCTCCGTGTCTGCATTCTTGTGGATTTACCTACGCTCTTTGCCCGACCAGAGCTTTCTTGTCATATGAAAATCTCGTGATTGCTCACATTATTACTTCGATGTTTGCGGTTATCAATGATAAATGTCATTCCAACTTATTTTATTCAAGGACCAATTATTGTCAAATTATGCCGAGAAAGTATGTGCTCGAATACTCGCCGGAACCCTCAAATTATTCTGTATGAGTAAGATCGCTCTTAAAAGATGCGTCATGAAATGTTTCAAAAGCACATGCCCCTTACATTTAGTAGGTCAAGACAGTTAAAGCGAAGAACTCGTAAAGATGGTTGGAAAAAATGAGCAGAAAATTGTGGATACAGAGTCGGACAGTTTGCCGAAAGGTCAACATTCCACAAGATGAAATCGATACGATCAGCAGTTGGCAGATTGAAAAAAAGAAATGAAAAAGTATCGTCCATTCTCGTAGCTCTGCAATATATTCAGCGCTCTCCAGCGAGCTCAGTCACAATGGAGCTCGTTAATTTATTGCAAGAAAGGACAAAAAAACGAAACTAGTTGCTAATCCTCGACGACGGTGATGTGAAATTGCAAGACTCCCTATAACGAAAAGTTAATCAATAGCGGGGTCCCTGGACAATGAAATATATGCAAACGAGAGTAAGAAGGGCAGTTGTCGCAGCGATTTAGAAAAAAGATAAATTGATATTTAGAGAGAGAGAGAGAGAGAGAGAGAGAGAGAGAGAGAGAGAAGCGCGACGACGACAAAAGGGAGGCTTCATTGAGATTATGTTAAAAAGAAGATCCACGCGCAAGAGAGCTAGTCTCGCTCGTGCATTCTCATGCTAATCCACGTTTCTACAGACGTTTCTAAGACATGTAAATTTCACCCCTCTCGCCCTTGGTTTTTTCAAACTGGATATAGGTCTCTCTTTTTAATTTCGAAACTTACTTTTCACGTGGAACTCCTCGTCGCGAAGTTGGCATTCGATCTCGATCGAGCCTCTGTTCGCGATACCACCGGAATTGTTGCTGTTTGGCGTTTCGGGACTGTACTTCAAGCAACGGCGCACCGTCGCGACCAAGGGCGTCGACTCTGGTGTGCACGTCGCCGTGGTCGTCGTGGTCGCGAACGAATCCAACAGTGACGAGCGTGGACTGTCAGTCTCCCAACCCGCGTTCGGCCTCGACGACGTATCCTTGCGTTTGTTATTCGGCAGCTGCGAATCCGATGGCTGGTCTTGCGATATCGTCGTGTCGTTGTGCCTCGTTGTGTTGTGCCGCTGCGTGGCATTTGACTGCGAACGAAACGAAAGAATAATAACTGAAACGACTGGCATTCGAGACGTTAGTTCGCGAGAGCTCTTTTGCGAGAAGCTTAACGAACCTTAGATTGACTCTTGGCGAGAGCTTTACGCGTCGCGACGCCGTCCTCCTCCCCCTCGTCCTCGATCTCCATCTCCTCTTTCCTCTTCTCCGCCGTCTGGTGTTCCCGCAGCTTAGCTGGATTCTCGTCGTCGACGAGGTTCAAGCTATCCAGATCAGTCTCGAGCGCGAGCCTCTTGACGTGTCGATTGACAGCCTCGATCAACGGCATCTTGTCCTTCTTGGGCCTCTTGCTGCTGGCGTCGAGGTTGTTGTCGTTGTTTCTCGGGACTCGCTTGCGTCTGATACCACGCTGACGCTTCAGCGTGAACTCGCCGTTATCCAAATCCGAGGACGGCGAGCAGAATGCCCACGATATCGGCGACGGGTTCTCCAGTAACTGGCTCGCCGACGAGACGCTGCTGTCGTTGTGTGCAGCCTTGGCGACGTCCAGCGGCGAGTCTGCGGCCTCGTCGGCGTGCTGCTCCTCGGCTTCGCTTGATTCTTTGGTTGCTTGTGGACTGGACGGACTGCTCGGCTCGGCCGAGTCTTTTAACAAGATCTCCGCCACGCTTCTCACGCCCGCGCTCGTCGCTTGCTCGCTGCGCAACATTTCCACGTTGAGCACGACGATCGCGAAAATATTGGCTTCGCCGTGGACTCACCTGTTAAGCACCTCCGTCACGGTGTTATCCGTGTTCTCGTACATCGGCTGATCAAGTTTCAGACTGAGCAGTTTGCCGGCGATCGGCGTCTGCCTGATATCGTCCCCGCCGCTCCTCCGCCTTCTCTCATCGCCGATGGTTATCGTGCGATAAGGCGTCTTGTTTCTCGCGTTCAGTTTCGTTATCCGGGCGAGCCTAGGCAAGCAAGACGCGTGGCTGCCGTGCTCGCGCGCGCTAGCGTATCTTCGCCGATTGGACAGCGAGTCCGACTGCATCACGTCCTCGGGACTGGTTGCCATGGCTATCTGTTGAAAGAAATCCGAGACGTGCGACTGTAAATTGTTGGCTCGCGCCTCGTTCACCAGATTCTGCGGCAACTCGCTGTTGCTCAGGTAAGTTTTCTTGAAGACTTGCGGATCGGCCGGCAGCGTCAGACTGGTGCTCGAGTTGCGCGCCTGGCAGCGATCATGCCGACGATTGCTGCTGGTCGGATGTGCGAATAGGGTTAGCGGGCCGATGTCCGCGTCGACTCGTGGCGTGCTTTGGTAGAAGCTCTCGATTACGGGCGACGAGGTACGCTGCGACATCGACTGACGTTTGCCCGAGCGAAGGTTTGGCTTGGTCGCCTGCGAACCAGCGATAAACATCGTCATCGAGCTCGCTGCCTCGGAGACAAGCAAACTTACCTGAAAGTATCCCCTGAGGTCGCTGCCTTGACTTCGGCAGCGTCTTTTTTTCGACGGTGTACGCTTTGTCGTCGAGCTGATCCGCCTCTCGCCGGAGTCGCCGGCCAAAATGCCACCATTCTCGTTTAGTCTGTTCGACGAAGACGACGACGACGACGAGGACGACGCCGAGGCCGACGATGATACGGCGATCTTCGATGAACCCGACGAGGCTGGTGGCGTATTGGATAGATCTCGAAATGGCCTTCGCGTTGCCGTTTTACTCGGGCCGTGGGGGGTCGAGCTTGCCGTCGACAGTGAACGCGACACGGTCCACTTCAGCATTTTCTGCAAATCAGAATGACAGGGTTATCGCGACTTGAAGGAATAGAAATGGCATGTACCTCGATAATCGAAGCCGGTGCTCGCCGCCACTCTAAGTCCCGGAAAAGCTGTAATTCGACAAACCGTCAGCCCCGTCGCGAGCAACGGAGCTCATTAATATTTCCATCAGCAGCTCACGCGAGCGCGAGAACACGAAAGAAAAAACCGTCGGCCGCAGAAAGGACGGTTAGACCGCAGCGCACTGGAACTGGAAGGCAATGTGCCAGGCATCCACCCACCAGCGCGTGTGACAATAGAAGACGACGACGACGACGCACATCCTTTCTCAAGACATTCCGTTGCATCCTGGACAGACGGAAAGTCACACGTGTACGCGCGCGGAAGAGGGAGGAGCCGGGCCGCGGCGACGATAGCGGCGAGATAGAGAGCTCGCACGCGGCCAGCGCTTCGCCGATAAGAGGCGCTCCGTCGTCAATTATCGAGCTGACCGCGAGCAGTTTCGAGTCGGCGAGGCGACGAGAGCTCGAATAACAGGAAGAAAAAGAAGGCGCGAGCCGCGGCGGCGCGGTAATGTGCGAGCTACACCTGCCGCGGCATACGGGAAACACCGAAACAGGTGAAGCGCTGCTCGCGTTTTGCACCTGAGACCCTTGCGGCGGAGGACGAGGACGACGACGACGACGACGACGCGCTATTATGGGGGTGTTCGACCTGTTTGTCAGCGAGTTAGCACTTACGCAGTTCTCGACCGACGTTCGTCGATTGCTCGCTTATTTTCGCGAATAGCCGGTCTCATTGTATTGCTCAGCGCGGCTAATACGTGTGTTTTGCTCGTCCTCCGAAGATGCGTACGCGAGGACGTCGACAATAGATCTGCGGCTTCGAAACCTATTGCTACGTTCGAACGGTAAAAGGCGGCTGACGTCGGCAGGTTGTTCCGTTTTCTCTCTTATAGTTAAACGGATGGGCGGCTAATCTCGGAGCATGGCGACGGTTGCACGTATAATTTGCCGCGCCGCAACAAATGCTTTAGTCGACCCACGCGTAATTATCGTGCCGTTTAAGAGCTTATGCCACGTAAAAAAAACGCGCTTTGTCGTTCGGCACCAACAGAATGCGTTGCGCATACGGCGGCTTTTATTCCGAGTTCTGTCACAAGCAGCTCTCCTTCAAAAGTTTTATCCGTAACAGTCAGCGGCCCGGCAGTAGCAAAATAAACAGAAAACTGTCGTGCAGGGTGCAACAATGTACGCCTGCGTAATTGGCTCAAGGTGTGCTCGGCCCTCGGCTTTTTAAGTTTTCGGCGCTTGCTCGTAACACGCATGTCAAGGGTTCACTCGCACCTAACGTCTTTCGCGCCTCATTAAACGTCTGCTATTAATCTGACCAGACGGCCGATCGACCAGCTATTAAACCTAACAAGCTAATTCAACTGGGGTTTGCGGAAACATCTTCTCGTCTTCCTTTCCTTTTCTTTTCATAATTCCCTAACCAGTCGAAAAAAAAAACAAAAAACAAAAAAAAAACCCCGTATCACTCCTATAAGCAGACAATATGTAGATTCTTCGCACACGCAGAACCCCAACAGCTAAATGCAGCCTCGTCGTAAAAATCGATTCCCATGAACTCAAAAGCAGAAAGCAGCCTACAAAAGCAGAGCAACATCGCCTTCTCTCTCTCTCTCTCTCGCTGAAAAACTTTTCAAAAGAGAAATCAGACTCGGCAACGCACCCCCCTTCCCCCAAAAAAAGACGACAAGTCGCATTGCGAAAATAATCGCGGCCCCAAAGAGGAGATGAGCTCTAACCTTGAGAATGGCTCGCGACTCTTTTTCTCGTTCTCCTTCTTTTTTTACTGCAATTTTTGCCCCTCGTAGCAGCAGCAGGTTTTAACTTTTTAACGGTTCCTTTCGGGGGGGAGGGGGGTGCAACGTGTATTTTCTCATTTACATAACCCGGCTGTTGCCAAGCTAACATACGCAAGGCCTAGCTATCTCTCACGCTAGCAGGTAATGCTCCTAAAATATTTTTTCTTTCTTTCTCGCGACAGAGGCACCACGAACGAGATAGCCTATTCGATTATTCAATGAACGCTCCGTTTTCATCGCTGACAAGGCGTTCGGTGCGCGCTCGACGGAGTGAGAGGCAGGCAGATTCCCTGCAACGGAGCACTGTGTGATTAATTGGAGCAGCTTGAGAAAGCAGCGCAAAGTGCTTCAATTTCAGATGGCATTATGCGCTGTTGAATGTGCCAGCTATTCACTTGTAAAAAGGTATGCTTTGAAAACTCGAAATGAACACAGTGATTTTATAATACAAGAAACAATCGAGCGAAATGGCCTCGTGAAATAGCGAAGTGGCACTTTTCAAAATTGGATTCTATCAACCGTGGGCACGCAGTACATTGAAGATGGACACTAGAAAAAACCACGATCTCGCGATCGATTTGTCCTTTTCAATTTCCATAAATAGAAAGTTTCGCATTGTTAACCTCGTTGTAAAACGTTCGGTCAAACTACAAACGTCTCTCGCGCTTGCAATGTACTTTATACTCTTGAAGCATTGCAATGTCAGTCAAGCGGCGCCGCGTGTCACATGCAGCAATAGACTTATATAATAGATGCAAATGTAATTGATCACCCATTTATTTTTATAAGTACTCTCTCTCTCTCTCTCTTTATCTTTCGTAGTAAGCATGCAGCAACCTCTCGGATGATGAAAAAAGACAAAACTATAACCTTTTTTCATTTAAAGGTCCTTGAAAAGTCGGAAAAAGCGTAATATGCATAAAACGTTGTGTCGTAGCACAAACCTCTCTCTCTCTCTCTCTCTCTCTCTCTCTGAGTTTGTTTGCCAGGACACCTGCCCATATGTCGACGAGGCCCATCTGGCCCAAGGCTGCACATACGCGACTTTTCTCCCTCGGTGTGCTTTTCTCTCAGGCGCAATTACGTTTAATTGCTTAAGCAATTGTTGTCTGTTTTTTTAATGTTTATCACTCGGATCAATCGATTCTTCGCCACGCGTGCAATAGAAAAAAAGGGCACATGGTTTTTATACGGAAGGCCACTTGTATGTCTTTTTTTATCCCCGCGTTTCATTGCTCCGAGACATCTGTCCATTTATTAATTCAACGCGCGGCAATACTAATCAACATAAAATGTCACTTGCGCGTGCGCAAGTGAACAGAAAGACGAGAAGAAAGGAACGTTAAAAAACACTTGACTGGATGGTCAAACGTTGTATCCGTTCCGATGTAGAAGGATTAGAAAACGGTTTATCTTTTCCGCGTTAGATTAAGGTCACGCGCTGCTGCGTCTCCAATGAATTTCAGACGGAGAGCGAGCAAAAGTGCATCGCTCGAAGCGGCGATAATAGTTCCGATGGGGCGAGCATCGATCAACGGCAAGAAAATGTCTGTTCCTGTTTTTGCATAAACAACGTCGTTGCGCATTCGTCGCTGTAACTTTGCGTGAGGTGAGCAGCCCTGCACTCGCGTGCGGTGCAGTCACACGCGAGCCCGAGGCGAAATACACATATGCGCGAATGCCTCCCCCTTTGGACAAAAGAAAAATAAAGCAAAAAAAAGAAAGAAAAAAAAAACTCGTGGAATGAGGTCCAAATGCAATTTCACGCTTTGATACCGTACTGCAGCATATGCAGCTTCCACACCTGATCAGCGAGGAGAGATTAGCTTTTCAGGTTCGAAAGAGATGCACGCTCGAGCGGAGCGTGCGTGCGTTCGCGTAAGCCCTTCTTTCGATCTTTTATCTGGAGTACGTGGGCTGCAATGGGCGGTGGCTTTCATCCGGGCTATTACGGGTGTATATCCTCGGGCAGTTTTGCCAACGTGCGCGCGCGCATCGAGAGATACGAATGAGCTTCGACTCTCTTCACAATACTTTCATTTACTCGATATAATGTGCCACGTATGCGATCGGGACAAAACACTTTGGACGTAAGCAGGCTTTTGCGCCTCCTAATTGGCTTCGCGAAAGTCCACCGAGCGGCCCGTTGCTTCGATAGAGCACACGCTCCGCGCTGCTTGATTAAAGCTCGAGAGGAGCCTGCACGACGTCCATCCCGGATCGATCTCCATAGCGACCGCTAAGAGATGAAAAGCCGCCTCGGTGGATTATGAAAATATCATTTCCGTCGAGTGGATGCCAGCGCGAAGTCAGTCGGAAAACCAACATTGGATCAACTCCAGCGTACGATCATTATGCAGCGTTGAATCTTATCGGCTCTGCTGATCTCTACGGCAGGGCACTGCTTCCAGAGCTAAAAGAAGGGGGGTAGCTGTCGCTGCGTGAGCAGTCGATCTGGACAGAGATTTGCTTTTCTCGTGGTCGACATACGTGTGTTAGATACGGGCATTCGCCGACGATTAATCGTGTGATTTTTCGGCTCGAGATATTGCTTACTTGGATGACCGTGTTTCTTACGCTTCACCCTTCGTAAGTGCAATTGAATTTTCCATGTCGCCCGCTGTCAATCTCACGCCTGGGATGCAATCGTACGTGTCGCGCGAAACAAGACTTGAAGCGCGCAACAATGAAGGCGCGCCGCGGGAAACGCCGACAAAAAGGCCAGTCGCGCATGTTTAATTTGCCGAAAGGCGAGAGAGAGAGAGAGAGAGAGAGAGAGATGTGCTTAACGAACCGATCGAACGACGACGCGTTCTGGTGCAGCCAAGCTCTTTCTTTTCCGGGAGCGTGCGCGCTGGGCGTGCAAACGCGCTAATCTCCAAGAAAAACAGAGATACGCGGAGATGAGCGCAGGATCAACGAGAGGAGTGAATTAAAAATTTGAGCGAACGATGGAGCAGTATTTTCGCGGTCTTACGGCGAGAGAAGACAAGGGAGAAAATCCACCCGGCTAAGGAGCGAGGAAATATGGTGGAAGGAAGCAGGTGTTGTCTCCGATGTCGCCCCATTCCGAAAAAGCAAATCGTTCGCGCGACCTATAGAGAGTGCCGCTTCGAATTAGGTAGACGATCGAAAT